TAAGACAACCTTCAAAGAAAAATTAGTAATCCTTTTAAAATTTTTATTATAGATTCAATATTTATTAAGAAGAGTAAAAGTAAAAATTCTTATGCAGCACGGTAATATTCGATAAATATTAATTTTTATTCAAACTTTAAACAAAAATTAGTAAGTGACTAGAAAAAAATGAGAATCTGTATATAATTTATTATGATCCGTGTGGTAGGAAAAATTCGGGTGCTCTCCTATAATTTTTTCTATTCTCGAGAGTTTCCGTGCTGGGTCGGGAATCTTCGAATTATCGGTCCAACACAATCTTTCTTTGTATTGTAAGACCGTTCACACAATCAAAAACATAAGCCGTAAAACGTACAATTTAAGACGTACGCGTGCATACTAACATCATAATAAGTTAAAAATTGGTTTGTACGCATGCGTACATCTTACGGCTTTTGTTTTTGATTGTGTGAACACCCTCAGTGCTATAGTTACTTTTTCCATATTGTAAACAAAGATGACATTCATATTTTTCGTTACGATTCAATATTGGCGGCAACACGTTATATCTTAACAATTTATGATAAGCTTAAACGGATTGACGCGGTGGATTCATGGGTAAGCGTCAGCTTGACACACGATGGGTCGCGGGTTCGAGTCCCGGCCGAGACAAAAGTCATTTATATGATTTTTCTCGGGCCACCGTGAGCGGGAGAGGAAGATCTCTTCGGAGAGCCGGGTGGGTTGTATCGACGACACAGGTTTTCTGCGTAAGATCCCGATCGTAGGGATAGGGGGGGGGCAGTATTGTAAAACGTGTGCCGTATTTCATTCCAACGAATTAATTAGTTAAGAAAGTTAATTATCAATGAACCTAATTTATTTATTTATTTGTTTATATAACCAAAAAAATTATCACTAAACTTAAATAAAATTGTTTGTCGGTTACGTAGTTATCACAGCTAACGTTACTAAATTTTCAGGTGCTGTGGAACACTAAATTTTCTGGTGCTGCCAAAGTAATTTTCAAAAAACTGAATGATACATTTTCTTATGTAACTTATAATTTTTGTATGTTGATCATTACTTTTTACTTTTCAGTAAGTTTGAACTCACATTCTTGAGCAGCACGGTAATTTTTGTATGGATTTTTAAATAAAAATTAACGGAATTTTTTCTCCGTGCAGAATTGCGCACGCGACTACCGAACCTTGTATGGATGTGCTCATGAGCAAAACGAACATACAATGTGGTCTGCTCTTCCAACTATTCTATTGTAGCATATATACAACATTGACAATCACAAGTAATAGTTGTAAACTATAAATTTTCATTCAAAAAATAAATATTATCATTACTTGAAACTGTTATGATTTGAATTTTGATTATAAAAATGGTTAAAATGAAGCAACGAAGAAGAATAAATTTGGTTTCAAGGCTGGTGAAAATGATAAAAATAATCAAACTCTTTCAGACACATTTTAAAAAGCGTCCAGTACACGGACAAAGGTTCAGAGTGTAAATTACACTTTGGTAGTTGGCAGAAACGGATAAAAGGTATCAATACTTGCAGCTTTGAATCTCACAAATTCACCGATAGAACCTAAAATGACTGAACAATGAAGCTACTCGTCAACCAGCTGATATTCTCTGTGTATCATCCTAGAGCATATTTAACACACAGTACTTTTTTGGATTATTTTTCTTGTCATTTTTTATGCCTACTTCAAATACGCATGTGCGATCCCTACATTTTATTATACCCCATCCTCTATATTCTACTCGACCGCCGACATACATTTTCTTCTATACTGAGACTCTCGACTCGCGAATTATGCGCCGTATACGGGCTGCGGCTTTATCTCAACATGAAGGAGATATATATCGTAAGAAATGTGTGTAGTGTGTACGCTCTCACAGTACAAAGCACCGGGAAACTTCACGTTGTCTTATTCTCCAAGAAAATGCCCTCCTTTATCATTCTCACAAACTTTCAAAATCACGAATAGGTTAAATAAATTTTCCGTCCTGTTTTATTTTATTTCCTCCTTCCCATAAATCGGTACTTCCTGTGAGAATAGACCAAAGAAATGTCATCTGCAAACTATTTATCGCATTTCTTATCATACATATATTTATTCATTTCAAATAATAATTATATATAAATATATATTATGATTATTTGAATAATTTAATCATAAATTATATTTTTCACATTACTAAAAAGAGATGTTCATAAATAAATATTGAATCAAGTTTACTGTATAAGTAAATAAGCTTTTCTGATCCAAATCACATTAAGGATTTGCGTTAAAATTGGGAATACATAATTCATTGTATTACAAGAGTAAATTTATTCATTGTTATTCTGTTGACTCGATCTCATACGCAAATTCAAAGCTTCATTTCACGTAGTTACAAAAAGCAAAGAGAGAAACCCACTCAGCGGGGCTAGAAAGTGCTTATGGGGATGGTAATTGAATTGGGAAGTTACGATGGCCAGTCGGACAGAATACTATACTGTCGTGAAATCCCTGATGTAATTACCGTGATGGTAAAAACACATCCCCGTTCAACCATTACACTTCTTTAGAGTATGTATTGTACTTGCAGATAAAACACAGAGATATACGTATATTTATGCCATCTAGATCGCAGATATATACAAAAGTATCAGGTATACTCTTCTTCTTTACTATATATGTATCTACACATATTTCTATATGCCACACTGATAAATGAATTTATTATTGCCTCTCGATCCACCCAACTTTAAAGACTCTGTCTTTTTATTATTTTTTTTTTTTGCCTCCAGACAAATTCGATAATGCGAATAATAACTTTAGTAATATTCAATCGAACGTAAAATATTTAATTAAATGTAAGTACACAAAGAGCATCTCAAACGATTCCTCGAATAAATATCTGAACAGTTTCGAAAGTTATGGTTCAATTAATAACTTGGAATTATTTTATTTCATCTACAACACACATTCTTTTGATTAGAGATCTTTTTCAATTTTAAAAATTTTATCACTAAAAATCAAAAAATCCAACTCTGATATTACCTATTTCATCCATATTTTTTTGTTTATTCAATCTTTCACATCAGTTCATGAATATTCAAAAATTATCTTTTATTTTCATTCATTCAGTTATCCACCGGAACTCCTGATAGACTATTTGGTGATCAACTATTTGCTTCCTCTTATTCGTTCTATCAACATAATTATTAAAGCTCTTTAAATGAGAATTCCTATGTATTTATCAATGATGCAGTTGTTCTTCTTTAATCTGAATACATAAAGCATGAAAATAACCGACTTTCAAACTTCACAATAGTAATCTCGAAAGTGCATGTTGTAATTTGCCTTTACGGAAATGTTTTCTATTTAGTATTTGACTCCATTTTCTATTGTTTTAACAACAAATAATAATACTTAAGATAACTGTAAGCTGAGGTGTTTACTAGTTCATCAAACGCACATTAAAATGAATATAATCTTTTCTTTTTTATTCACTTTTAAAGCTGAAAAAAAATGATCTAATTCAAGCTAAAAATTCATCTTTCTCTGCTTTCCCTTTCCTTTACTGATTTCTTTTCAGTGAATTTCTGATTCATCTAAAATATTTCTTAAAAGAAGGCTTACACTTTCATGCGCGCAGATTGTAGAACGTAAGCTGAGAAATTGGCTTGGATTACTTTCGCATAGTACGGATCATCTACGTCTCAATCTAAGCTTTCGTATACTTACGCTACTCATTCTCCTTTTTCCCGACTCTCCTTCTTTGTCCACCAAGAAAACGAAGGGTAGCATACGCCTGTATGTTCTTGCTTTTCAATGTGCTTGCCGTAAATGGAAATGGATGAAGATTGAATTCGGTCCAGGGGTGAGTGTGAAGCGCGTTCAGACAGAAGTAAAGCTACGAGGGAAAAAAAGTAGAAAATTGAGAAACTCAAAGAAAAGGGTCAGCAATATTCAGTGTCTCCTTTTTATTCGTTTTTTTTTTCTATGCCAACGAGGTAGACATGTGGTCTTTCTACTCATAGTAACCTACAATTTGCTGCTATTCACGATTAGAAAGCTTGCGATTGCAGAGTAAAATTTTCTGGATTAGATTTGACTTTTTTTTGGACATCCCTTTTCTTATGTTTCTTCTTATATCCTGTATTTACCAGCCGTCATCACTTGGATTTAGAAAACTCTTGAGGATAAAAAGGTTACCACAAAGAAGGGTACTCTACTTTTCTTTTCATTCATTGATGTCTTCTATTCTTTTCAATTTACTCAAAGGTAATGAAGTTTGTCAAGTGGACACTATGGTAAACAGGATATTCCGATGTGCATTTAAACTAGTGGAATGGTAAACACTTCAGCAACAGTTTACTCGGATACCACAAACGGAGTAATCTTCATATTTTTGCATGCTAATTATGCTTAATGCAGATTTTAGTCAATATATTATTCTTTTCGAAAGTGCGTATTAAGGATAATTTTAATTTTGAATAAATATTTATATAAATATATACCCTTTCGTTCTCTCACCTTTAACTCTATGGCTTTCGTAAGCCCATGTCTTTTCGATTCACCTTCCGGATCCTTACTTTGAGAAACTTCCAACTCTTATACTCTTCTTCCTTTGCAAAGTCACCAAAGACTTCTATCACGAGAATAGAATTTTAATGGATCGTTTCCAACCTATTTCTTCTCTCCAGTTTCTTTAAAATATTCATACGTTTCATACCTTCATAAGAACAAATTGGAAATATTCTAAAATATCTATTGATAATTTATCATTACTCATCAAACTATAAAAGAAATTTTTATATTTTTAAAGTGTATGGGAAATAGTAATTAACAATTGTTAAATTATAAAAATAAAATCAGTAAAAATAGTTTCAGACTAATTGAGAAGCCATATTTAGTTAAGTTCACTAGAATATATAAGTAGACAGTTGATATTCAAATCCGTTGGATGATGTCAAATAAATTTAATTCATTGTTTAATTTTCATTGCAGTTACGTGCATTCACTAAGGACACAAATATCATCAGCAGAAATACTCCTAGACTGCTGCAAGTGAGAGAAATTGTCCCTACGATTTCGTTATCGTCAATGCAAACGAAAACGAGGGCAATTAAAGTAAGCAAACGGATATATAAATGGACTTTGAAAGTGCATGAATATCGAGTAAGTTCTCTTATTCGATGGAGGGAAGCTACGCCTTCGACTTCCTATTGAAGACAATGCCCATTGTCTTGATAATAGGTACGTTAGAGGGTGTCGCGTAATCTAGCAATTCACTTCAAAAGCTAAAAGCTGCACGCGCACCTGTAAATGAACGAGTATATAAGGATTATAACGATGAGGAAAATCAATCTTCCAGGAGTAAAATAGATTCTTTTCAAATGGTGAGATTAAGAATGAAATTAAAATAAATTTTATGCACTCAATAATATTTTCGTTCATTAAAATAACCAGTTTTAATGGTAAAACTTGGATCCAATTACTGGTAATACCCCTGATAAATATAATTAAGGTAAGAAATTTTTAGTCATAAAAATAAAAATGAATTTTCCTGAAGAAATTTTGACGTAATAAAATTTGAAAATTGTTCCAGACGTTTATTTTCTTTTGTAAGTAAATTATATGTTTTACTTGTTCAAATATAAAACTTTAATTAAATTCTCCTGCTACGTCACAAGGACTATTTCTAACTTAATTGTTCATTGTCCAAGATAACTTTATACCTTCAAGTGCTTGTCTTACTTAATAGGGTCAAACGATCTTGAGTTCAAAAACTACTTTCTTGAATGTAGAAAACCATTTGTGGCAGTTCGAACTCGTCAAAAATTAAACTTCTCCAACTCTATCTGTTTCTTAATTCTGCATTTAGAAATTATATTTTCACATTAATTTTGATTTATTATTAAAAATTAAAATATTTTTCACAAATAAAATAAAATGTTACTTAACATTATTCTGCAAATAATAAACGGTTTGAAATAAAAAATTTTAGTTATGTAATAAGAGAGTTTATTGATGTGTATTTAAATATAAAATGTCAATGCAAGTAAACTAATTTAGAATATAAAAAGAAAGCTAACGTCAACAAAAAAGAATTATAGAGAATTTGATTAATTTTCTTTATGATGTAATTTGAAGATGATTTTTTTATAAAATTTGAATATTTTCAATGAAAAAATTGATTCAAAAAGTATAACAGAATCATTGAAAAAATTACTTTATTCAAATCTCTAATTAAAAATAATACACGTTATCTTTGACAGATAAAAAATCTAAACAATAATTTTATTGGTCATTTAATTAAAATATAAATAAAGTAAGATTTTATTATAATATTCAATAATTGAATATTCTTTGAATTACACAACAAATTGAATATATTGAATGAATTTTTTTTTTCAATTTTTATTTGATATATTTCTTCTCTTCTTTACAATCTTTTATATAATGCTATTATGTTCAAATATAATATATATATATGTATATATATATATATATTTTACAGTCTTATTCATTTTCACAAAATCAATAGTTAATTATAGAATCCTAAATATTTACAATAACAAAAAATGCCATTCATTTAATGTATATTAATTCTGCAGAATCCTCCATATATCTCTATTGATATATCTCTGAAATTTTCTCAAATTTATTATAATTAAATATATATACTATTATTAACAATCGCATAACCAACAATATCGTCTAGTATTCGATGCATTCTAATGTTAACCCAAGTCAAAAATGTTCAACACTCAATTAACACTTAAATTCGCAATCTATGGAACAATCTTAATACTTTCGGCACAATTTGATCAACATGATTATTGTTAAATTTTATTACATTACATTATTACAATAATATTTTATATTTAATATACAGTTTTTGTATAGTCTTTTCATGGGTTTGTATTCAATGTATTTATTTTTTATTTCAATTATATTCAATAATTGAAATTTTAATTTTTAATGAATATAATTTTTTAAACCTATATTATTCAAGTAGTAATTGAAAAAGTGCTTTAATAATTACAATACATAGTTTAATTAAAAAATAAAATTAAAACAGATATCATCCACTTGCAAAAAACAAATAATTTAGATGATATTTTACATAGAAGTACCAATTATTACTCCACAATCATTTTAATTACACCAATACTTAATTAAAAACGAGTGTACTACAATCAATGTAAATTTTACCGAAAAAATTGCAGTTATTTTCCATTGACTGTTCGATAGAAAAATTACAAGCCATTGTGTAACATTGAACGAAATTGAAAAAGATAGTTTGGAAAATTATAACTTGAGCGTTGTTTAATTATTATTGTTGTATCTCTAGTCGTGTTATTTATATTCAAATATGATAAAACACTCTGATTTATTACCACACTTTTAGTGGCATAACGACTTGTTATCTAGCAAGCCTTCAATTACCAGAATTACTGTTTAACAGAGAAAAATCAGATCATTTTTCAAATTACTGAATAGTATTTTACTCACTTGAAATATAATATTTATTCACATTGCATATAAACTTTATTAGAAGAATTTAAGAGATTAGGCCATTTGAAAGTTTTTATCAGCTTTGTGGTGAAAATCTTATGAATACAATGACTTTATTAATGACAATTAAAACTACGATCTCTTGGACTGATCAGAATCAAAACTAGTAGGTGAATAAAGACCTAACTTTAGTCCCAATTCTTTCGGCCTTCTCGTCGTATTTCTGATAGGAAAAGGATTAAACTGAGTCTTCGGACTTGGTGTGTCATTAAATTTTGCTCTACCAACTCTATTAGAATTCTCTAAAGGTTCCAAAGTCATAGAGGTTTTGCGATAGGTGATAGAGTCTCTGACTGGAACTTCTGTATATTTCAACGATCCATGCTTCTCTGTGAATTCTGGATGAGAAACTGATTCTGCTGGTCCTGCAGCTTGTAAACTTGGCGATAGTTTAGTAGTATAGGTGTTGATAGAGCCAAAGTCTCGGCTAGTGAACTGATAGTTTGGTGAGTGTGCTTGTGAATTTCGTCGTCGTAAAGGTACGTAAGATCCAACTTCACTTTCACTTTCAGATATTTGATAACTCTGCCGCTCGTAGTTATTCTCTGGGGTTTTAGGATAAACAAAATCTGTTGCGAGAACATTCTTTTGGCTAAAAGTATTAGATTTATCATAAGAGAATTCAGAAGGTGATGTCAAACTCTTGAGTACAGGAGATTTTTCAGAATAATACGAAACTCCTCGATCTAATTCAAGTAGTCCTGGTTGATAAGATTCAAGAGGGAAATTATTTTCATGGATTCGCTGACTGGGTAATGGCTCATCATCATATCTAACGCGAAATTCAAGTATTTCCTTTGATAAAATCTGTCTCTTTAAATCAATGTCATAAGTTCTTGAACTATTGGCAACATCATCATCAAATTCAAAGTCTGAACCAAGTGACTTTTTGTATGAGTGAACGGCAAATGGATTGTTGGAAGATTTATGAGATAAAATTCTTAAAGCTTGAAAATCGTATGGCTTATAGGAGGATGAGGAGGTGGAGCTATGAGGACATTCTAAAGGCGAGGTCTCAAATGGTTTTTCCGGCTTAGTAGGATATTCTAGTGAGGATAGTACTTCTGAAAAGGATAAAGACTCAGTCGTATAAGCATTTGGTGAAATCAACTTTTGTGTTATAGTGGACGGCGTAGTCACTGGAAAAACACGCGCAGACGATATCTTATCCAATTTTTCCAATTCACGATAAATGTCTATATCACTTTTCGGAGACAAGTTTTGCAGTTCGTATTTTGTCGAATTTACTCGAAAGTCGTGTGTACTTTCACTGTACTGTGGAAACTTTTCTGATTGAATAACAGAGTCTTGAATAGAACCAAGATCACTTCTTGTATCAATTGAATCGTTAGACGAGTTGTAAGAAAATACATTTGTTGAGATACTAGAAATATCTGGAGCTTCTAAATCACTTTGATTCTGACTCAAAGATTTTTCACAATAGCTCGGACATGCTGGCGATCGTCTGTCAAAATTCACTAATAATCTAGATAGTTCATCATTTATTTGTTTATCAATTAAAGCTTCTCTGGTATCTAAATAATCATCAACAATTATCTCATCGGTATCTACGGGATTTATTGGCAAATCATTATCATCTATAATAGAAAGTTTTAAAAGTTCATCGTTTATTTTAGCATCAAACTCTGAACCAGTTGTTGTCATTTGGTCGAAATCCTTAAAATTAATTCTAGCTAATTCTTCATTTATTTCATGCTCATTAAATCCCATCTTCTCTAAGATAGGACTGAAAATTTTTGATATCTCTTCATTAATTGGACTTATGGTTATTTCTTTTGATATTTCCTCTAAATCTGGAAGACATTTTTTTGCTTGACATGTAAGTATTTTATGCAGAATAGCTGAATTTTCTTGAATTATTTTTAATGCTCTATCATTACTACTTCTACGTCCATTTTCGCCTCTCTTACGTGGCTTTACTTTAGTCCAAACACCTAATTTTGCTTCCTTATCATCATCTGGTTCTCCATTTGCTTTTTTTTGAGTGTAATTTTTTAAAATACTATCACTATTCTCATCGATTTGAATCTTGGGTTCTACAACATATCCTTTTCGTCCATCAGTGATACTGATACTTGGAATATCTATTCTATACTTGGAAAATTGACTAGCAGAATCACTAAATGTATCCTGACGTCTTGCTTCTAAATTTTTCAAATCTTCCCAATCATATCCAGTTGCTCTTGTGATATTAGCATCTGTTGTTGATAGAGTTTCTGATGAAGAAGCTTCTAAATGCCTTAAATCTGCTAAAATATCACTACTTCGTTTTTTGTTAGAAAAGAAATCTTCAGCAGAAGCTGATAATTTCATTTCACCAAATCTTTTATCCAAACTACTACAGCTTCTTTCAACAGGCTTCGATTCAGTGTGCAATAAAAAATTATTAGTTTTACCGTCGTTATGAAAATCCGACAATTTCAAATGTTTTAAATGGATGTCAAATCCTTCTCTTTTTCCATCCATTGAGAAAGATTTATTTTTATCATCTCCAACAACAAATTCTTCCTGTATATTTTCGCTAAAATACTTTCTACTTTTTTTTTCTTTTTCATAATCTGTTTCTTTTTTACCTTGCTGTGTTTTTTTGCTCAATGTGGCAGCTAACTCTGCTTCAAATGGTCTTCCCGAGTCGTAATCATCGTCACTCTTGGATATTTTTATATCAGAAGTTTGTGAAAATGATGAACTGTTAATGTCTTTTAAATATAAACTTGGTTTTATAGAATTTTCAGAAGTAATATTCGAATATTTGACATCAAATTTATTCTCATTATCAACGCTGATTTTATAACTTGAATTACTTCCTCGGTTTGGAGAAGAAGATTTTTTGCTATTCGGATTAGAAATTGGATAGAAAGGAGAAATAACTGAAGTATTACCTGGTGATTCAGGTATATCATCAATCCCTCCATAATTACTCGTGTACTTGATAGAGTTGGCACTTATTGGTGATTGAAGTCCAGAACTAAATGACCTTTCAGAATATTTAGTTTTATTAGGACTGTTGTAAGAATCGCTAGAGCTACTGACTATTAACTTTGATGGACTTGGATCAGATTTATTTTTCAACGAATCAGTGCTTATAGAAGTGGATGGAGTAGATTTATCAAAAGATGGTCTCGTTATTTCAGATTGTGAGTCTCCTTGCAATCTTAGCTGTCGAATTTCTGAATCATTTGAAGCAAGTGTTAATGTTTTTGAAGTTGAACATGTGGAAGAGTGTTCAGACTTATCAGCGTCAAATTTACATGAATCCGGCCTCATTGGCGTTCGAGGACTCGTAGCCATACTGGAGACTTTTGAATCTGGTCCCATTGTCTCTCCAGAACTGAATGATACATTACTCTCCGGTGTTTTGGGGCTCCTCTTTTTATCCTGAAATACATTCAAATCTTGAGAATACGAATCTAATGTAAATGTATGATTTCTATCTTTTAAATCTTCAGATACAATTTTTTCTCTTCTTGAAAAATCTTCTTTCTCTTTATTTAAATGTATTATTCGATCAGAAGCCATGTCAAATTCTGATAGTCGAGTTGTTTTAAACTCTGGAGTTGTATCAGATCTACTTAATTCAGATACTGAATCAGATTTATAAAATTCTAATGTTCGATTAGGTCTTAGTAATTCTGGTAATGTATCAGCTTTTTTGAATTCTGGTATTCTATCAAATTTAATTACCTCTGGTTTATTATCAAATTTCTTTAATTCTAATATTCTTTCGGGTTTATTTAAGTGTAACGTTGAATCAGATTTATCTAGTTTTAATGTTTGATCAGATCTAATTACCTCTGGAGTTATATCTGCTTTATCCAAGTCTGAAATATGATCAAATTTATTTAACTTCAACTCTCGATCAGACTTATAATCTGAATCAATTAATTTACTAAGCTTTTGTTCAACGGTGACAGGAGAAATTGGCAAATGACCAATAACATATGAACATGGATAATAGGATCTTTTTTCATTACCAACATCCAATTCTGTTTCAGAAGTATTAGGATGTTTTATAGCACCATCAATTATGTCAGATTTTGACGAAATAGGAACTTTAGACGAAGTGCTTATTTCAAAATCTGATAAAAAGTTTGATGAATGTGATGAATATTTTAATTCCTCATTATCTGTCTTTTCTTTCAAGCTAATTATGGATGACTCTGTACTTAAACTTGGCTCAGCAGTCTTTTTAGTTTTTTCAACATTCACAGTTAATTCTGTAATGTCATCTTTTAGTAATTCTAACGATTTTTCTTTCAAATTTTCAAAATCATCATTAAATTTAACTTCATTATCTACTTTTGTTTCAAAATTATGTAAAAAATCGTCAGACATTGGTTTCACAATGCTCTTTTCAGCAGCTTGTTGAAAAGATTCATCTATTAGATCTTTCCCATCCTCATTCTCAAGTTCACTCTTTTCATCGAGTGACACATGAGAAATTTCAAGGCTATTATCATCAGCAGAAAGTCTTCTTATCTGATCAGTAATTTTAGCTATCGAAATTTCATCTAAATTTTCTTCACTCATTTCATCCGCCGTCTGTGTAGAATGTTGAGGGCAATCTTTAGAATTTTGTACTGAATGAATTAAAATTTTTCCAGGGATGGGAGATGATCCAGGTTGGGGACTCTTGTCATCATCAGAAGCCATAACGTAGTAATCAGATGTAGAAGTAGGTTCTTCACTATCACTAAGATGTTCAATTTCATCACAAAGCTCTGTAGAAGTGCTATCACTGTCACTGTCAATACTTTCTCTCCTTGATGATTTTGTGCTGGTTGGTAAATTTTCAGAGGATTGAAACGACTCTGACTCTCCCTCATCTGTCACTGAAACCATAACAAATCGATAAGTTTGGAGCAAAACAAACTATTTTCTACTTTAAATTAGAGTGCATGCTATAAAAATTATATAAAATGTATTAACACTTATTTTTAACAGTTGCAAAATCAGAAATGAGTTAAATAAGTTGTTAAAGTCACGATATTAACGATTATATCACTAAACTAGTGATATAGGCAATGCAATAATCAGACTCGACAACACGAGCGGACATTGACCTCTCCTACCACGCCTCTATCAATACTGGGTGAATTTCTAGTGTTTAGATAGTAAACTAGGAAACTTTCTATTACTTATCATGCAAGCTTCCGTAAAAGTTGTAGGACCACAACCTAAGCTATCGACCAACGTAAAAGCTCTACTCCGAGTTTCCAATTGGCAATCTCAACTTTACCAGCAATGGATAAATGAAGTTGCGGGAAAATTTTATGAAACTGTGTTTGTAATTTAAAAGTTTTATGAGAGTTCTTTATAGAAAAAAATAAACATAATAATGGATTATCAATAATTAAAAATTTAAACAAAGACACTTTTTTTATCGAAAGATTTATAAGTAACTAAGTTGTTTTCTAGTTGAATATGTAAATTATAAAATTAATCATTATTATTAAACTAATGCAATAGATTAAAATATTTACCAGCTGGTTCATTTTTCGGATCCTTTAATTTTTTCAAATCCTTCATGTCTTTCCAGTGAATCGTGATACCTTGTTTTTCTCGACGAGCCTGATTTTTAGAACCATGAAGCGAATTGATCCGTATTTTTTGGGGTATTGAACCCGGAGGAGGCCGTAGCTGTCTAGTTTTGGAGCTGACTAAAGCACTTTTTCCAACTAAGAGGTGGTTCATCGCTTGAGATGAGGAAGTTGAGACCATTGTCTGCCTCGCACACGCAGCTATAGAAAATTTATAATAATAAGTGATTTTTCTACATTTTCGAATAAATCTATAAATAATTTATATGGCAACCAATCAAAGTACTATGGGACTGCGATTATCTATAAATGGATTGATAGTTCATTGATTGAAATATTTGATTCTCAAGGGGTGATTTTTTACCAGAAAGAATTATATGAGCTTGTCGTTGACGCTCTCTTATCTTGGCATATTGTTTTTTTAAAGAACCAATGTCTAAAGCTATTTTTTCTCCTTCATTGGGATTAAGCATCTGTAAAGTATTTGATGCTGATCGACGATCTAAAATTAAACAGGGGATAAATTAAAAGGGAAGAAAATTCCTAAAAAGATGTAATTTAAAAAGAAAAAAGAATATTAACAATTGTGAAAACCTTTCTTAAACCGCTGCGGAACACCTAACACTGCCGTAGCAACAGCCATCTTTTCATCATCTTCAGTATCAGTATCTTCATCATCACTTAATTTTCTGGTCCAAGGAGTTATATTATATCTATGTTTTTCTCTTAAGTTCGTAATACCTTGTAAATTACCCATATTTACAATCGTCTGCATAAATAATATTTCACAAATTATGTATCAAAAAAAAAAGAAATTAGCTATTTACATAGAATTTTTTTCACCAACCTGTATCAAATTATTTGTGTCAGTAAACTCGAGCATCTCTTTCATCAAAACACCCATGATACTATAAAACTCATCAGCAGAAGTGACGGTCATGATTCGACTGAAAGATCAAAGTAACAAGACATCAATATAGTTTAGTGTAACTTAATTTCTAAATCTTTCAAAAGAGATAATATTGAAAAACTTCTCAAGTACGCACTCGGCAATCCCTTCCCAAATTGCCAGAGAAACTTTCAACAAAACTTCATCGCCTTCAAGAAAAATAAGATCCCAAACTCTCAAAACTGCATCTTGAGGTAAGCAGTGACAAAAAAGTGTAAGAAACCACTGCATGGTGAAGACATTTGTTAAAGGAGGTTCATAACTGCTTCCTATGATAGATAAATTATAAATTAGTTCAATACTTTTTTAAACTTTTTAGCCAACAGCATTTAACTAAGACGATAAATTAAAAATAAATACCTGTAGCTTTGTCTTTTATGTCAGATTGAAGAGATTCTAAATGTTTTGATAACTTAGGCAGCCTCTGTTTCAAAAGATCTCGAAAAACAGCCATATCAATAGATAATCCCCGGAGGTTATCAGCATAATATCCTTCTGGTAGGACTCCTTCGATGAGATAAATCATCACTTTCACTGCAGCTGCTTCATTTCTATCAATTACTTGAAGAACAAGAGCAGCAAGTACATTTAAACCTTGACAATAGCCAACAGCTTTATTCCATCGTGCATAACCCAATAATACACGACGCAGCACTGCTTGATTATCTCGGCCAGCTGCACCACAGAATAAACTGCATCCTGTTCTATGCAAATCCTGAAATAAAACAATAAATATGTAAATATTTTATTCAGAATTATCAAAGAATGAAACTAATTTTAATCGAAAATATAGTATGGTTTTCACTATTGAACTAAAAAAATCATTGACAATATTTTTTTATCATCTATAAAAAGTTCTTTTCATAAGAGGGAATACATTTTAACGATTATTTTTGATACAAATGTATTACTCTATTTTCTGAACAATGGGACATGTTGGATTCATCAAAATATATTAGAGATCTTAAAATCATCCGTTGATATTTCAAAATGTAAAGAAAGAAATCACATAACTTTATATTCGCAGTAAGTCTACAAATATGCAAAATGTTTGACGTGACTAGATAAATGAAATAAGAGCTAGTTGAGCATAATGAAAACTAATGTGGAAGTTAATCTCTTTCCCTTTGAATACTAAATAGAATTAATTGTTTAGGATGATACTGTAAAATTTATAGAAGCGTGTTACTGGATTGCATGGTAAACTCTACTACAAGTAATAAAACAAGTGTTGTATAACACGATAAAAATATATTGTACCTAGCAGGAACAATATCTATATACATTTCTAACATATACTTGACCTTTATTTTTGTAAAAATACAATACCATAAAAATATTATCCTTCAAAAAAAGTTCTATCGTGAATTCTTATTTATTTTCTTTATATTTTTTGAATCAACAATAACAATAAGCTAACATTAAAGTGGTTTTAATAAAATGCAAAAGATTTTCTTTGCAACTGGTTTGAAATTATTCTAATGCGATTATTGAATGAGGCTTCACTATTATTTCTTCGACTTACATTTCTCCTCCGAACTAAATTACATCTCAAATCAATATCTCATCTCCAACTTACATTTCACAAAATATTTCAATCAAGACATATTACATGACGTGACAATTACAAAAAATGAAGAAGAATAAAAATTTGTTCAAGTATGACCTGGTTATTTTAACCTCAAGACTTTATAAACTTAAAGAGAAGCTCTTGACCACTTTAGTGAAGAATCCTCATTAAGTTGAAGGGTTTACCTTGACGATTTGTATACCGAGCTCTTCGTCATCTGGATTTGTCCATTCATTGAAACAGAGTTTCTCTGCCTGTTTCCAGTCTACTCCACGTTGCTCTAAATGACGCTCAGCTAGTGTAAGCCACAGCTATATGCATATAAATATTATTATTATTCAAGTATTTAAAAGAATCAGCTGTTAATGAAACTTTGTTTTTTAAAGAACTTACTCTTTTACGAAACTCTTCAGGAATTCCTTCAGGAAGTCGTGCAACCATTCTCATAGCATCGAGCCATTGTCTGAATCCGCTTTCGCCTGGTTGAGGCATCAAACTGAAGCGCATTCTCATATCCTCACCTGTCAATAAATATTTCATTTTATTAAAATCAATTGAAAGCTTACCACTTATCTAGCTATATCTGTCACTACATATAAATTTGATTGACGTTATTTATGCTTAATGATCATTCTAATTAATTGATGTCTAGAGATACTCATTCGGTAAATTTAATTATCAAAAAAGAATTCAAATTCTAAAAAAACATCTATCAACTAGTGATGGTCAATGAATATACCATTAGTAATGTAATAAAATCGATTTTTCTGCTCTGCCAATTATCATATTTAATGAAAGTAGTATAAATATAGAATAAATATTTTCATATAAATAGATGACGGAAATAACTTAATATACAACAATATATTAAGAGATACTCGATTGGAACTTTCCAAGTATATCGATCATCCACTTGAATTGTATGGGTGTCAAAAGTCTATATTCTACATCAGCACTTTGATCTTATCCTAATCTAATAATCATAATGATACCATTTACTAAATATTCAACGAAACTCATGAATCTTAACTTTGACCACTTGTGCTCAAATTATTTCAAAAGAAAAACCTGTTTATAGCTTGTGCAAATAAAGTGAAAAATTAGAGAATTTAATTTAAAGCTTCATATAATAGGTCAACTCTACAATTTGTTAAGCACGCCTCATTTAAGCTATTTGACCCGAGTGGGTAATATTCAAAAGTATTGCACAATTATTTTTCCTTTTTTTTTAATTACTTTTTATTGATTATAATTCTTTTCTCTTTTACTTTCTTCAATTCCCTCTTTTTTTTCTTTTTAAAATCTCGAGAGTGTATGAAGTACTCTTCATGGTAATCTTTTCGATGTCATCACTTGCAGAATGACGTTGAATATTTTGAATTTACAGTTTTACGATTGAAAATATAAAGTGAGAAGTAGCGAATAATATTAGATTTAATACTAGAAAAACTACAACTTGTAGAATATTGAAATACAACATAAATCCAGCAAATATACATGAAAATATCAATATATTGCTTGACCTATGTTTTCCATTTATAGTACATTTGTAAATACGTTCAGCTTCACATTCAAATAAGACTAAAAAATATTGAGTCAGTTTATTTCAACAGAATAGTCAATAAATAAATTTATCCTTGTTCAGTTATGAATTTTTTTGTGTTTTTATCACGTTTTATTTATGTATTTTTTTTTTAATTTTTGTATCCAATGTAGTGTGCAGCAAGTTAAAAAAATATCTTTAAATATCTTGGAAAAATGTAAAATAAATGTAAATATTATACTGAGAGAATATTTTCAGTCAAGTACAAAAAAATCAGAATTTTTCTATTCTCATCATGGAACAAATCATTTTGTTTCTGATATTGGCATGAGAACTCTACACACTTCATATATTCTCTTTTGTTTTAATATGCATCATATTTTTTTATTTATAAAATACAATATCCTTTTTTCTAAATTCTTTATCATTTTTATTTCACAAAGCAAATGAAATTGAATAAAAACTGGTAAGTCGTTGTTAGCAAACAATTTTAACCATTAATAAATTTTAATAAAACTCTTTCATAAAAGTATCACCTTCGTCATCATCTTCCTCTTGGTACTTGGAAGCAGTACCAGCAACGTTCGCGGCTCCGGACGCGAGGCTTTTGAGGGAATTAAAAAATCCACTCATTCTCCTATCAAAGTCTCTTCTCCTTTGTCTTCATTTTTTTTTTATTAATTTATCACTTTAATCCAATACTAGCCATTGTCACATTTCATTGTTCTTGATAATTTAGTACCATAAAATTTTAAAATTCTTGAGAATTCAGTGATGCTTTCTTAACCACATGTCGTTACAAAGTAGTACAATCAAGTAGTAAAGTCAACAAAACGTCGGCAAGTTGGAGATTTCATCAAACACCTCGACCTTCACTTTCTTTCTGGAAGTTAAAATTGATTGCTATTGACCCGGACAAGACTAACAACCAAGTCCAAGTCACGCATATTTTTTCCAACATGAAAAAAGTCAGTAAAGAGGTCATGTAAATTATCTACTAAAGAATAAACAAATTGATAGTGTAAATAAAATATTGAATGAATAAATTTTAAGTAGATATCTGTTGAATAATTTATTCAATAAGCTTTTATTTACTTTGAACATTAATTTTCTATTTCAAACAATAGTCATCTTCTGTATAATTATCACAATAAAATTGATGTATATCTCTGTTGGATTTTATTTTCCTTTTTTTCCTGACTACATCTATTTTTTTGTAATCATTCCCCTTGGTGTGGCATAAAACTAATCTACACCCGGCAGAAATCACTCCTCATGTTGATAACCTCGCTCTATTTTCTTTAATATTGTCAGATAATTTTCATTTTACATTATTATCAACAGTTTCTTCAAGTTATCCTTCAAGAGATAGTTTATAACTTTTTAATGAGTACTTAATTTTCTTACTCACTAACTACTAACACTTGGAAGAGTGATAGTGATAGAAATGTTAATTTCTGAGTTATTTATAGAGTTTTATCCATTTTTAGAACAACTGAAATTTTTGTTACATTTGGTTGGTTATATTCTTTTAGCCAAACAATTACATTTGTTAAAAATAATCACAATAGAAAGTATAAACAATGTGCGGTGAATTTTTTATATCATACTTTCTGCTTCAATTCTTTTATTTTTATCACAAAAAAATACTTCGATAACCATATGACTTTGAGTTACTTTTCAAAATATCTATTTATCATCTTAGTAGTTTATTCTTGACACTTCTTGACTGTAAAATAATTAAAAGCCAATGACTTTTATAAATTCTAACAATCAATATTTAATTGATAAATATTTTATTTTCATAAAGTAGATGGTATAAAGTACATGCGATTATTATTCATAAAATTAATCATATAATAATCCAGTATGAACAATATTAGCCACTTGAAAATTCATATTTCATTTTTATTCAATGCACGCCTTCAGTTACTTTCAATTTTAGAAGCAATCCGCGACGCATTGCTGTATCGATTCTACGTTATTGATGAACAGTTGTGTTATCTCACGTCTTTTAGATAAAACAAAATACTGAACTAAAAAATAAAATCACCCACACATAATATTATAACCATAATTCACAAAAATAAATACACTGCAATATCTTGGGAAATTTAGAACTAAACGTGCTGTATGTGATGGTATCGTTGAGTCAGCTGAGAGCAGAGAAAGAGAGGGATTTATCAAGACTAGTAATACATAACGCGCGCGCACAACCCCAGTTGGGCTTCAACTGTTGGAAGGGTGGCTTTCCTCTAGTGCCGTCCAACTAACTGTGGTATCATTTGAAATTCTTTCAACTACCCCAGATATACAGCTTTTTACGCAGGCGCTTTGTATCACATTTTCCCTTTCACATATCTAGTTAATGCACTTTCTACTATTTTTCTCCATTTAATTTATTCATTTCTTGTTTTAAAATTGCTGTGCTTATTCTGTTGATTGTTTGTTTCTGAGCATTTATTTCAATTGAATAATAAAGAAAGCCGATTAAACAAATAGAGAAAACAATGTTGATACTAATTTCCTTTTTATGGTAAGGAAACGTATTTTCATAATAGCCTTCTAAGGGACTTATGATAATGGAACACTTAATATATCTTAATTAAAAATATCATTAAAAGGGGTGTCTATTAATCGGTTGGAATATTAAATTAGAAATTACTCGAATGTAAAACCAAACTTAACAAAACCAAATTTATGACTGATACCCACATCAATGAACTAAAATTTTTGTAGGTCAATCTTGAATAAACTTCCCTCTCTTTTCATCTATTGATACACACATGTTCTCTTGTTATATATATTCGATTTATTTTTCCATTTTTACTGGTAAAGTTTTAAATTGAAATAAAACATATTTATAATTTGAAATAAAACTTTTGAATACTTATAAAATTGTATTTGAATTTTCATCATTACTATGATTTAGGTTTGAAATTCAAAACTTTCCTTAAAAACATCTATAATTATTTTGTAATAAACTTCCGAACAAGATTGCTCACAATTTTGTCGATAATCAGTAGATCAACTGAGAAAGGAGAAAGTTTTAGAAAAGTAAAGTCAGCAACTTATAATGAAGATAAATTTAAATTGAGAGACTGTAATTATAGAGATTTAGAAAAGTGATGATAGAAAATAACTAAGTATCAAACTTAATGAGAAACATACGCTATAAAAGGCTGTTCAATTTTGGTAATACACAAGCATGCGTGTTATAAATTATTTGAACCAAAAGTATCATTATTGATCTCTGTAACACACTCCACGTGCACGAAACTCGCTTTATCCTCTTACCGCGTGGTACTAACACCGGAATTTTGTTTATGCACTTCATTACTGAACTGAATTGACTGATAAATATTGTGGTTTTAGTTAACCCACGTATTTTACGTCCTAATCTGCATGAAATATCACTAAAATTGATAACGATTGAAAAACCACTTGATTAAATTTTACTACTTTTTGATCAATAATTCAATTTCATTAACTATGAAAATTAATATGTAAAATAAACAATCGGGATTAACTATGAAATGAGTTCTTACTTTTGGAAATGCGAAAGTAACTGAGATGATAATTGTAGGAAACCCGCAATGCAGGGGCCATTGATTCAAAGTATTTGGACAGAATAAAGAATTGTCTGAAATTGCGCTTTTTAAACTACTGTTAAGTGCCATTTGCATTCTATCCATTAAACTTGAAGCTTTTTTAAATTTTTAGTTGGAATACTAAATAGATGAAAAACTAATTAAAATAGCAGTAAACCTTAAAGTTTAATAACGAGATGTTGCTCTTTGATGGATTTTAAATTAAATATATACCATATTTCTATTTTCTTATTTCGAATTACGAATAAATATAGATTCAAAATCCTAATGAAACTGCAGTATCAAAGAGTAGAAATGTTTGACCTCACTTTACTCGTCAAAGGTAATCGATTGATCGTATTTTAATATGAATTCTTTAATAAACTGATTCGAATGGGTTTATCAAACCTAATGATAAAAAGTATTGAATATCTAATACCAAAGAGAAATAAATGCATGGTAACTTGTGCTCACGTGAGAATTTAAGAGGGTCAGTTAATTATTATATCGTGACATACTGCAGTATAATAAAAAAAACCTTAAAATGTGAATAAATCATTAAAAAAAAAATTATCCAGTTGAAAAATTTTTATACGTGTGATGATTATCCGATAATACTGTTTGAAAATACTGATAAATAAAATTCATACTTCTTTTATTGCTATAAGCTTGAAGATGAGCAGTGATTACGTCGTATTGTCTGTCACGTTTGGTCCGTAGATAATCTCTCCTTCGTAACTGACGAATAAGCAAACCTCCAGCATGATTAATATGAACGCGCAAAGTTTCCAACACTACGTTCAGTTCTTCTTGACCTAAAATTAAAACAAATAATGAAACTTTTAAAATCCGTATACGCAAATAGTAAATTCAAGAATTAGTTCTCACTTTTCAATTCAAGACGAGCTTTTTGAAGATAATGATGATGGGGACTTGGTCGAGAAGATGAAACAGTCGAATCACTATCTGAACGTCCGTGGCAATCATGCCTCGGGTATCTGTAGATGTCTAGCAATAACTGATCTACCAAAGATGAAACTAGAATTTCTTCGTTTGATTCTTTGACACTTGGCAATGGATAGCTCTGTAAGAAAAATTTTTATTTCTAATTGCAAAATAACTAAACGGAACAAAAAAGATACCTTTCTTCTTTCTAACGTAGAACAAGCATTTCCATTATAATTAACAGTACAAATGTTGGATTTATTCTGGACTGATGAATAAAAAGAAGCCAACTTTTGTTTATGTTTTTCTTTTAATGATATATTTCTGTTAAGCAGCATGAAGTCTGGAGTCTCAAGAGTTTCTTGAGCCAAATTAGGAATTTTTTTAGGACATTCTGGTAAAACTTGACTAAGTTCATTTATACAAAAATGTCCCATATTTTGATGGGTTATTATAAGATCACCAAAAATTTTTTCATTTTCTATACAGTAGCATTTCATTCGATAACTTAACTCTCCTCCCATATCACGTGGCATTATGACGTGATTTATTTTTTTAAGTTTTTTCAATTTCAACTGCATTGAATTAATCTTGTTTGTTACCTTTAACTTTTATTAAATATTGATAAATTAAAAATAATCATGAGAACAGGGAATTGACGTTCTTACCTGTAAAAAAAATAAATAAAATATAACTGGTATAATGATTATAATTGTTATATCAAATAAAATAAATATTTTTCAAAAATAAACTTTGTATAAAAAATGTTCGATGGTTATTAAAAGTGAACATAGTATAAAGTATATAAACAATCGACGAATGATAATATGTTGAAGAACTTTTCTGATGTAGAATTAATATTTTTTTTAGGAATAAGTCAAGTGTAAGTTGTATACTAAAGTTTCCTTAACTGTTCTAATAAATTAAAATAGAATAACGATATATCATAAAGAAGAGTGGGTGTTTTAACAACTAATCATCCACAGAGAAGATAAATGGCTACCTTGACCTTCCTTCAATCACAATGTTTGAGCTTGCAATCATTTACAAAAGCACCTCTTTTTAAACTTCATTTTAGTTATCAATTTAATTTACTGTAATATTAAACCTTATAAATATTATGTTACATTCTTATGATATTACTAGTGAAGATTAACCGCAAACACTTAATAAATTTTATTGTCACTGCCCATATTTTAGATCCAATTTATAGTAATGGAAAAAATTATTGGAAAACAAAAATAATATAGCCGAGATGACGATTTTAAATATTTTATATTTGTTTCTTTTTATAATTATTATGAACACTGTAATTTATTTCATTTCCATTCGTTTGATGAGTAGCACTTGTCACTGTGAAAATTTTAATCTATAATAATTATAATTGTAATTTACTGGCCACTCTCGGTTTCTACCATTCAAATATAAGAAGTTAATTCCTTCGCGGTATTCAGACTACAACTGGAAGTGACTACGATAAAAAAAATATTTTATTATGTGTTGTACTTACACGTACAAAGAAAAAGAAATAGAAAGAAGAGAGAAAGAGAGAGAAAAAACAAAGCTTAATTGTGTAGACAAACGATTGAGTAAGAAATTTATTGCAGAAGTTAATTATTTGAAGGCTGTCAATAGAATGTTATCAGAAATTGAACGAAAAAAATGAAGACAAAAAAATTTAGCTACATAATTTTTCGAAAATATACAATAACAGAAAGTAATTAAGATTACAGACCAAATATTTGGACGTTAAATTGAAAAACAAAAAAAAATTTAATCAAAATTTCTTCGAGTTTTTGTAAAATTTTGTACTTCAGTTATATTGGTGTAAATTTTAGTTGGTATAAAAATAGAATGAAGAAAAGTTTGATAAAATAAAATGAATAGTAATGAAAATGTGTTCGATAAATCTTACTTAACTGTCAACTATCAATTGACTTTTACCTTGTGTCAAGAGGTAGTGAATATAAAAAATTAGACGTACAGGTGTGCTTCTATTATAATCGCCACGTTACAAATGGCTCATTGACCCCTCCCCGCTCAGAAAAAGAGGAAGGGAACCCGTATCTATACTTCCCATTGCTTGATAAAAAAATACCGTGGTCAACATTGCTATTTATATTGACACGCAGTTAGTTAATATTCAGATATGACCATATTTCTTATCATTATGAATTAAATTCTATTCTTGCCTCAAGGACTTAATATGTAATGAATATAATTAATGCTTATCTACGTTATTATAAACATAGGAAAAGAAAAATTACAAAATTTAAACTTTTTAGTATTTATGATTATGTTTTTTATGTTAAAAAATATTCAACTTAAAGAACTCAGTTTGTAGAAACAAAAAAAAAGAATAACAAAATTTATATTAATAACGATTCACGGTTTTGCTTAAGCAGTTAACAACAAATAACTTCACAAGTTATATCAAGAATTAGAAAATGCATCTGTTAATTTTTTGTTTATCTAGAAGTGTTGTAAATAAAGTCCATTCATCTCTATGTAAGCTCTGTGTATTCAGTGAACCCATGATTTGGGGAGCCTAGAAGAAGAACGCCTACGCTACAATCTTTAGATGCAGTAATGATATCTAAAAATAACTTAAGGAATAAAATAAATATAAAAACTTATTACAATCAAGTTAGATTGATACTTTGAGAAAAAAAATGGAGTAATTTTTCATCAAAAAGGATACATTCGTCATAAGAAGATACATCTAAATCTTGGATGTCACCTTTATGTCGATAAACTTCTCCAAGATATTCGTGATAATTTGGATAGCGTCTATAACGCCTTAAAATACCACCATCACATACAGAATAAAGAGTACTTCCATTGGAAGTATATCGAAGTTTCCAAACTGGACAATCGTTGTGCTCTTTCAATAATTGTTGAACTCCTGAATCCGGAACATAGGCAGAAACGAGATCTCCACCACTTAACATCAAACCTTTGTTAGAAAATATTATTTAAATAGTTTGAAAAATGTCTAAAATAATACAACATTGATGTATGGTCAGGAATAGGGTATCCTCTTACTGTAAAAGCCATCATCATCGATTTTAGTGAAAGGTTCTGGAGTAACACAAACACAATTGACTGAATGTCCAGTTTGAAATGCATGAAGAACTCTTCCATCAGGAGAAGATACTTTACAGGTTCCATCGGAGCCACCAGTTAATATAGAATTTTGCCATGGCCATGACGATGGTAGAAAACAGATATCTCGTATAATTGAACCATGTAACTGTAATAAACCCATAAAGAATTCATTAATAATTAATGAATAATTGATTATTAACAGATAGCAGATGCTCAATAATGCTTTAACATACGTCATAAATAAAATCTAATGGCAAAGGCATTCGTAAATCCACCAGAGTAAGACCTTTGCCATTTACAGCTACGGATATTGCTAAATTTGGTCTTGACGGATCTGTTGCAAGTCCAGTTCGGTCTTTTCCACCGAATGCACAATTGTCGTACGCCAGGAGCTGTTCACCTTTTTCTACATCTATTACAACTAGTCTTCGAGCATTCGTAACTGCAATCACCTGTATTATATAATTTAATAACTTAATTACATCTTAAGTGTTAGTGATAGATAATTAACAGTATTTTAACTCAATAAAAGTGATCAAAATAATTTAATAAGTAGTAAAATTATATACCCGTGAACCATCAGACGTAAATCGAACTGCATTAACATTTTTAGCTTGTGTAATGTAATGCGGTGTTATCTGATAGCACAGGACGGACTCCATTCGAAGAGCAGAATAAAAAATAATTTTTCCATCGTATCCACCAGAACAGAATAAATATCTATCCTGTAAACAAAGAATTTCTTTTTAAATTAAATGAAATTAATGGGTGAATATTAATTTCGAAGTGACGATATATATTAAATAATGACATTTACATAACGATGATAACCCGTTTTATTGCTTTCCTGGCTTACTCGATATCAAAAGAGCAATGATGTATTGCGAAGTAGTTGATGGAACTGGAACTTATAGTTCTAAAAATAAACATTTCTGTAAATATAATGTTATACCCGTGGACTGAATGCGACGCTCCTCACGCTACCCTGATGATACTTCAAGAATTTGGGGCTTCCTTCTTGTTGCATGGTTAATATTTATTTTTCCTGTTTTGGTTAGACACCAAAACAATACGCAATTTCTAACTGTTCTTTCCGGGATATCTTAAATTTATTTGTCGTGCACTTTGCGAATAATTTCTACTCAATATTGACATTGTAGAAATTTGTTTGATGACTAAACTACACAATTGTTTGAATAATTGCTCGTAAGTTCAATAATGTCACTAAGAAAATGAGAAAACTCGGATAAAAAAAATATTTACATTTTCTGCGTTCACAAACTATCAGCTGGATACTTCAATATATCAACACTTTACTTTCTGTTTGAGGTTGGTAGACACTGGCACACATGGCCAGAGTAAATCTTGCATCAATAGATGTGGATGAAATAAGAAAAACATTTCATGTGGTTTGTGACTGTAAAGAAAAATTTTAAAAAATGCAGCTAATTTTTTATGCTTTATTAATATTTTAAAACTCATTAACCATCAAGTATCTGATCAATTTTATTTATTATCATTACTTATAATACTGATTTGATTAAAATCATTTGAATTTGGCACATTAGTAACTCACCAAAAAATGATAAGGTATAGAGAACTCCAAAAGGGGCGGATTCCGGTTTTCTGAAGTTTTAGTTAGTATTCCAACAATGTAATGTCGCTACTCGTTTATTCATAATGTGCCGATAATAGTAGATCAGAAAGTGTTGGCTAACTACCGATGGGTACGGTCGCAAGTAGTGATGCATTTTGTTTTTAGAAAATTGATTTTTGTTTGAATTCTTTTAGCTATATTTCTCTTAATAAGGGAGAAGGCAGAATAAGCAAGCAATCATTCTAATCAAAGTTGAACATAACTGCTAAAAATTATCCAAAGTCCGTTAAAAACAAATCTATCTAATCTCAGTCGGTAATTCTTCATATGGTATAGGGGAGGCATGCATGAAGTCGAGTGTACTCTATCCACCAACTATCCACCAACGTTATGAAAAGGATGTATTTAATCATTTTACTCAACCATTTTACTTCAAATTCCATTGGTAAAAAATTCCTGTCATATCAAAACTTCATATAGTACCAACAGTTTTGACAAGAATTGCTCTGGTCAATAAGGATTTCATCATTACAACATGCCATTCGATTGATATCTTCAATCATTTTTTGCACAAATTTCATTATCATTTGAACCTCGAGCTAGTTAACTATTTTCTAAGAAACCTAGAAAAATTTATATTTCAATACAAAGCGTCAGGTAAATATTCTGATAAATTGGATTGGGGTTCCAGTGCACTTTTGAATTCAAAGTTATCGAAAAAATTTTACTTAAACATTCTTAACAAAAGAGAAAATTTTAAAAATATTTAAATACTGTCATGACGTAGCTCTAGATTGTCATCAAACCCAAATACGTCATCAAAGCTTCTAATATAAGAATAACATCTGTTTACTCTATACCTTCAATCTCTCGGACTTTTCAATAAGTCAGTCAAACCTTTTTACCTGAAAAAGGACGGAAATTCTTTGTATTTTTAAAAATAAAATCAGAACCTGTCATTAATTTTACTCGACAATCAGACTTGTAGGTAGCTTGAGTTTTTTTGTCCCTTTAAATCACCAACTCGATAAACTGATAAATTTTCTGATACCTGAATCTCTTTTTCAAATTTCACTTTTCATCTTTATACCTGTTTTGCTTTTCTTTCTTTTTAAAATTAGAGCTGTTAACTCTAGTTTTTATTATTTAACTGAGTCCGTTATGTCACTTGGTAAAAATGAATTTTTTTGTATTTTTTAGTCATTTTAATTACAAATTAATAAAAAAAATAAAGAAAAACGCGTGTATGACCCTAGAAAAACGTTTTACCTTTTGATTAAGACCTAAATCGTTGATAGTACTTATTTTTCATAGAATAATCTGAGGACAAAATTTTGTTCTTTTTTTGAGTCAAAACTCGAACACAGCCTAACCTTAAATTACTTCTCAATTTCATTTTTAATTATTATATTGAGCTAAATCGCATCGTAAACCAAATTGAAAACTTGCCAACAGCATTAGGAAGACGCGCCATCTATTTAAGATATTTATGAAAGTTTGAATGAATGTGAGTGTGTATATGCATATACACACGTACAGGAATAGACACACGTGGTACGAGTTTGTTCATACATGAGCCGAAAGCAGCCGAATCTTTCGGCTGCTTTGACCTTTCATGAGCCCTGATGACCTTCAGATCTCAGAATTGGAAAACCGATCGTGGTGTGCACTCGTGTCTTAGTTTGCCAGTTTCAAAATACCTTTCTTCCATCTCATTGCTGTCAAGGATTGTTTGTAAACGTTTGATCTTCAACAATTATTTGTAATCAATTGTTCGTTCAATTACTCTTTTTATGTTATTTCTATTCCGTAATTAAGTTCAATTATAATCTTTCTGAGTTTTAATTAATTGGGTAATTAATTTATTTTACTTTTCGTTTATTGTAGTATAAGTGACTCCAATTTCGATAATTAATTAACTAATTTATTTATATCTGTAATTTTTGAATGGAAACTATTTTGGAATATGATTAAACAATTTATAAAAAGGATATTTTTCATTTTATAATAATCATCTTTAAAAAGTAAATGTGACATTGACATTCAGAATAAATTTAGTATTTCATTAATAACTTGTATTTATAGTTGATGTTGCTAAATGTCAAATATCCGCATTGCAAATTCTTCGTAACTTTTTTTAATTAAATATTTTCGATTATAAGAATATATATATATATACATATTATATTATATTATTTTTATTCATATCTTTGTGTGTGAAGGCTATATTAAAATTATGTAATTACAAATAATTTACCAATGTTATCAAAATTTTGTTATATAAATTATCAAATTAATATACGTGAATTAATTCATTAGTTATCAATGCTAAAGGTCAAGATTTTTTATTTTTATAATTAATCATTTTTCTGTCATCGATTTATTGTTTCATTAATCATCAGACGAACGTAGATTATACGTTTTCATTTTATTAGATCGGTAACTGTTTATGTTTTTTCTTATTTTATAAGCTTTTGTTATAATATAGAAGTATTATTAAATGTTGAAATTATTATTCTAGAATAAACAGCAAAATGTCTCGAGAGCGGGCTTCACGAAGATTTTATAGGATGGACAGTTGCAACGACCTCGCTATGTATATGGATCGAGGTCAATCTGCAGAACAAGAAAGCCGATGGTCCTTTGAAGTTGCGTGGGAAGTCGCTAACAAAGGTACAGAAGACAATAAGAAATATAATATAAACCTTCAATGTTAATACGATTGTGGAAGATGTCACAAAAAGATAATCTTGAAAAGAAAATAATATAATTATTAAACTATCATCAAAAAAATTAAATGGTTTTTTTAAAATACTAGCATTAATAGTTCACCAATATTTCAGTTGGTGGAATTTACACTGTAATCAGATCTAAGGCATATGTTTCAACTGAAGAAATGGGAGACCAATACTGTATGATTGGTCCTTATAAAGAGCAATGTGCAAGAACTGAAGTTGAAGAAGCTGAATTTCCACATTACAGTCCACTGTACAAAGCTGTACAAGTGTTGAGAGATCAAGGATACAAAGTGAGTAATTTTATAATACACATGATATTACTTGGGACAAAAATTCAATGTGATAAGTACCTCTTTCTCTGTAACCTTGAAGGATAAATGTTGTGGCTTAACAGAGTACTTATATTCTACTTTCATTTTCGATCATCAATTTTATCAATGAATTTTTACTTCCAATTCATTCAGGTTATTACTGGAACGTGGTTAGTTGACGGCAATCCTCAGGTAATTTTATTTGATATCGGAAGTGCAGCCTGGAAACTGGATGAATATAAACAAGAACTTTGGGATACTTGCAACCTTGGTATCCCTCATTTAGATATTGAAGCAAATGATGCAATAATTATGGGATTTCTTGTCTGCCAGTTTATTTCTGAATTCAAGTACAGTATTAAAAATAAATTTTTTATCAACAAAAAACCAATAGTCACTTTGATTACTTTATTAATCTTTTATTTACTCTAATAATTTATTTAGAAAAGCTGCTGAAGAATACTCTGCTTCACAGCCGAAAATTTTAGTGCACTGTCATGAATGGCAAGCAGGACTTGCCATTGTTGCTTTAAGAACAAGGCATGTGGATGTAGCAACAGTTTTTACTACTCATGCAACTCTCTTGGGAAGATATCTTTGTGCTGGAAAAACAGATTTTTATAACAATTTGGACAAGGTAACATGTTCTCTCAATTTTCTATTGTTCATGTTTAAGAATAAAATAAATTTTTTATAAGTTTCAAATTAGATTACGCTTTTTTCTATAGTTCAACGTTGATGAAGAAGCAGGAAAACGTCAGATTTATCATAGATATTGCATGGAACGAGCCGCTTCACATCTTTGCCACGTTTTTACTACAGTCTCTGACATTACTGGAATAGAAGCTGAACATTTACTTAAACGTAAACCGGATATTATTACTCCAAACGGCTTGAATGTAAAAAAATTCTCTGCACTTCACGAGTTTCAGAATTTACATGCTGTAAGCAAAGAAAAAATTCATGAGTTCGTTCGAGGTCATTTCTATGGGTAATTTTGATTAATTAATTAACTTCTCATTATTATCTGTACAAAGAAGTTATTGTATTATATTTTTTTTTAGACATTTTGACTTTGATCTGGATAAAACTTTGTACTTCTTTACTGCTGGTCGTTATGAGTTTGGAAACAAGGGAGCTGATATTTTCATAGAAGCACTAGCAAGACTCAACCATTATTTAAAAACTTCGAAGCCAGACGTTACTGTTGTTGCATTTTTAATTTTCCCCGCGCGCACAAATAATTTCAATGTCGAATCTTTACGAGGTCATGCTGTTACTAAATCATTGAGAGACACTATTCATGTAATTCAACAGAATATTGGAAAAAGAATGTACGAAACATGTTTAACTGGAAGATTGCCTGATGTATCAGAAATGCTATTGAAAGATGAAGTTATTAAGATTAAAAGGTATTATTAAAAGACGCTTGAAAATTATTCAAAATATTAACAAATAGGTTGATTATCTAAATTATTTGAATTGGTTGATATTTAATGGTAATTAACATTTTTCTACAGATGTTTATATGCTCTTCAGCGAAGTGGATTACCTCCAGTGACGACGCACAACGTTGCAGATGATTGGAATGATCCGATATTAAATGCCATTAGAAGATGTAAATTATTCAACACCATCCATGATCGAGTTAAAGTAATATTAATTTTTATTAGAATAAGTAACCTAAACGAAGATAGTTTTACTGAATTAGTTATTTCTTACAGATCGTTTTTCATCCAGAATTTTTATCTTCCACAAATCCATTATTTGGTTTAGATTATGAAGAATTTGTAAGAGGTTGTCATTTAGGTGTTTTTCCATCATATTATGAACCTTGGGGATATACTCCTGCTGAATGTACAGTCATGGGAATCCCTAGTATCACAACGAACTTATCTGGGTTCGGATGTTTTATGCATGAACACATTGCTGATCCGAAGAGCTACGGTATTTATATTGTTGATCGACGTTTTATTGATGTGGAAGCAAGTGTTCAACAGTTAGCTCATTTCATGTACGATTTCGCTCGACTCAGCCGGAGACAGAGAATTATTCAGAGAAATCGAACTGAGCGACTAAGTGATATGCTTGATTGGAGAAATCTTGGAATTGTAAGTGAAAAATTATTGGCTTTCTATTCTCTGCGACGAATTGCAAATTGTAAAATATCAGCAAAAAAAATTTATGTTAGAGAAAACTAAAATTAGTATAAATACATTTGAAAGCAATATTTAATGAGGCTATTTTTTACAGTACTACCGTCAAGCACGAATTAAAGCTCTAACAAAAGTCTACCCCGAATATGCATCTGAATTGGATGATGCAAGTGTTGGCAGATTCAGTTATCCTAGGCCTTTGAGTGAGCCACCATCTCCAACTTCATCTCGACTGACAACTCCTGCCGCCTCAGTTCATAATTCTGATGACGAAGATGATGAAGTAGATGACGAAAAAGAGGTAAATTGTATTTAAATTGTGCCGCAGTGATTAAATTTAATTGTTCGTTTGTTTTTTTCAGCTTGAAGAGTTAAGTCAGACAAATGGAAGATAAAGAAATGAGTTATAAAATGAATAAAAAGACGAAGAGATTGATTAGATTTATGAAAATTTAATCCTCAATTAATATCTGACATTTTACGAGCCACACTATCACATTATAATTAATTTGCCACATTATCCATCAATAGTAATTATTTTTTCAGGAATTATTTATATCACATGTGTCATTAGCTGTTATAATTATGTTCTTTATAAAGAACGCACTGATTAGATTGTTTTTTATACCTTAGAGCAGATAATTAATCGAAAGGTTGTAAATTTTTTCATATTGTGATCAATGACTCCACGTAAATAAAATGTATGTAATTTTATGGTTGTTAAAAATGAAATTTTGTATAGATTTTTAATCTCTATGATATTCATATGTTAAAGATAATATTTGGAATTGTTATATATATATATATATATGTACGTAAGACAGATGAAAATATTTCCATTAGAATCGGCACTTGGATTAAAATATTCATTAGTAATAATTACTCATTACATCTTACATAATTTGCTATCAATTTTATCAATGTTCCATCCTCTTAGACAATAAAAATTTTTTTTGAAATAATAAAATTAATAATAATAATAATAATAATAATAATTAATAATCACAAATCTATTGACATAATATACAAGTAATATAATTGTTTTAACATCTTTTTTTTTTTTTATAAATCAATCATTTTTAATTACATACGTTTCCAGGGAAAACCTATTTACAAAAATTAGAAAAACAATTGTACATAATTATTAATACCTAACTCATTTGACAATTGATTTCAAAATAATTACAAAATAGTCAAAACAAGTAAACAATACAACAAAACGAAGATTTTTTCGAGGACGGTTGCTTTAAACATATTTAAATGAGATTCGATACATTTTCTAATATTTTGGACATTTTTTTTCATAACATATTCATTGTTTGCTTGTTTCATCCTATAATACTTTTACTATTATAAAATATCAATTACAAAATCTATACGTCAATAATTTACCCTTTCAAACATCCAAATATTCAAATATATTCGATAATGAATATGTATTTAGATTGACAATAAATATTCAGAGACAAAAAGAGGATCATTAAAATAATACATCGTTTTTTAAATTTGATTATTTTTTTTACTTGTTTAAAAATTAGTTAATTATCAAATTATATAATAAGAAAAGTGTAAACTAAAATGGCACGTGGAACATTAATAATTATTAATATGGGCTAAAATTCAGTGAAATTAACTGTACAGTAATTAATGATTAATACAACGATTAATACATTTCACATACACAAAATAGTTATAAATAAAATTGAATTATTAATTTATTTTAAATATCGTGCCACGATTAATTATTTATTATATTAAATTTTTAGTACTTTTTTCTAATATCGATTATTTTTCAATTGTTTGCTTGGTAGTTGAGCATAAGATTACTTGATCTACTTGTTTAACTAACGAGTGATTGCAAAATATTCGTATCGTCAATTATTACTTTTATTCCTCTCAAATATCCAATTATTCAATTCTTTTCATATTTACTCATTATTATTATTTGTATTGATATTACTAATATTGTTATTATTGTTTAATGTGAATCCTATTTATTCTCAAAGTTTGTAAATATTTGCATTAAAAAATATGTCAGCATCAATTCCTACCCAGTAAAAATACACACGAAAATACATAATTTTTATTGTATTTAAGAAAAAAGGGAAATTCGATGGAAAAATGTCAATTTTCATGGATTTAATATTTTCAACTATTATTAATACAGCAAAAGCGATTTTATAAAAATCAATCAGCAATTATTTCGACTAAACTGTTTATAAAAATTGTTATATACTTGAAACAATCAAGTGAAAAGATCTATTTTTTATTATTCACAGGCCAAATTAAGTTTCAGTATATTTTTCTATCAAATATATTAAATTGAATTGAGGATTTTCGGATCAAATTACTTTATTAATCAGTGAATCATTTTCAAGCTCAATTATTTAAATGTCGGAATCAATTATTGAAATCATAAATTCTTATTTAATTTGAAATTAATTTATGAAAAAATTCATTTCTAAAAATGAGTTTTAATTCATAAAATAACATTGTTTCTATTGTTTATAAGCACAAAGTATTTAATGTAATTTTTTACCGTAGAAAATAATACAATAAACATAAGTATGATGTAATCGGTACAGCCTTTGGTTATATAACAAACGAAAAACATTAATACCGTTATAATACCACTCAATACTTGCAACAGTGTATTAATTTAATAGTTTTATTTTATTTAATATTTTAATACTAACTTACGAGTCTTTAGTAATTGGCATTTGTTGGCATATGGCCTGACGCTAATTTAAAGTACTTATTTATTTTCTGACACAAATATTTTCAATAAATATGATAATTATTATTAAAATTAAAGTGTACACTACATCTGAATTTATTTGAATTCATTACTTTCTCCGTAATTTTATAATTTCAGCACGATGAAATTATTAACTCGAGAAAGTAAGTACGGATGAATTTTTTAAGAATCATTCTTTCATCAAAAAAATATGTGAGCGTATAATGTAATAAAGAAACTATGAAAATGAATGAAACCAACATGTGAAATCAGATGAACGATGAAGATAATTTATCTTTCTAACGTTAAATGGGATAATTATTTAAGTAGTGACTTGTACAATGTTTATATCTTTTACTATTTAATCATTAATTGCTTTGTTTTCATTATGGCTCAAAAATAGTTTTTTTTTATCATGTTATTGTTGGATAGTGAAAAGAAAAATGTTTGTTACTTTTTTTTTTACTATTACTTGTAGTGCAAATGATCTTTTTTTGAAGAAGTCTGTTATTAACTTTTTCATCAAATTTTTTTGAACATTTTTAACATGATCACCAATGTTGAAATAATCCACTTTCTATGCTCAATTATTGTTTGATAAAAGAAAATCTTTTTTCATGGTTTGTTTGTTGGCATTGTGATTTAAAAAGTAATATTCATTCAATGATAAGCCAAACTTCATTTCAATTTAAAAAAAATATAATTATGTTTGTTGAAAATGTTCAATAAAATTATTTTTTACATAAGTTTTATTCTTTTAAAACTGACTTTTTCCATGACGTCTATCTTATATGATTAATTATCAATTGAATTGAAATTTATAATATCATTGGCAGGGACATTTGAATATCAATAATTAAAGCCACAGATTTGTTAGTCTTGTGGCAATAAAATATACTCTCGACGTAAAGCCTAATGAAATAAACAAGCAAATCCTCGCCCGGACGGAATCTAGGCGTGATTAGGTTGAGTTCCACTCATTCTTTGTTTCATCATATTTAAAAGCAATTCCGAATATTGTTGCATTATATTGACAACTTTACCCTGATCTTGGCCCGCTAATAATTCTTGGAACGTTTCTGCGGCTTCATTGACTGCAGGCGAATCATTGTCAGTGGCTTCTTTATTCGAAGTTCCAGCTGCTACTAAACGAAGCGTTCGCATTGCTTCATTTACCGATGATTCTAGACCTTTTAACATTGTCTCCTTATCGATAGCTTCATTTGACGAAGTTCCGGAGTTATCCATCGTCAATCGTTTGTATAACTGGACTACATTGTCTGCCGTTCGTGTTAACTCATCCGCAATAGTGTTGCATAATTGAGGAGATACTGTAAAATAATAAAATTCACATAATAATTATGATAAAAGTTTATAAGTAATATAATTATTGATAAAGAAAAACTAAAGAACTAGGAAGCTGTTTGCTGCAAATTATTTTAAGAGATGTTAACACATATTTAAAAAATTTAATTATAGAAAAAATTTGAAGGCATTAATATAAATTATTTCAACATCAATTTAATGATCTACATGTGATACTTTTTCACTAATTTTTTAAACATCAATTAACCATTTAAATTTTAAATTAATTTATGTTTTAATACTTCCGTATTTAGATTAATCGAAACTCTTTACGCTCTTTTAAATAAAGAAAGGATTTCATGCATTATAGATAGACTTATCTATAAATAAATATTTATTTATAGTGAAAAATAATTATTAAGTATTTTTATGGTTACAATTAAAGCAGTTGAGTCATGCTAATTATATGATATCTAACGTATAGACCATGCATCATGCATTTTGGTATTAATAGTAACAAAAATAATTAATAATCTTATCAAATATGTATGAGATCATGCTTGATAAATGAATTGAACTTTTATCGAAATATTTCTCAACTAATTACTAAGTGATAGGGATTTGTGATTATGTAAATTAATATTAAATAATTGCCTTGGCCTAATTGATAATTAATCATTCGTTAAATTTAATTATAACGATGTAGTTTTAAACAAAAATAAATGTTTCAGACGCTGTTACCAAAAATGATGATTATGTTATGTACATGTATAAATGTAACACTATAAACTCATCACTAATTTCGAAATCTTCTTTCGTTTCTCCATTAATTATTCAATTAATACCAGCATGATCACTTACAAATTTGAATTACACTCAATATTAATATTTTCACATCACGGGATGCTTATTAGATGACGTTAGATTACCTAATCTTCTATCCGTGTTTACTGTAAGCGTACAATTAGTGTTAGACATCTTAATGTTCGTGAATATTAGTTTGTGTAATTAATTAGACAATTATTAGAATTATTTATGATTAATAAGAGTGAAATTTTTTTCTAATTGATTTCAAAGGTATTGATAGATTTGTTATTGAAACTTACACTCTGCATTGGCTATATCTACAGAACTATCCTCATCTTTACTAGGAAGTTCTTGTAGACCTTGCTCCATTTGGTTGCGACTAGAAAGCCTTAAATTGCTTTGATTAACTGCACTGACAGGTCGGCCGTTCGAAATTGTCGCAGCTGATCCTGATCGTCTTATTGTAGTTCCAGAAGAATTTAAACTAAATAATAAAATTTTAAATGAATAATTGAAGCCAAGTAAACAGTTACAGATGGAATATACTAAAGCACTGCTATTTACTTAGTTGAAAGATCTATATTGATACTCCTAGGCCGTGGAGGTAATGCTGGCTTTACACCATTGCCGTTTGAGGATGTATCCTCAGAGCTGGAATCCTCTTGGTTTCCAACTTGACTTAGATTAACTGAAAATAAATAATTACCAAGTTTAATTATCAAAGTTAATTAAATATAAACAATGTTTTTTATGCAAGTTACCACTAGAATAAGCAGACTGCATTCCACGTCTTCTTAAAACCATCGGCAAATTACTGTTAGAAGAAGAAATGGGCTTTGTTTGATGATTGATTTTATTCTGTGAGCTTATTGTTGGTCTCATCAGCCCACTCATACGATTGTTTGTCGTTGAATTAGCCCAATTTCTACCACTTGATACCATTCCTGCATCTGACTCCGAATCACTTTGCTGTAAAAGCAATTAAGAGAAATAGATTAGCTTAGGAAATACAATCTTAACTAAATCAATATTTGGTTCGGTTATTAAATTATAATTAATCGACCCAAATAAATTAAAACATAATTTTTTTTGTATGAACTTAATTTCAATCAACTATTTTTGATAGAATGATTATCATAAACTGATTTGATCGAACGAGGACTATCGTCCGGACATGGAATGTAATATAAATCATTGGTAGGGTGAGGTCTAAACTAGTTCTTTTAGAAAATCTAATTAATCAAAAATCGATATTAACTAAAAAAAAAAAAAAATTACCTGATTTAATACTCCAACGCTACTGCTTCGAGTCATGTATGTTGAATGAGATTTACTCGAATTATATCTCGTAGTCATTCCACTGGTGTGATTAACTCCAGTTCCACTTCTTGACGATGTATTAGAATTTTTGGCATTTACTTTACCTGAAACTGTACGTAAAATAAATAAGTATTTTTTCATTAGAACATTAAATAATTGTGTCTTTTTTTGTCTTCTCTGCAAGAGAAGATATTTATTAATAGAAATATAAATATTAATTGGATTAATAAATAAATAATGAAGCTCAAGCCAAACAAGACACTCTATGAAAAAATACTGAGCATTAAAATGAATAATTAACGTCATAGCAAGGTGTTAAAGAATATACCTTGAATTGGGCCATGCAGTAACCTGTTTGTCGGACCAACGGAAAGATCACTTAGAGAAATTGCTCGTCTCATTCCAGAATCATCTCCAGACTCCTTTGGATCACCATATTTTGACGAAAATCGGCCTTCTGTAGCTGTAGAAAATACGCAACACACATGCAAAATGCTCTACTAATAATCAAACTCTTTTTTAAAATTAATGTACTAAAATTAATATTTATTAGATTAATTAAATAAGTTATAAATTAAAACTGTTGATAAAAAAAACTGTGTTAGTTGAAGTAATTGATCAAAAGAAAACAAATGGAAATGGAAGAAGGAATCGACAGGAAAAATCTTTAATTGTGCTCTTGCATGATTCTCATGCTTTAAATCATTGCATAGTCACTCTCAAGATGCTTCAATGAATAAACTGAAAATTTCGTTGTACATAAAATATATATACCGAAATATCTATAGATCATTTTAATAAATAATTAATTGATTGGTTTGTGTGCTGATGATTGCTCATGTAATGCGTAAAATAAATTATAAATTATAATGAATTCATCATACTTTTTACATTTCTCACATTCATTAAACTACAGTAAGCTTTGGTGTGCTTGGGCTAAATTCTACAACATCAAGACGACATCCATAACATTTTTTCTTGTTTTTCTCTTTAATAGAGATACCTGCAAAGTGATGTTTTGAAGGCAGCACATCTTGGCTGATTGTTGGTAATGTTTTGGTCCACTTTAATTGACAACGAGAAGCAGGTGGCCAGATTCTTTTAGGAGAGTTAGCACAGCTTGATCCAGGAGTAGAAGATCCAGATTCCATTAATGATTTATCCATGGCACAATCACTGTCTTCACCTCCTGAACTTGGTCTCATTTCTCGTCTGATATTCATGATCGAATATCTTTCAATATCTTGTCGTGAGAAATTTTGATTTGGATCCTTTCCAGCTCTCCAAGCATGTCTTTCAGTAACTAAATATTGCTGTTCCCTTCTGACCAAATTTTCAAATTCTTTTGACAATAATTTGACAGTTCCTTCAATGGCTCTGCTGATCCTTATGTCAACTGTACTATTCAAAGCATCAAACTTCTTTTCAGCATCTTTATTTGAGTCTTGAGTTTGTGAGTCTGAGGTAGAAACATCGCAAGAAGAAGTTCCATTTGGTTCTAATGAATCGTAAGCTTCAAAAGTATCCTTAGTAGGAACCTGATTTTCAAATCCACTGTCAGCATCAACATCTTCAATCCTCGAAACTTCAATTTTCAATTCCTGGCATGCAATTTTATTGATGCCACTAATATTACTATTATTACGATTATTGTAATCATTATTCATCAACTTATTAGTATTATCGACATTTTTGCTTGCTTCAGGATATTGTGTTGATATCTTGTTCATTTCTTGATTATTCAAAGATTCATAGTGTTTAGAGATATTCAAAGAACAATTTTCAATAGATTTAATATCACTTTTTTCAATAGTAGCTTGTTTACTCTGGTTTTCATGAGCTAAAGACTCCTTATTTGAATATTTAGTATTCAATTCTGATGCCTGACGTGGCTGAATATCAACATTATATTTATTCCAAGCAGGTCTGGTGCGATTTCTCATGCTTTGCGTACGTGAGAAGTTCCTTTTAGGTTTCGGAGGTTTATGAGGTACAAAATTATCAAGAATTAACATTGAATGAGGTTCTTTCAGGCTATTGCTTCTCGTTCCATCAGGTCTTTGTGAGCTACGCAGTTTAGAACTATAATCCTTTGAGTCATCCACGTTAAATTCATAATAAATTGTTCGATTAGGCCTAAAATTTTCTTCTGTATAATTAATTCCATTTTTAATGGCACTCAATCTTGTATCTTGAAGAGATTTGGATCGAAAAACAGCTCGTGTGGGTGTTGGAATATTGATTGGTTTCGATTCTTCAACCTTTTCTATCATGTTTTTTGGATTTCCATTGTACGTCTCGGAATTTTGACGTTTTCTACGGTAATGAGAATCAAAAAGCATTTCTAGAGGCGCTGATTTCACAAGAGAATCTGAATCATCAGATAAAATACTCTCTGTACTTCTATGATCTTCATTTTCGCGTAGTGGAAAGGTTTGATAATCATCTGTAGCGTCAGTTAAAACACTTTCTTGACTTGCAGCCGCTTGCATCTTTCTACGAGATAAGAAAAAACTTGCACTAGAATGTCTATCATTGTCATACTGGCAGTCAAACACCTCTCCAGAAGCATCAGATAAAATACTCTCTTGAGAATCATTTAATTTTTTTCTTGGGTATGTCAGAAATGATTTATTTTCGTTGTTTGCTTCAGATAAATTTATTTGGTATTCGCTAACACACCTTCTGGGTGGGTTCTTATAATCACTCTCCAAAGAATCATCGCTGAAATTGCCATCTCCATCACCCTCATCAGATAATTCGTTCATTGCTGGCTCATTCATAGCTGGCAAGCTTTCGAAAGACTTGGCAATGTTGTTAATCTCTTCAGGATTATCATTGAGTCCAATAAAATAACTGCAAGATCTTCGTTTTTGAGCAAATTTAATGAATCCATTTGTATTTTTTTTACAAGCTTCTTTTAATGCTTTTAGTTCTTCACTAACCGGAGATTCCGGCAATGATTGATTAGGTTTATTGACAGATAATTTATATTTTTCAGTTTTCTTTAGAGTTAAAGTTAGAGGTCGACTTGTACTCAATTGTGGTCGATCATTTATTGAAGACATTGTCTTACTTTTAGGTAAGCTTTTATTATCTGGTTCTTGAAGGTTTTTAATAGTATTCCCAAAGCCAGAAGAAACGTTAGTAGAGAGTTGAGATTTTAATTGGGAATTTGAAGTTGGTTGAGGTTTTATACAAGGATTTGTTAGTATTGTATAATACACTGATTGCGCACATTTATTACCTGATCCGATTCGATTTGCTCGATGATGCCGATCTGGGATGTGAGAAGTGAGATCTGAAATACTTTGACTTGCTTTTAAAGAAGATCTATAGCCCACCTAAAATAATAATGAATTAAAACCATTAATCTTATTGAAACACATCAATAATTTATTTCAATTAACTTACACTTTGTAATTTTCGTCTCGTTTCTTCTATTCTTCTTTGTAATTCTTCACGCTTTTTCGTTGTATCTGAACTAAGTTTCGTATTTTTCGGTGCGCTTATTATTACAGTTGGGTGTGTTTTGTTCTCTTGATTTTCACCTCCTCCGCTAAATCTGTCATTTTATAAAATAACATATTATTTTTCGTGAATACATTATAATTTTATTTTTTAATCTGAAAGTAATATTTTTTACTCACCTTCCATGAAATTGTGAACTAATACTGGATTTTTTCCTATTTGTAGGCTCATCAGCACCACTTAATGACTCGAAAGCATTTTTTAAATACTTTTCACGATGTGTTTGATTAGCAACTTGATCGAACCCTTCAGAGCTTGCTTCAGATAACATAGACAAAGGATTGCGTTCAGCACTAGGTGTAGAAGCACCCCCTTCTGAATCAGAGTCATCTTGGCTTCCAGATGCGGTTGTTAATTCACTACTTCGAGTACTTTCTGCACCTCTACTCTTTTTCCCTCGCCTCATGGATCTTCGAAGCTCTTCCACGTCCATTGCATTGACTTTAAATTGATTAGAAACTGTGTCCTCTGGTGCTGGATAATACATGAGATGGTGATGAGATTTTTCAGAACCTGTCGTTCCATTTTCTCCTTCTGAATAGTCTTCCACGTCTCCATCATGCTCTGTGCTTTCATGATCCTGAACATTAGATGATAAATATACATTAATTAATGTGTTATTTAAAAGTAACAAGAGTAAAAAAACTTAGAAAATATTAAATGAGAGAATGTTTCCTTTTTAGTTTAAAATTGTCTAGATTAGTATCGACAACTTGTAGAAAAAATTCAACATTCACGTCAACACCTTTCTCTCGAATAGTATTAAATGTAAATAGACATTAAGAATTAAATGGAAAGGTGAAAATGTCTTCAGCCTGAGACTCGCCCCACAAGAACTGAAACCTGTCACCTAGAGTGCACCAAGTTAATATGTTATTCTTTCGATCGTTCATTGGTTGATTGAATAAACTTATTTGAAAAACTGCTCATATTTATTATTGATGATTTAACGACTTGTTATGTTTCACTATAAAAAATATATTTCAAGAAATAATATTTATTTATAATAATGATAAAAGACTGTTTTTTACTCATTAGCATAAATTAATAAACGAGTTTTAATTTTATGATAATACTGACAGTAATTTTTATCACTAACATGCTTTTTAAATTAAATATTCAGTTTCAGTTGGAAATAAGTATATTATTTCAGCATCATTAATCTTAATTAATAATTTATTATGAGCAGAATCACAAATTTTTTTAAATATTTTTTTTATTTCAAATGCAAGACCGATGCATATTGTTTTCAAGTCCAATTAATTTTGGATTAGCGAAAGAAAACTTTCTTTCAAAAAAAGTTTTTATAGAAATTTTATTAATTTAATTCAATTAAAAAAGTATTCATCGTCGAAAAAAATAAATAAATAACTTATTTATCAACTTATAAAAAACTTTTGTATTCATTCAGTGGGTTTTAACTTGTATCGGTATATAAAGTATAAAACTCAATATTAAAATTCAGTTAGGATTCTATTTATAAGAAATCTAATTTGAAGAGATGAAATACAGTGAAATGAATAGCAAGTGGCAAGAAAATGATGAGAAAAGGAGGAAGAAGATATAAATGAATAGTCATCAATTTTCACAGTGGTTCGACAGCTAATAGATGAAATACCTCAAATTTAAAACTGCCAAGACTGCTGTCATCAGTGTGATGTCGTGTTCTCGATTGGCGAGTCAACTCCGTGACATTGCTACCTCGCGTAACTGTTACGTTGCCACCCGTCATCTTAGCATCAAATCGCGTTTGTGCAGAAGGGAAACAAAAACAAAAAAAGTACGAAAATGAATGAAAAAAAAGATAAATAAATGAATAGGAAAAACTAACATTCAAGTACACAGGAAGTTACAGAAAATATGAGTGTATTGCAAACGTTAGCACTCATTAGTTGCGCATGAATGCTTGGTTTATTATCAACTGGTTAGTACCTGTTTTGAATCTTCCGTTAACTCTCTGTAACTATCGGGGCACAGTGCAAACACGCTCTCATCTTCCTCCTAGAAGGCGTGAATAAGCATTATCATGCCGGCATTTAAGTGCAACTATTTCGTGTGTCGAAAATTTACAAGCTGATGATAAGTGGATGAAATATATTTAAGTGCAAGAAAAAAAATTAAAAGAACGCTATGAAGTAGTTTAACGACTTAATAAAACGTTTGTTTCAGCTCATTACGCTTGATTGATAAATTTACTTAAATGTAATAAAGCTAATAAATTCAATATACTAACAATTTTTAAATTGACCTTTATATCTTTATTAAATGATAATTTTTTATGATCTTTTAATGGAATTTCTATAAAGTCTTCATTCAACTACTTATTCTGTTATTATATCAATATCGCAAAACTATTATGTGATCAAAAGAAATTAAATATCAATAAAGAATAAATAATCTTCTGACAATCTTTTAATTTTTTCTTTAGAATAATTTTAGACTTGAAGTAAATTTGATGAACATACCCTTTTAATAGTAATTGTTTCTCTCCTATAATCACTGCTGCACTTTGTTTCCGTTCCACTGTCAATCGAGCTATCTTTAGATCCACCAGCACCGCCTCCACCTCCATCAGAATCAATGGCACCTCTTGAAGGAGGGAAAGGAATGATTTCATCACTATCATAAACCGATTTAACCGTAATCCCATCAGTCTGTTGAACTCTTTGCGCCCACCTTCCTTTCGGCATATCAACTCCAAGAGATCTTACACTAGATGATAAATTTTCTTCATTACTAGCATTGGTGTTGATTTGTTTTTTCGCCCAATGAGGTAATTGACCAACACTAAATCGGTAGTCAGCCGTAGATTGCATCGTCATGTTGGCATTAGGATCAAGGAACTCTGGTGATGGTGGTCCGAAGGTTTCATTATCTAACTGAATAGCGAGGCCATTTGGCACAGGTGGTGGTCTTTTTCCAGCACGCATTGCCTGCTGAGCTAGACGAGCTTGCATCGTCACCACCATGTCATGAGGAACTCGCCAAACAAAAATACAACCGTCACCACTAGCAGATACTAAATGACGGCAATCAGGACTAAATCGTAGTCCAGTTACCAACTCAGAATGACCCAACATCGTTGCCATACACTCACCACTGTAGTAATCATAGACACATAAGGTCTTGTCTGTGCAAGAGGTTGCAACATAAATTCCTGAAGTGTCTAAAACAACTTTTATCAGCGAGCCGTCTTCTCCAACAGATCCCTTGAACGTTTTGCTGTGTTTCCCAGTTGCTACATTGTAAACTCTAATGTTCCGATCTTGGCACGCAGTTAAGACATGTTTCTGACCGGAATCCACCTCCATATCATACAATGTAGTTTTACCTTGAGCATTATGATCTCTCACGAACTGCGGGGCGCCTCCAGGAGTCATTTGCATCTGTCTAAAGATGATACTTTTATCAGCACCACATGATACCATCTGAATCTTATCACTCTGAGACGTTTGTGTGAAGAATCTCACTGCTGTTATTGAGGAGCTATGATCATCAAGCGTCTGAAGAAAATTATATCCTTCATCAACATTAAATACATGAATCAATCGATCTCTTGAGGCACTGGCCAACAATCTAGGTACTTCTGACGAGTTCTGAGTATATTTTGAATACTCTAAACATAGCACTTCAGCATCGTGAGCCTCTATAAGACATATTTCATCTAACGTAGCAACGTCATGAATTCTGATATTTCCCGATCGATCTCCTGAAGCTATGTGTCTCCCATCAGGACTAATTCTAATCGATCTCACTCCATTACGACTATCATATGAGGTATCATTTTTTTCCGCTGAACCTGCGGCAGCCAAATCTAGATCTTTCAAGTACGCCAGTTCTGGATCGACATAAAGTACTTTCAATAACTCTTTACTATATATATTACGATTATATACCCCTTGATCTTGAGGTAAATCTTTTTGTAAGTTCCATACTCTGACTGTGTCATCACTGGAACATGTAATAAAGCTACCAGGTGGCATGGCGTTGATAGAATCAGTGCTTGTTGGATACATCTCCACTCCCCAGATGCAGGCAGAATGGTATAGAAATGAATGGGACTTTCCAACACGTTTGATATCTCTTACGTCCCAAACATAAATACTGTGATCATTGTAGACACATGTTAGTTTGTTGTTCAACTCATCGAACGCCAGTGCTATCGCATCAGGGTATCTAGCGTTTGGTGGATGTTGTGACATGTGACTTATTGACAAGCCATGTGCTACATCCACACCGAGATAATGTGTACGTGGCAATGTTGTGATAAACTGCAGTGTTACGGGACTAAAACATCGTACTATTCCTTCAGCACATCCAATAAATATATATTTTTCTCCTACTGCCATGCAATTCGCGCTCGTTGTTCTCAACTCGACCCACTTGTCAAGAAGCCTTCGATTATTAAATTCACAGAGTAAGCCAGTTTTTGTGATGGCGTACGTGGAATCTGCCATTTCTCCTCGCCCACAGGCCACATCCACGAAATCATTATTTCGTTGCTCACCTAATATGGCTGATCGGCCCATCAAAGGTACTGGTTCTTTATACTTGGCACTTCGCGAATACTCCAGGTACCAAAATTTCACATGACGATTTCCTACAGTTACGAAGTAACTTCCATTTTCAGCAAATGACACGGCCTTCACCTTGCTTGACACTTTGTTTGATGCGACCTTGACGTTGTTCCGCCAGTCCCAGACATTAACAATCATGTCATGTTGTGAACCGATTGAGACTACATACTTGTTGCTAGGTGAAAATGCCTGTAATTAAAAACAAAATTTAATTAAAAATATTGTCTTTCAGAAAATAGTATGAAATCATTTCCCATATTTTGGATAAATTTCTACTTTTATTCCAACCATTGCTGAAATAGAATTGCGGTCAACTTTACGGAATCTAGCCGAGAATGCCGTTGCTCAACGACAAAGCAGTTCTTCAAGTATTGACCTTAAATGGTATATTTTTCTACCAGTTTGCCTACTGTTTTTAATCTACCACTGAAACTCTATATGATGAAGTAAATAATTTGAAGACACTTTTTTTTTTATATTTACAGCTAAAAAATATTATTGCAAGTTGCAAATAAATACTAAGAAATTAACGACTTATGTGTTTCATTTGCTGATCTAACGAAATAGATAAAAAATAATTACTTCAATTCTACTGAACCTTGAGAATGATGTAAATTTATTTTTATTCTTTTAAAATAAATATTATAGCAACAAGAATATACACAGCTCATATTATTCCTTTGCAGGATATATAGCAACCTAAATATTTTAATAGAGAAAATTGCAGTCATTTTATAAATGTGACAAATAAAGAAGTTATTTTATGTTTAATGTATACATCAAGAATAATAAAAGGAAAATGAAGCTTTTTTCATTTAATCATTATTAATGTCTTATTTAATCCTGGCATTAGAGTTTTAACACATATTGAGATTTATAAATGATAAATTATGATGTTATCCATTCTTCAGGTTTTTTTATTACTACATTCTATAAACCAAAATGACTCTCTAATGGAAATTATGGCAAGAAAAATCTATTGCTTTGTAGTTAAACTAATAATAATAACTCTACAGTTAGTTAAATTATAGGATATAAAACTAAAGATATAATTATTCTCGAAATTTTACGTCTTTTGGTGATGATTAAAATCTATTTTATAACTCTTGGCAAAGATTATGGCGATAAAATGCATATCTTTACCTAAAGCGGATTCCTGATTAGTTAAAAAGCTACTAATTGATAATAAAGTTATAGTTACTGGAATAACTGAATTAAAACCACAACTTCATTCTTATGAAAATACTACATAATAGAAAGAATGTATCACATTCATTTCTTTAAAAGAGCTAAAGTATCAAATATATTTCCTCATTATTAAAAATTCATAACAGGTTCACTAAGAATTCTTATTAATTATATGATTATAGCTGAACTTATGTAAAGCTGGAGTAATAAAATTTTGTTTTTTTTTTAATTTTCTCATTTTTATTAAAAAAAAAAATTCTCGCGGTCAACTAGCTAGAACGTAGTCAGAAACTTATGATCAACAAAAAGATGGTGTTTAACAATATTAATTAATTTTATGAAATTTATATTTAAGACATTTAATAATGTTCATGCTTGATATATTTTAATTTTGTTTACTTGTTTTTGAAAGTTTGACAACAAAATTAATTAACAATAATTTTAAAAATTTAAATATACAATCAATTTAAAATTCATAAGATTTATCAAAGACTAATAAATTCTTTTCTCAAAGTGGAAAATCCTTATTAAGAAAATCCTAAAAGTCTTGTATATTCAAAGCCACCTTATATTTTTCTTTATAAAGATTAGTGTCAGAAATGAATAATTCTATCTAAAAGTGATTGCAGATAAACTAAAACCTATCCTATCTAACAAGCAATGAGCTTACAACTGACTAAATAAATAAAGAAAAAAATTAGAAAATATTATGTGATAAATCTTTCTACAAATCCAGAACAAATATCCATCTAAAATGTTATTCCAATAGACTGCTCAACACCATCAATCAATACTTTTACCAGCGATGATCCCTGAACATGAAAAAGAGATAGAGTTTTTTGTGTTGAAATTAATCAATACTTACAACACAATTAATGCCATATTTATGAGTAGGAAATTCAGCAATTTGTATCGGATTTTGTTGATCGGATATATCCCAAACTCGAACATTTGGCATATGTCCACATTCCCCAGTAACCAGAAGTCGTCCATCTCCAGCAAGTGCAAGTGATGTCACGGTTTTCTTGCAAGCATTCACCACATGTGATTGTGTATTCTTCCGTGGATTAAATAAGACTACAGTACATCTGCAAAAAAGTGCAATATCGTTAGTATTAATGTATGATGTGAAGAGATAAGAGAAGTGTGAGAAGCTACACATGAGATCACTCAAGCATTTTATCCTTATACACGAGTTATATTATACTCTAGTTCATATAGTAAGTAAGTGTATCTACTCTTTGGCTACTCTAACAACGAGAGCCAGGATCTAGTGAGTATTTCAGAGTCGGCTTTCTCTATGAGACCACCGTCTCGTCACGCTAGTCGAGCACAGTCTCAAGTATCTGCGCTGAGAGAAGAATTTATTTGTAGTTCACCAATTTTATTTGAATTTAATCAGCTCTTATTCACAATGCAGACAATGATAGCACTGCATTTGTTCATTGTTAAATCAATAAATAAATAAATAGATCAATGTGTGAATACATAAATAAATCTTACTTTTCTAGAGCAATATTTTTCTTTTAAAAACTAAAGTAGGCTAGAATTATAATTATTGACGTAACGTAAATGTCTAGCGTAAAATCGTTATGTCGATTTACGATAATGTTTCACTAAAGTAATTAAATTATTGTTCAGCTATTTGTAGTGATAACAATGATTTTAAAGAACACTAAAATTTTATTGATTTCCGGTAGACACTTATTTATTATTTTCATGAATGACTAGTTGTAAATTTAGTCCAAAATTTTATAGCTAATAGAGATATTAAAAATAATTTGTCGTCTGTTAAGTATCTATTTAACAGAGTCATGAAATTTTATTTAATTTTTATTAAATGTTTATTCATTTTGAAAATTGTTTATTGCTGTATTCAACTTTAATGTGATACGATAAATGTTGTTTTAATAATGAAAATGATTAAAAATTATTGGATTAGATTACTTTAGAATAACTAGTTAATTCATTTTCTAAAACTGGATTATATTGAAAATAATCATTTGTCAATGTAAAAAATGTAAAAGTGAAAATTCTATCAATTAATTACCTCGTTGATTAACGTTACAACTTTTTTTAATCAAAAAACTTTCATCGAGACTGCGGAAAAAAACAATTAATAGAAGTCTCCTGAATGAGAATTTTCAACATTAATTAATGTATATATTCTGCTACACATATACTTGGTTGGAGTCATTTTTCAAAGATAACTTTAAAAGTGAATGCTTCCTGAGTAATAATTAATTAAAGTTTATATTTAAAAATTATTCTTTCAAGTTCACTCATCAACAACAGTATTTTATTTTCTAAGAATTTTCGAGTAGCAACAAATCATCAGCTCTAGATACATAAAACACTCTTTCATCAAGCTATTTGCAAAATTCAAATTGAAATATGTTATTCCCATCAAGTAGCAGTAAATTTTCCCCTCAGTAGATAAATCAATTCTCACGTTATGAGAAAACAGCTTGAGACAATTTTCACCTCTTGATCAAATTATGTAGAGCTTTGCAACATCATATCCTTAAAGTGATATCTATCGATTATTATGAGGCAAAATCTTCAGAAATTTTAACAGCTACAATTCCGCAGTTCGTGAGTCAATTATGAATTACTGGGTCAAAGGAGAAGGGGAGAGAAGCTAAAAGCTTTTCGCACGACCTCTTCCACTCTCATCTCGCCTCTCTCCAAGCTGTCGAGAGAGTTAGCAGCGCAACAAATACATCAGACTAATTTTCCACATGAAAGCAGCAGACTTTCATATATCAACATTCTACAAACGTCAATATTAAGATAATTAAAACTGTAAGTAAGGTGATGTATCATTTGAGATGCCAAGTAGAAGTTCTAGATATCAACTTAGACGAGTTGAGTTTTATTAGGACGCAATAAAAAAAGTTCCATCACGGTCTCGGTCTTGGTCTTGGCCTTGCTCTTACTCTCGTTGTGTCGATATGCGTGAGTTCATTGATCTCCCATCGATGGCAGTCAGTCAGTGAACGCAATAATCATAAAAATGATTGTGGTAATCGATTGAGGACTAGAGTATAGACTTCATTCATATTCCTCTGAATTAATTTATTAAGAATCATGTCAGTCAATTCATCAATTTTAAAAGATTGAATCCGTTTTGCTGCAAGGACAACATTTGTTATGATAATTTTTATTAAGCAATCAGGTTTACAAAGTTTTTAATGATTAATAGCAAAAAATAATAATCACTTATTTCTAGTTGATTTTATGTATAATTATGAACTTAGGTATATTTTATGTTATAAAATTGATATATTGAAGAAAATGTAGGAAATGACATCAAAACAATTTTTTTTCTTTTTAAATTATTTTGACAAGTAATTAAAACTTCTCAACAGCAAACAAAAAATAATCGCTTTTTTTACCTTTTAAAACTAGTCTGACTAAGTACTTGCATATTATATGTATTTGATCTTGTTATAGATTGAACTAGATAATAATAATTCCTGGATTTAGGTTTGTTCGCATTTCTGAGATTGTAATTTTTAATGTTCATCAGTGAACATGATTACTTTGCCAGTTTAATGAGTAGGGTCAGTAACTGGACTTTTTACATCTTTACTTATAACTCTTTGCATGTTGTATTAGAATTCACTTTTATTTTATCAATGCCGTTATATTTTATAGATTTATTGTGAATCGAGAATCCGTTATTGGCCTATGGCTGTCAGATACAGTAAAAAAAAACTACATGAAATAATTATTAAATATTCTGATACAACATTCAGTTAATTTTTGATGAGGAAAATTAAAAAATTTTTCATTCGTTAGAAATAATGGTATAATAAATATATATTATTCTTTTCCAATCAATAATTGGTAACCAAACCATGTCAGAGTTAATAAGCAGCTAAATCTTCACGTGATATTCAATTTTTTATTTTTATTGGATAACTTTTGCACTCTAATTAGTGCTATACTTTAATATTGATCATAATTTTTCAATATTATAGAATCATACCGTGAAAAAATTATTTTCTTTCTAGTCACTGGTAATTATTGATATTATTATTACCAGGTAAAAGTGGAGATAGTTATTCACAACCATCAGAGTTCGTTAAAACTATGTCAAATGATCACTATAGTGCCTACATCATTCATACTTGAATAAAACTGCTTCTCATCAACTTCTGATTGTCAAATTAAATTATGAATATTATATCAAGCTATATGAGACTATAGTTTCATTGCCTAATAGAGATATACCATGTGAACGAGACAATGAGAACAGATCAACAACTGGTACTATCAATTATTAAGAAACCTAAATTGAAATTTCCAAAGATAGCAAATCTTGTATCTATCTAGAGAATTTTCTCCTAAACTTGTTAGCGTGATAATATACTATTAATTCGTTGCATTAAATGATAAAAAACAAAAAATTAAACAAAAGTTCATAGTAAAGAGGAAATAAAGTATCAATATATTAGAAATTAATCAACTTACCCTGCAGGATAGGCAACTATCTCACTCGTAGTGTCGCAATCCAATGCTGCGTTACTCGATACAGTCACGCCCAGCACACGTTCCAGTTTTATCTGTAACAAATCATGAATTTTTTTAAATACTACTCTTTCCAATCCCTACAATTATTACTATATCCGTTGATGCGGTAGTATATCACTTCCAAGATATTTGTGAAAATATTTATTAGTACACTGATGTAATTATCAGTTGTTTTATTGTGTATTAATTGAGTATCATTGATACTTGATTTATGTTAATTCATTTATATAAAAAAATTTATAAAAAACAAATCAGTTAAGCATTTAAGATTCGCGGTGGCCTCTGACAGAATACTCAACGTGGGCTGCATCAATGTGGCTCATTCGATACGCGCTCTTGAGCGATTCACGTGGGCTGTGAACGTGGGTATGTCAAGATACGACAGGTAGATGCCAACAAAATAATACAATATCACATATAGTAGCATAAAAAACAAAAATTTTACAATGAAACTCATTCCATTCATATTATATCAGAGGCTTAGAATGAAATGCCTTCTAATCTTCTCTGTTTTTATCTAATTTCATTTCACAAATAATTAGATTAATTAAATCACTCAATTAAATAAATTATTATACGAAAGTGTTCAATGTTGCGATACGATTGGAGATGTAGAGGTTTATTCATGTTATGAATAAATAAATTTATTTATTCATTTACATTTATATCGAGGTGAAAGCAATGAGTTATTGCTGTTTAGTATTTTGGAAAATTGGGTATCACGTAATAGTATTCAAAAGAAATTCCACAATGGAAATACAATTCTATTGAATGTGAGAGCAATTATGTAATCCTGGGTATTTTTAATAATACAGTTGATTGTCAGTACAAGTGATCATTTAATCATCAAGTTTTTTTTGAGAAATAAAATATCATATAATGGATACATTTCAATACATGTACCGATATTTTATAAAAATTGATAATTTATAAATTGTTGATTGAGAAATATTAAATCTACTAAATTTAATAAAAGATAAACTTGATAAAGAATGATTTTAATTTGTTAGTAAATATTTAGGAGAAATTTTTGATGAATATTAATGATCATTTATCATTTTAATCGAAATCAAAATAATGTATGCAGTAAGTTCGACTATTATTAATAGCAGATATTAATTTACATGAAAAAATAAAATTAAATAATGATTTTTTTTGTATATAAATAAATAAATAAACTTTAAAAATTTTAATAAAAATATTTTTAGTTATTTTTTCAATTTTATTTCATGATACAATTGAATAATTTAATTATTAACTTAAGTTTTAAAATTAATATTATTTTGAAAATATTCTAAATTTGAAATATAGGCTAGTTGATTACAGAAAAAGGTGAAACTGAGTATGTAAGAAATTCTAAGTTAGAAAAATAGCATGTAAGATTCTCATGAAGTAAATTTACATAATAGTTTAAGTATTCAGAATATGCATACGAATTATTGGAAACTTTGCTTTCATTCTTTCGAATGAACACGTAACAAATTAGATTAATAAATCAATTTTAACAATAATATAGTTCAAAGTAATAATAAAATAAAAATTAGCTGCACTTAATTCTATAATTGAATTCCGATAAATAATTTCTTGGCTAAAAAAGTATTATTAAAACCCACTTAAGTTTTTTTTAATGACAAAAATAATGAAATTAGTAAAACAAAAAAAAATCCTCAATAAATTCAAACTCCAAGAATAATAAATACCAGAATTAAAAGATAATTGCAGAAGCAATTTACAAGATATATGATATTAAAAAACCATTTTTAATTCGGTGTGATAATGAGTATTACGATGATCAACATTGTAATGAGATAAGAAATAAAACAGTCTCTACCATTTTAGCGATGATCTTCATATGGCCTTGTAAATTTACTGGAGTCTAGGCATTGCATATGCGCATTATCTCTTGTCTTTATAGCACTAGTGAGTTGTGCACCTGCATATATCGGACAGATGTCTGTCAAGAAGCCAAAAGGAGGGATAGCAGAAAAGTATACACATATTAAATGCACTTGTGCATGTAAACATAAAAGAATAAAAGAGGCTGTCGAGTGACGTAAGAGGCGGCTAGACCAGCAAAGAAGCAAGGTCCTGTAAAGATTGCGCAATTCAGTCGTTGGAGAATCCTTTGAGATACCTCAAATCACAATGTACACATTTTTACTCTTCCCACATGTTTACTTATACCGACAAGCTTTACACGACAAATAATATAAATGAAATGAAAATAAAAAATATCAATAAGTTAAACTACTCCATGAAAATAAGGAATAGTAATTATGTCGTATTGTCAATCAACTTATTTATTCATGATTAGTAAGTCTTAAGAATCCATGACATTACATAAGGACGATTATAATTATTAGTATATTAATGTCTAGCAATAAAATATCATAACAAACACGCGCAATTCATTAGCTCAGAATGATGAAAACTTGCAAGAACTTTTACGAAATTTGTGGATGTACATAAGTGGAATGAGATGTTGGTTAATCAACTTTAAATTATTACAAGAAATTACGTTAGAACAGAATGAAAGGAATAAATATTTTAATTTGACCATTTAGATTCATTGATGTAAATATAAAATAATAATTAATTATTTATGGTGTTGAGGAAATTAATGAAAATAAATTATAGAAATTCAAATGATTCCTTGGTTGAAAAAATTCTGGATCTATTCATGACTAATTATAGTTAAAAAAAAATATTTTCTAATTCATAAAAATGTGTTAAAATCAATTGCATATTCCTTGTTTGATAATAAATATTCATTGTTAATTAGTTTATTATTTTGTTTATATTTTTTTTTCCTGATGAATGTAGCCATGGTATTAATTTATTAATTTATTCTCAAATAATTAAAATGTAAATAAATATATTTTTTTGCTATAATTTCTAATAAACTTGATCAATTGTTTTCTAGAACAATAGCAAGTATTGATTGGAAAAATAAAATTCATAATACGTTAGTTATGGGAATTGATAGAAAGGTTCACACTTAGTGCAATAAAGATACTGAGTTAGATAAAGGATTGGTCAATCATTTTAGAGCGACCCTAAATCATGATAAATTAATAAATAGTGATTTTATAATGAGAATACACGGATGTGATAGATTTGATCAAATGATAAAATATTGATTAAATTTTTTAATTTAAAATGAAACTAGATAGCTCCTAAAGGATATTAATATTAACAACGAAGGCAATTTAATGGTCATTAGAAATTAATTTAACTGACAGCAGATTTAATTAATTGGATAACCGATTAATCAACGAGGAAAATTGTGAAGAGATAACTGTTGTCTTTGAAACGACAAAAATGTTAATAACTGTAACTGTGGTATTGAAGATTTTATCAACACTTAGAAGTAACATTTCTAAACCAAAACTTTCTACTATAAAAAAATTTTTTATATCTTAATTAATGTTGGTAATTTAAAGATGACAAACCTTTTAGTTTAACTTTTGATTACACAAAGAAAAGTTTACAGTTGATTCTAAGATCTAACTTTGAACTGAATAAGAAATTGGCTTTCATAGCTACGTTTAATCTTAGAAAATTATTATTATTACTAGCATTCAGTCAATAAGAAAAGAAAGATTAATTTAATGAAATTCACTAGCACCTAAGAAATTTTTTTGAAACAATTAACACTTTTAAGTCAGTAAACTTGAGCACTTAGTGTCCAAGGAAATTTTTAATTAGTTCTCCAGTAAATTAAATCAATAATTTTATGAAACTAAAACTAATCAGTAAATTTTTAATGTTAAAAATGAATCTGTCAATATATTCAATTCGATGTAGAAAAACTGTTGAGAATGATTTTTTGCAAAAAAGTATTATATAATTTTTTCTAGGTTATTGACCTCAGATAGCATTAACATGAATAGATAATAAATTAACGTGCATAATTTAAAAGACTAAACTAAAATCAGGTTTTAATAATGTATCTTATGCAAGGAAGAGAAGAAAAGTAGTAATTATGAGTACGAAAAAAAGTTAGTGATTGATTAATTTGTATGGTAGTATAAAAGGTCTAAAAGGGTATAGGTAAAGGAATAAGGGATTGGTCAATCAGCTTAATGACTATGCCAAGACCAATTTACACAAACATGATCCAAATGCTCTCCTAAATGACAAGTCAGGCAAGCCACACCCGTCATAACATTTCATTAACTTGGGGAAAATTGGCTTACATAGTCTACTCCATTAAACTGTTTTTTATTCTATCCCCATCGCATCAGATAGTATCGGTAAATCTTGACAAGGGTCATAGAGTGAAGACCAATGGAATCTTGAGGCTCGCGACTCGCGACATAATTGTGTCAAGACTCACAAGAAATAATGCTTTTATCTTATAGCAATTTTATCATGAGTAGCTCAGCATCAGAGTCATAGGTCTTAAACTCATTTACCTCACAGAGTGAACGCGAGCTAGGACAGGATAGAAGTCAAGAATTAGGCCGAGTGCGGCCTACAGTCTAGAAATAATAACCTTTCTCTCGGAATCAATTGCTACGTGTGACGGTTCAGCGCGTAGGATCTTTATCAAGGCTCATAGGTAGGCCTTGTCGTCTGCAAAAGCCTGCATGGTTATATTTACATAAGTCATTGGAGTAGAGTATTTGAGTATAGTTATCACTCTACAAATATTACACCTTTTTTTTGTAAATATTCTTTGATGAAAACCTACTGTTAACAATCAAAGAATTATCTTGTCTTAGAACGTGATCTTGTTTATTTTCTATTATGATTTTTTCATTACATTACATGTTATTATTTTTTTTTTTTAGACAATTTTTTTTTCTTTTTGCATAATCATGGTCTTTCAACAGTGCATTGTTATAAGAGAAGAATTTTTCTATGCGGCAGCAGTTGGAGTAAAAAATTAGCCTCTTGACCTTAACTGCTTCTAAAGAAACCATGTTAAAAATTTCAAAAGGGCATATGATGAAAGTCTGCTCTTATAATTGTGTTAAATCAGTTCTGAATTGAATATAATGTTTTACTTCATTATCAAAAGATTCATTGAATGACAATAGTTTTTTAAAGTTAAATCTTAATAACGGTATGAAAAATTAGTTAGAGTTAAAAAATAAATGAGTTTTACTTTTTAAGAAACTTTTTGTCTTTATAAAATGTCTTTCTTTTTGAATTTCTAGAATTTTTTGTTTAATTGTCATAAATATTCTCACTAACCTTATTTCTGTTTTAGTAATAATAATACGACTGAATAAAAAAAGTTTGTAAAAAATAAGAAAGCTTTTTGTAATATAAATATAAATAATAAATATAGTGAATAATTTATTTGAATACTTTCTATAACTTTTTAGGAATAATCAAATCGGACTAAGCCAGAAATTTTATCAACAACAATGAATAATACATTTTTTTTTAAAATAAAAATAATACAATTAATTAAAAAATAATTGATTTGTTTAGTCAATATCTTGATTCAGTTATGTCTATTTTTATTCTCTCCAACGTACATTGTATGCAGGAATACTCTCCCTATCACGTATCACCGGACTGCTATTTCTTGCTCCAATGAGTGCCATTTTTTATTGTGATTATCCTCGAACTAAGCCATCAGGTTCAATATCTTCCTAGTAAAAATATTCACAATAAAACTATTTTCACACAATTTCCAAATGTTTAATAAAAATAGAAACTGATCCATTACACTTTTCACATAATTGTTAAATACCAAATGATGTGAATATTTTGTTTAAGTGAATACATATTTTTACACAAATGTTATAATGACTCTATGAGACAAATAATGAACGCATTGTCACAAGAGCCAGCCACGACGGCTAGTTTCATACTGAACTGGTCGGTTTCTCTGGTTGTGAACGCGATACCCCACTCCCTATAGCTAAGTAATCGGTACTCTGCCGATTGCCGCACGCGGCCCGGTTCTACTCACCTCTATTAATTTCTTTTTTTCCGCCCAGAGTTATTATCTGATACTCACACTTTTTTCCAGCATCAAAAGAGTCATTAACTTTAAGTACAACCATTTTACTATTTTTCCTCAAGTATTATGGTCATTTTTCACAACTGCTGTAATTCAATAATTATCTTTTTTGCATCGAACTTTGTCAAGCTATTTTTCATCTTGATTTGAATTTTGTTCAATAATATCGTTGTAAAGTAGAAACATACAATTTTATATTCTAATCCATTCTTCATAATTAAAGTTTCACTTGAAAAATTAACTGCAACTTCTAGTCATGTTGAAATAACTGTTAATTAGTCGAGACACTACCAATTATTGAAGTTTAATTTGTTAAAAATTATTTACGATGAAAAATAAATGAATATTTATAAAAATACTCAGAATTCTAGTAATTACTTGGCTTTAATTATTTAGAGAAATATTTGTAGAGTCAAGTATTATAATTATCGAACAGTTGTTCAAATCAATGACATGTCATAACAACAATCAAAAATACACCAACTACTAGAACTCTAGCTCGTTTCTTCTAATATTGTTTTGTCATTAAGAATCATTTTCTTGAAATATTTAAATATAGAATTCATCACATTAAAAGTGTATTTTATTAATCTGAGAAATTTATTCCACCATTATTTGTTAATAATAAAATAAAACAATGTCAACATATCTGATAAATTAAATGAAATAAAAAACCTTGGTTATTTCTTTGAAAGATGTCTTAAAATATCGTGTAATAATTCTACTTCATTTCAAAAGATTTTTAAATTAAAATAAAATAAACTTTTAGCTTTCTTTAATTAATTTTTCTTCTTATTTTCAAGTCTTTATCAACTCTTTTCTCAGGCTGCATTAATTATTAAACTTGACATGAATATTTGGTAGTCAAAACAACGACCTACGCATTATTTTAACTTCGACTGAATCATAAACGTCAGAATGGTAGGTTATACCACCAAGTAAACCAAAATCGTAGGTGTTACCTCTATTACACCATCAATGAAGTAACAGATATATACAATTTAATCATCATCTCCTACTATATAATCAAGTTATATATAAATATCGAATAGAATGTGAAACTGTCTTGTTTGATGATTATATGATTATCTATAAAGTTCATCGGTGATAAGTTCAGTGTGTTTCACAGATAGTTGAAGGTCACAAGCAGGAAAACAATCAATAGATCGTACCGTTACTTTGTATGGTACAGGAAATCGCATAGACGTCAAGCGCTTGAGGAACGAACGCAGCTGGTTTCTACGACCTCAGAGATAAGTTTAAAGAATTCTCTCAATATGGATACATAGTCTTCCTTAGATCCTTGTTAGAAAAAATTATTTCCCGTTCTTCGACGTATTCGTTGAATATTCTTGACTCTGAATCACACAGTTTGCCTTTTCAATAAGACATTTATTATTTTTTTTTTCCTTTTTATAGAATTTTCAGCAGATTCGATTTACTGCGTTGTGATAAAGTATTCTTAGTCATTCAAAGTCTTTCAAGCTTCCAACAAGTATAAAATCAATAAACAATGAAAATAAAGGTGATTATTCAAACACCAATTCCTCACATGTTGTTGATGATAATGGTATGAACGATGAAGAGGGCGCCTACTACCGATTTAGCAACATAAACTCTGCATCAGTTGGTAAAGTCGTGATTATTTATTTAAATATTAAGATTATCTTTATGTGAATAATATTTTTATTTATATTTATTAGTAACATCATCGTGTGAATGCTTACCCTGTCTTGTATCCTTATGTTCTCTTGACCCCTTTTCAGGCTAGGAGCCCGCAGGACTTTACTTGTCAACGGTGGATCCATCTTACTGTTGTTCTCAATCTTCCTCACTTTCGTCACGATTCCATTCTCTGCTGTATTTTATTTATTCACATCTGCAAAAATATTTTTCAAGTTATTTACATATTCAAGAGATACAACAACAATGAATGTTCATTGCATTTTAAATTAATAAAGATTATTTTAATAATTAGCACGAACTGAATTAATTTGAATGTGAAATTTGCTGATGGATATTTCAATATTTTATCTATATGGGATCACGTTGACAAATAAATTTTTATTTGAATATTAAAAATCTGCTTCTTAAACATATGAGCTATTAAAATAATTGATCAATAATTTGATAATTATTATGATTGATTCAAGTGGCAAAGTGTATATTTTCTTTGATGTTATTGTGATTTATTTAAAGAAATAAATGGAAGAGTTTATTGGTGATTTATTCGCTAAAGATATTTAATCGGAGCAATTGTATTAAGGTAAATGCTCCAATAGTTGGCAGATTAAAGCCAATAATAGATCTTATAAATCTCATGAAGACCGGCAATCTTCTACACGTATTTGTCTATCGACTAGTCAACCATTGAATCTTTTTTCTACAAAAGAATTTCCTGTGTTGTTTTTTCCTATTTAAGTTGGTTTACGGTTACTTCAAAAAAGCTAATATGACTGATAAGAGCACACTTTAACTCTTAAAAAGTCACGTGCATGTTGATGATTCACTTAAAAATCACGATATTTTAAAATTTGTGAAATGGATATTTTGAAATGCATTTTATTATTTGCAATCTTTGCTAAGAAAATTTTGATGATTTTTTTATTCATGAATCTTCAGAGAAATTGTTGGATACACTTGAATGAACGTATTCAGATGAAGTTAATTGATGAAAAAGTGAGAAAGTTAAGATTTCCATATTTAAAGATCCAAGGTGAATATAATTGATAGAGGATGAATCTGAAATGATCTGTTACAAAATTAGTGGGATCGACGCACACCTTATTTCAACTTTTGACCCTGAGTTTCCAATCTTCGCACCTATCAGCTGAGTCGATACGAATCGTTCTTCTTGACAAATGGTGCATTACCAAACGATCCATTCTATTCGTATCTACTACAAGCTGCTGTGGTAGCCACATATAGAAGCATTCTTGGTAATTGGCACGGCCGGATTTTCAGCCCAGCCACTCATTCGATTCACCAGTCCAAGTAATGATGAACCATCGTCCCACTAATTCGATGCGCTCTACACGCATCAACGAAATGCATCGATGCAAACTTGCTTTATAAATTGATAGATTATTGTCTTCAATTATTGAAGATTTCTTGTCATCAATAAATAAAATTTTATCAGCGAAATCTACGGATAGAAATGAAGTACTCAGATTTACATCTTTTAGAATGAATTAATTATTTAATTAGATGTTTAAAAACAATTTTTTTCTTGATATATTCATTAATGAAGGTCACATAAAATAATTAATTCCAGATAATACTGATTTTTTTGAGATGTCAATAATTATGTAACTAATTATTTAACGAGTTTCAAGTTAAGTTGTGCAAAACTGAATAGCTAATTTTTCTAAAATGTTTTTAATGATTTTAAAAAATAATTATGATTGGAGTTAATAGTAATAAATCAAATTAAATATGAAAATAATTAAATAAACCTTAAATAATTAAGTAATTAATTTTATACGAGTTTTGTAAAAATATACGTAGCTAATTATTTTTGTATAAATAAATAAAAAATGAATAGAATAAAATTATTGATTCTTGAAATAAAATTATGTTTAATATTTATTTAAAATAACAAAGGAGTTATTGTTCAGCATTAAAATGAAAAAAATTCATCTCCGTTATTAACAAAATTTCAAATGCTAAGCAATACTCCCAGAGCATTATATTCTGCAAGCATAACAGTATAAAAGAGTAAAGCATCATTCGCTTTCGCCCTTTTAATGAATTTAATTAAATGTTATCAACCAAATAGTCATTAATTATTCATCTCTGTGAATTTTTAATTAACTACCGTTGTTTCAACAACAGTTGTAAAGGGAATGTGTAAACAAAATATTTTTTCTGATTTGGAAAAGTTGTTTATCAATTAAAAGAAATTAGTAAATTATTTATTTTTTAATTTTTCAACCTAATAAACAAAAATGAAAATTAAAAATGATGAAATACAGTAATTTAATTAATTTTATCATCGTTTTACTGCCAATAAAATTTGTTTTTCAACTGGTTCATTAGTATTCCCTAAACAGAAACAGCGTATTTACTATTAGAAGTCTAGAAAACAAGCATTTAAACAATCTTAAAAATACCAATACGTTTTACAAATAAGCAGTTGGCTTCATCACATTGATATCCACTTCTTCAGGTGGGAAAATAAGAAGAAGGCAAGAAAAAATGGTGATTTAAGTGAGTAGTAAGCAGTGCACGTAGAATGAACGTGCTGCATGTGAACTTACATGTTCAGTAGACTGTCATGGTCATTGGAGACCATGTACGTAAGAGAAAAGACGAATAACATTGTAGTGGATTCCAAAAAAGTCGATTAGATGTGTCTGTACTTTTGTGTAGGCAGTAACAACATGCATATGCATTGAATAAAAGACGAATTCCATGCCGGAGAAATTCTTTTAAATACGAGGGTGTGCTCTATGTATTCTATAAAGGCAAGACGCCTTTCTCTCAAGGATAAAGTGCAAAGTAAAGACAAATGGAAAGACAAATTGGTCTTATAGCAAACTCCGGCACCTCATTACTGTTTGATGTGTATAAACCTCGCACGTGTGTTATGGGAATAAAATGTCCAGGAAAAGTCCCGTCTACTTGTATACAAGCATGTAGAGAAATGCACCAGGTCATCTCAATTCTCACGCTCTCGATACCGCTTCTCCTTTACTGCCTTCATGAAGACTTCAACTTCTATCTTTATATTACTTGATAAAAAAATTTTTATAATATTTCTTTTACATCTCATAAAATACTGCTGAAGATCAATAAACTTATCAGATGAATTAAATTTTATTCCAATTCGATGAAAATACTGTGAAATCAATAGGATTAAGAGCTTTTAAAGGTCTAAATAGATTTTCTTACCAGTTGATAGCTAGGTAGGTATATTGAAAAACTGGTTAAATCAGTAATGCATAATATGAATTTTAATTTATTCTAAAAAATTTTCTATGAAGTTATACATTTAGAAGAATTTTTTTAATCAATTTCTCTATGACATATAAGCTATTTTAGCTGATAGAGCAGGAATAGCTTTCATGATTCTTGCTGAGAGAAATGTAGGGTGATTAATGAGTAAAAAATTACATTTGAAGAATTTCAATGATGATTATTGGCCTTGGTAGGTAGGTTGTAATTTAATTTTTGAAAAACAGAGTAAAACTACCATGTGTTGAAGTTAATGTTATAATTTTATAAAGCAGCTTAATTTTATTGGCCCCGAAGAAAATTTGATTTTGCTCTCTTTTAACTTATACAATAACTTTAAATTTAAACTTTAATACGTCCTTAGACACATATATGAAGTTGCAATGAACGGGTTTCCTCTTTAACTCAAGCTTAAGCTAATATGTATTTTAATTCAATACTGAAGATAACAATGAAGAACTTGAATTATTTAGAAATGTTCAGAAAATATAGATCAAGGTTTACAAACAATTCTGGTTTGCTCTTTTTTGAGAATCGTGTATCTTTGTATCAGACTAATCAAATAGATTGATTTGTAGAAAATGAAAAAAAAAATCATTACTATGGTACATTAAATAATTTTCAGTGAATAATGAATTTGTCAAGAAGTTTCGCAGGATTTTTAATAACTTCAATTATTAGAATTTTAATTGTTAAGATTTTCGGAGTTTACGCAATTGTCAACTGTAATAAAAAGATATCACAAAAACTTTGACCAGTCTATGATACCTGAAAAAAACTTTCCAACTATGTATTAATGTTTTATCGAAAATTATATTCAATAAAAAGTAAGCGTAGTTACTTTATCGAACATAAAAGAAAGAAATAAATTATATACCTTCCATAAAACATTTATCCATGTACTTAAGGTAATTGTGTACTAAAAAGAGCGAGTTCTCTGGTAAACTTAATAACACATACCAACCATCTGTTATTATGTCAAAAATGTCAAGAATGTACTAAGTATAAAAAAATTATTTTGTTTAGTACGTACAATTTGGAATTAAAATGAACTATCTATCTTTCATTTCTCTAAGAAGCCAGATCAAGTCAAAAAACTCATCAATTGATTCAAGAAAATTTTTCAAGCCATCGATGAAAGCATATAATAAAAAGTAACAAGATTATACAACTAATCTAAAGATCGTCAGACCAGTTGCCTGAAGTTTCAAGGTCCTTTTAAGTAATTGATCCTGAATTAAAAAGAAATAAAGGTTTAGATAAATAACTAGTTTTTTTAAATAAAATCAATTGAAAAAACAACAAAAATCATCATGTTAAAAGCTTTAGTTCAATCAATGTATGACCAGTTCAATGGCATGTCTTTGGTATTTAAGCCATAGTCTATTCTTATTTCAGGTATCTATTTCCATTTGAATACTCCTATATGTCATATTGTGCTGAACTTAAGAAACAAAAGCTTAGGACACCTAACATAAATTCACCACACATTCACGAGTTTTGAAGAGTTATCCTTTCCAACACAATGGCTATATATAATAAGTCACTAATGGACAGAAAAGTATAGCTTTGTATCCTATCAGACATGCTCTTAATCATCTGAGATAATGGAAATTATCAAATAACCCACAGAAGCAGTGATAGTCAATTACTTGATTGTTAAATAGCAAATATTTCAAACATTTGCTCGTGATGCCAATTCATTGATTTTTCCCTCGACTCTTCAAGTCTGGAAGTGAAGCAGGTGAGTTTTTAAACGATGAGGAGAATGAAAAAGAAAAGAAAAAAAGAAAGACGCGTGGTTATGTTTTTTGCAATGATTAAAGTAAGGTTAGGTGGTTCGATATATCATTATATGCAATTTCATATGTAGATAATTTTTTGTCCTATGAATTATTTTTATTCAATAATTTATATGGACTTTTGTACCTTGACTTTTACTACGTACAGTAGACCCAACCACTAGGTTAGAATGTTGACGGCATTTATTGGACGCTATAATATACAAATTTATCCTCTTTCTTTCCTTATAACACTTGTTAAATATGCACTCACTAAATACGCTTGAATCATATACTCACTTGTATTCCCCCCACGATTCACTCAAAAAGCATGAGGATAAATAAAAAAAATATAATAAAATTGACAAAACGAATACACACAGCGACAAAACTATCGACTAACAACCGCGCGAGTCGCCAAGAAGACTGAAGCCATCGTCTGAGTTTCAGGAATATAAAGATCTTTAGACTTACGCCATCTGTTTTTAACTCCATTTTTTTCTCAATCGATACCAATTTCTTCTTTACCAATAGCTAATTTATTACCTTATAGTCGATAAAGGGAATAGTGTTTATATCGGTTATGAACTGAGTCGATAATACAGAAAACATTGTTATTATAATTAGAGGAAATCAAGTTCTATTCTCTACGTCATTCTCTCTCATTTAATTACAATAATTATTCATATGTTTACTGGTGTCAATAAGTATGTATTAAAAACCTGTATTTACTATAAATGAAAGTAATAATTAATATTAATTTAGGTGATATACAGTTGCTAATTCGTTAATTTTGGCACCTCGATATACCATATAAATCGTTGAAATATCTGATATGTATTCTATAAATTTATATATAAACATATCGGTAAAAATTGAAAGAAATATTATTGATTATTATTTTTATTTAACTATGATTTTTAAATTGTAATCTATACAGATTTCAGATTTGTTTGAATTATTGCTTCTTACATACATTGCAAGTGAATAATTTTTTTCTTTCATCCTCATGATTGTAGAAAAATGGTCCCATACGATCATAAAAAGGAGTCTCATTAAGCGCAAATATTTTCAACGATGCAGATTTTTTACTCACAAACAGATAATTTTCGTAAAATCCAATGCCAGAAAGGGGAACTCTTAAAGGTACATTGACGGGTCGTGGATCTATATGAGTTAATATTTTATCTGATTCAGCTATTCTAAATCCTGCGTATCCAATATTTACATATTGTTTATCTCTATCTGTGCCGTGTTTAAATTGTTGAAACCGTCTAAAGAAAAAATTTACAATTAATATTTGCTAATAGAGAACTCTTCATGAACATAATTTTGATAAAAATATAATAAATTAAATATAATAATTGTATACCGTTCTAATTCTGATTTTTCTTCATCGAATGTTTCACTAAACTTCACATTAGAAGAGTAAATTTGCCCTGTGGTATAATTAATTTCAGCATACTTCAGTCGAAGATGAATAATCGTTTTATTTAAATAATCCCCTGGATAAATATAATGAACTTCAAATTTTGCACCTGCAGATAATAAAATATATTAATCCATTGAAGTTGTATTTGCAGTTAACAATTATTTACCAATTACAACATAATTTTTAGGAGCTTTAAATGTTGAGTATTGAAGATAATCCCATAGACCAATGTGATGTATTTCAATATCATCACGTAAAGATATTTGACTATTGCTTTGATTAAATGTGCCCAAGTCATAGTCCATATCATCCACTGGAATCCATCGTTCACTTCCAGGATCTATGTGACTACCAGGCATCAACTTACCTTCTTCGATTTGAAGATGGAGTATTTTGTTCTTTACGACAAATTTTACTCCTGTAACTACCCTAATAATATCGAAAAATATTTATTTATGATTGGCAAATGATATTAAAACAACAAGTCAGTAAGAAATGCCATTTTTTTGAGTTAAAATATTTCACACTTACCAATTATTTTGATAATTACTTTCCTTTAATAATAAATTCACAGCAAAAACTTGATCTGGAGTATAATCAGAATCGTAAATTGGATAACAGTGAAAAAATTCATGAGATTCTCGTGATAATGCTTTCTGCATTTCTGTTATATAATTTTGTCTCCTTTTTAGATGTTCAGTTTTCATTTGCTCCAGATCTTCAACACAGTTTCCTGTAGGTTGAAAAAAAATTAATTTTTTAGTATTGATAATAAATTCAATTAAATTTTTTTTAATAAAGACAGTAGTGTTTATCGATTTACCATTCGTTAAAATAGATTGTAACTTATAAGCGAACGTGCTCATCACAAACATTCTCAGTTCCATTGTGACAATACTTTGATACAGTTCAACCATATAATGTCTTGGATTCATAAAGAAACAAAATGGAAAGAGATTCGTCTAATAAGTTAAGAATTTTCATGAATTTTTTTTTTATTGTAAAATTATTAAAATTAAAAATAGATCTGCTTACGTTCATATATTCAATCAGTTTGCTAAAAAATCCGTCAATATTTCTCATTTCAGGATGAATATTTTGATGGATTCTTTGCACACTCTCTCGGGGACTATTAGGATCTACATCTATAGCTTTTACCATGATAGCTTTTAATGAAATCATAGAAATATTTTGATCTAAATATTGATACAAGAATGGTCGGAATAACCGATCTACTCGTTCTATTGCCATATCAATTTCGTTTAAATTATTTTTAATATCATCAGGAGCATGGAAATTCGATGGTAAACTTATGCTTTTTTCAGTCTCTTTTATCTGAGTGATTGAATCGGCGGAGTCATAGAGTAAGTTAATTATTTCAATTGACATTCGGTTCAAAATTTGAATAACATCTAAATTATCTCGGTTTTCATAATTATATATTCTTAAGAGTTTATAGGCAAAGATAGCTGCATTTGTCATGTCAAAAGTAGGGTTTGGTGTCAAAACCGAATTTACTTCAGAATGAAGAATATTTAAAATCAAAAAACTAACGAAAATATGTGATATCATGGTCCTGAAAAAATAAATTTTAATTAATATAATATACAATCTTAAACACAATTATGAATGCTTAATTATTTGCACAATTGCTTCACTATAATTATTTTGTACATTGTAATCTTTTCTTAATAATTAGAGCTTGGAAATTAAATCTTCACGAATTTTATGTGTAGTAATTTTAATAATGTTAATAACAATTAAAACAACATAGTTAAAAAGAAATTTTCTATTAATATACCTCAAGTATTGAAATTTTAACTACAACAGAATTTTTTCAGCCTACTTTCTTATTTTTATATATTTCTTCTCTGAATATACAGTTGTATCAACATTTAAAAAAAAGTAAAAACATTTATCTACACAGTTTTTACTAATCATAATTGATAAATTACCATAAAATTGATCCTTACAACTTATTTATTGCCATAAAATTATTGTGTTTTTATTTTTAGCATTTCATAAATATACATAAAAGATTTTTTTTCCGATAGATAATCAGTAGTTAATTTCTTATGATAAAAAACTGATGAAGCTAACAATAATAAAAAATATCTGTAATATGGTTCCTTTCATAGATAACATAATGTTGATACAACTGAGCAAGTGTTTTTCTAAAATATCATAAATGAATAAGTAATATAAATAGTTATAACTCAAGTATTATGTTAGTTTTTTTCAATACGTATTGCAAAACAGGTGAGTATAAATATATTTCTTTTATCAAACTACTTATGATCACTTAGTTGACTTATACTTTATCTATACTTAATGAAAATTATTTTTCAGAGCTATGAAACAAACTGGGTTACTAATTTTGCTCATTTCAAATCTACTTTATGTTGAAGTAACATCAGATGATTCATTTCTTCGAATAGAAAATTTGGAAATTTACATGAATAATCTTCTAAATGTATATGATACTATAAGTATAAATCCTGAACTGAATACGTCGACAACAATACAAAATTTTTTTGCTAAAGTGAATAATTTCATAAATGACTTAGCGAAAAATCATGTAGATCTTCGGTTCAACTTGGAAAGCATCAGTTTTTCTTCATACTGGGAAATACCTAGACAAATCCACGATGATCTGAATGAAATTCTCATAGAAGCCAGAAATATAAATGAATTTTTCGAATCATACTTCATTGATTTTCTAGATGGTTATTTTACAAATCGTCTAATTAAACATTTTATTTCCATAACTGTTTACCCAGCTTCAGATGGTCTTTACAATAGTACTACTAAAATTAATGATATTATTTATTCTCAACAACCTTTGCAAGCAGATGAAAAGAATTTTTTTGACAGAATTACTGATAAATTGAACGTAAGTAAATATCTTTAATCAATTTGTCTGCAAATGATAAAAATCATACGAAAATATTTTAATAATAGAAGGTATTTTTTTTTATTAGAAAAATTTTGATCACCTTTGTGAAAGCCATTCTACACGACAGCAGTTTCTGATTTCATTGTATTCATTTATTATTAAAACCCAGTTCAGAGCATTTGTCATGTTTACCTCAGCTTATAAGTTAAATTCTATCTTATCAAATGTTTCTTCATCGAACATAATAAACTTGAATCAATTGAGATCGCATTATTTGTCGACATGGAATTATTATTATTTAATAAAAATGAAATCAGCTTTAGCATCAACATCTACTAAATATTATGATTGCCGACCAACTCATGAATATGGATCTAGCATAAAAAATGTATATGCTATTGACCTATCACCCACAATACACGGAGAAAAAATTCCAATAAAAATTACCGTGCTCAGCACAACAATCCACGCGCAAATGTCAATTCCCTAAAAAATTAAGACAACCTTCAAAGAAAAATTAGTAATCCTTTTAAAATTTTTATTATAGATTCAATATTTATTAAGAAGAGTAAAAGTAAAAATTCTTATGCAGCACGGTAATATTCGATAAATATTAATTTTTATTCAAACTTTAAACAAAAATTAGTAAGTGACTAGAAAAAAATGAGAATCTGTATATAATTTATTATGATCCGTGTGGTAGGAAAAATTCGGGTGCTCTCCTATAATTTTTTCTATTCTCGAGAGTTTCCGTGCTGGGTCGGGAATCTTCGAATTATCGGTCCAACACAATCTTTCTTTGTATTGTAAGACCGTTCACACAATCAAAAACATAAGCCGTAAAACGTACAATTTAAGACGTACGCGTGCATACTAACATCATAATAAGTTAAAAATTGGTTTGTACGCATGCGTACATCTTACGGCTTTTGTTTTTGATTGTGTGAACACCCTCAGTGCTATAGTTACTTTTTCCATATTGTAAACAAAGATGACATTCATATTTTTCGTTACGATTCAATATTGGCGGCAACACGTTATATCTTAACAATTTATGATAAGCTTAAACGGATTGACGCGGTGGACTCATGGGTAAGCGTCAGCTTGACACACGATGGGTCGCGGGTTCGAGTCCCGGCCGAGACAAAAGTCATTTATATGATTTTTCTCGGGCCACCGTGAGCGGGAGAGGAAGATCTCTTCGGAGAGCCGGGTGGTTGTATCGACGACACAGGTTTTCTGCGTAAGATCCCGATCGTAGGGATAGGGGGGGGGCAGTATTGTAAAACGTGTGCCGTATTTCATTCCAACGAATTAATTAGTTAAGAAAGTTAATTATCAATGAACCTAATTTATTTATTTATTTGTTTATATAACCAAAAAAATTATCACTAAACTTAAATAAAATTGTTTGTCGGTTACGTAGTTATCACAGCTAACGTTACTAAATTTTCAGGTGCTGTGGAACACTAAATTTTCTGGTGCTGCCAAAGTAATTTTCAAAAAACTGAATGATACATTTTCTTATGTAACTTATAATTTTTGTATGTTGATCATTACTTTTTACTTTTCAGTAAGTTTGAACTCACATTCTTGAGCAGCACGGTAATTTTTGTATGGATTTTTAAATAAAAATTAACGGAATTTTTTCTCCGTGTACTAGACTACCAATGGAACAAGTTACGTACATATATATCTAAACTCTCATAAATATAATATAGTCATTATAAATTATAAAAAATTGGTTTCTTTTCTAATAGTCTAATGGTTGAATCTTTTTTTGTTATATAGAGTTGTAACGGGAGCACAATTAGAATTGAGAGGTGGATTCCTCAATTTGATTCTTTATAGTGGAACACTTATGAAAAATGGAAAGATATCGACTTGGAATAGGGGTTTTGGAAAAAAATTTCCATCACAATGGCGCCCTGTTGGATATAGTTTTCCTAAAAATAGAAAATTCGATTATAAATTGTCTAATGTTGAATATGTTGAGAAAAACTTTTGGAAAAATATCAGCTTTCTATACACAGAAGTTCCTGAAAACCATCTTATAATTGGTGAGTAATTTAATTGTCTTCCATCTTCAAGACGCTAAAAGATATTGTTTATCTCAAAACATAATGCACATATTTATCTAATTAAATTTTGGTAGGTGCAAATTTCGAAGTACTGAGGTTGGATCCAAACCATCCTTATGGTAAAAAATTAATTTATTTCCGACTTCACTGTGCAAAAGTAAATATTACAACAGGTAAAATTGACACTTCTAATATAACATATACCAAAGTATGGACAAAAGATGATCCAGAACTACAACAGCATTCGGAAATCAACCAAACTTACTCATTCAAAGCTAACCGGTATTCGATTTATAATAGAATACTAGTAAACGTTAGCAATTCAAGTTCAACAGAAAGATGGCGAAGAAGACCATCGTTAAATTCTTACATTGATTCAAATATTATAAAAGTATATCCATCTTTGCCTGTAACGGGTATTGGTCTTTGGAAAAATAATTATGAAAAAAATTCTCATCATTTATCACTGCAAATTTCCACAATAAATATTTCTTCTCGTATAAAAGATGGTTCGAAAAGAAATGATTAGAAATATTAGATATAGAATACTAAATACAGGATTAGTTATTAAATATGGAAATTATGTCACTTGAAATGTAAATAATATATTTTATAACTATTAATTGTATATTATAGAAGAAGACTTTATTTCGAGTTCTTCATGTGGAAATAATTTTCTTTATCAATTCAGACTTTTTTTATTGCCGTAAACTTTTTTAATTAATTCATTATCGTAATTTATTTATCCAAAATAGAATTGTTATAATATAAAAGTTTTGTTAAAATTGATTTTAGATAAAATGTTATAAATTTATTTAAAAATGAATATTGCATTAATAATTTGACTATTAACCAAAATTATTTAATATGCACAGTTATCACTAGATTAATATTGTTAATTTGCTGTTCTGTTCACAATATCCTTGGAATTATAATTATCCAAAATATTCATAGTATTAATAACTTATGAAAATATATATACAGATGTTTTTTTATCTCTGATAAGCCTATAAGTACTGTATATAAGTTCAACATTTCTAGCTTAAACTAGATGAATTTTAATTTTTGAGCTTAATTCAAGAAAAAAAATAGGTGAGAATTTTTTCTTGTTAAATTTATTTCGAAATAATTATCACAATAAAAAATTTAAAATATTTGAAATATTATTTCTAGGATCATGAAGTGGAAATTTGGCATAATTATTTTTATACTTGGAGTACTTCATTTTAAAGCAATAAAATCAGTTGAATTCGCCCTTTTTTCATTTGAAAATTTAAGCAATTTCACTAAGGGTTTTTCAAATTTAAATGAGAATTTTCCAAATTCAAATTCTACTATTAACGTTGTGCATGAAGTATTGATTCAGATAAAAAATATTTTACGTGATGCTGCTAAAAAAAACATCATTCTCCACGATACAAATACTATTGTTCAAAGAAACTTTTTCTTACAGTCTTTAGAAATTGGCCCAGCTCTCCAATCCGTCTTCAATAATTTTCAAAGTATAAGTAAATTTTTCAATTTTGTATTTTTACCTATTTTAGATCATCGTGAGTCTTTTCCTAATGAATATCAGAGTTATAACATAAGTGAAGATCCAGACAAAAATGTTTTTCTCCAAAATCCGTTACATCATTTATTACAAATTCGTCACATTCTTTTAAAAAATAATTCAACTTTTCTTGAAAAATTAGTCAACGAACTGAATGTAAGTTTAATACAAGTTTTTTTTATTATTAATGTTGAAATTTAATATACATTGTTCAATTAGGCAGCTCATACCAACTGTTCAAGTGAGATAAATCATCAATTATTTTTGAGCCAATTTTATGAGAATATTATGAAAACTGAATTACAAGTAATGACAATAACCGTTTCGACATATGAACTATTAAGAGCTCGAACAAAAAGTAAATATTGTTTTCGATTATCACTCTACTGAATAAATATGCATTATTTAATTAATGAAATATCTATTTTTAGATGATTTTAAGAAAATTGTGTACTCAATAATAACTGATTTCATAGAGATATGGAATACGTATTTGCAGATAATGAAAAAAAATTTCAAAAACTTATCTACTAAGTTTCACAACTGCTTCCAGATAACTTCTGAAGCTTTTTTATCTGAGGTGCATATCATTGATCTATTACCAATACATGTTAATTATTCAAGTAACAAGCTGAGTATAAATTTATTTACATTTGCATGTATTTTTCTTTTTCTCAAAATATGAATATAGAATTAAATACTTTTAAACTAAAAAATGACTACCAGTATCATTTTAGTTTATTTTTAACATTTATCAAAACTATTTTTTTTTCTTACAGGGTGGTAACAAAAATAGGACTTAAGGTAACCGATACGATCCTTACCCTTTATGGTTCAGAAGCTACGATTCTTCCTTATGGCCAAATCGCAGAAGATACTGACCAAGATCGATTAATTTTTTCGAATAATATCAATTACTGGAATCCATATATTGAAGATTTGGAATCAGAATACGATGAAAATTGTAATATCGTTGAAGATGTCACAAAAGATTTTTGGAATAAAGTTAAATTTTTACCTACATCAGTTCCTAAAGATTGTGTAGTGGTTGGTAAGTTAAAATATTAATATCTACAGATCAAAATGATTATTCTTTACATTTTTCTAGGTGCTAAGATTGAAGTCTTACACTTACGTTCAAAGGAAACATTAATTTATTTACGACTGCAATATGCAAAATTCGATCGAATTGCTGGTACGATTGACCCAAACAGTGTAGCATTCACCAATTTATGGTCGTTAGATGATCCTGAATTAGCGAAGTATATTTCAATCAAATTCATTTCTTCATATATATTGATGCATAAATAACAATATTACTTTTTTCCGTCAGGATCTTAGAGAATGAATCCACTGATGGTTCATTTCAAAAAAATATAGAAATACCAGATACAGATGCACGAGGAAATGAAAAAATCAACAGATTACCTAAAGATTTTAGAATACGAATGCGTCAAGAACAATACATTAATTATCGTATAGATTGTGACCTTTTGAGCCCAACACCTCTTCGGCCTTTAACTGCTTTGAGTTTTTGGAAATCGAATCGTCAAAATAAAAATATTTACTATTTATCTTTAAAAGCATCTATGTATGATTGGTCGGAAAATATTGATATTCCATAAAAAATAAAAATAAACTTATTTCACTCATAATGTTATTATTACTGAATCTTCTTCTATTAAAGTTGTTATAAATAAAATATATTCATATTTTAATTTTACATGAGGTAATTAATATTTAATGATATTATGTAAGTACCGTACATTATATTATGTGAAAGGTCTATTACACGACCAACTCATTTAAGTGTGTGCCAAACAGTAACTAGCTTCCGGGGATTTTGAAGAACAGAAAACCAGTGAAGTCTCTCAGTGTTACCTCTAACACCTTTACCAAATGCTACCTTTCCGATAAATATATCTTTAGATTTCTTATTGGAGTTGACTGAATCTTCACTATCACTTGGATGATCATTAGCCGGTATGTCAAACACAGTCTGCCGTAAATAATAATATTAATTATACAATTATTTAGGAAAATAATATTAGTTATTTTCTTTACCTTATTACATAGTACCACGAGAAATTGCACTGTATCAAGTTGATTATAAGATAATTCGAATGTTAATGTTTCGTTAAATTCCAGATTAGTTGCTGATTTAAGAACCATTGTTTTCTTCTTTTTTATTTTTCGTCCAGTTTTGCCATTGAGCATGAAAATTCTTATATATGGATCTGTAATTATTATTTATTTAAAACAGTGATTTTTTTTTGAATTTTAATTTAAATAACAAAATGATAGACTTTGAAGCTACGTACTGAACTCAGTCGGTGAATTGATAGCTGGTGGATATTTCAAATCTCGCAGCTTCATTACGGTGATCGTCAGTCGTTGAGCAGTTGGTAGATAACTTATCCCGAGTAGAATACTTCCATACTCCTGAAACAATTAAAATTATTTACATTACACTTGTACTTAGTTAATTAATTCATAGTGAATTGATACTTATAGATTACCTTATGGGATGGTTTCATTTTATAATTAAATAAATGTATCTCTGGACTTGAAAATACTTTTCGAACATCTTTTAGATGAATTTTTAAGTGACATAATTCAGTATGATTTGCATATCTATCATGATCATGTGCGCGAATATCTAAAAGCCATTCCTACAAAAAAAAAGAAGTATTTAAATAATAAAAGTAGTCATGTTGGAATTATGAAATAGTTATTTACTTTTGTTTCGTATGAATTAACATCTGCGATTATAAAAGTTTCACGATAAATTGGGCTAGCAGTATGTCTGATGCCACGTGTTCTAAAACTATGCAGCACTTCTCGTTTTCGTTGTGTCCAAGATTGCTTAACAATTTCAACTACTACATAAGGTTCTATTGTACAATTATACTGCTTTGGTGGAAGACCCGATAAGGCCTATAACAATTAAATTGTTTAATTATGTACAAGATATTTTATGTAATTAAAACCATAATTAATGACGTCGTAAATAATTAATAACTGTTTGAAACGATAATATTAAACAAGTAAATTACTTCAATGCCAATGACAAGTTTTCCTTGAACACTTCGTGGTTCGTCAACATTCGGTAAAAATTGAAGACTTAGTGTTAATTCTGTTGGAAATTCCTTTGTTTTTTTTCCATTCTTTGGTTTCTCAATATTCACCAAATTCTGAAAATCATTATTAACATTTCAATTTATACTCAATGTAATTTTATTATAACTAACTAATAAATCAATTAGCTGGTTCATTAAGTATTCAAACAGATTTTCTATTAAACTTTATTTGAATAAAGGCAAAAAGACTGAGAATAAACATGAAATTTCAATTGAAAGTTTTCTTTGATTACTCATTTAATTACTCACCAGAGTTGATGATGTTCTTCGAGGATCAAACTCTGTATAATGAGAACCATATGGATCTCTCGGCGACTCTCCATTTTCACAAATACTACCATTATCATAAAGACTCCCTAATCGCCAGGATCGGTAGCTGACATCACCCAACTTGATATTTCCATTATGTTGGTCTGTTGAGTGTTCAGTAACTGCTTTATCTCTTCGGTTTTCTAATCAAAATTGAATAGAAATTATAGAATAAGTATATTCTAATGTTTCATATCTTATTTTATCTATAATTGAATACTTAAAATAACTTTTCATCATGATTTACAACTAATTTATGTAACTTAAATCAATAATCAATTTAACATAAAATTATTGTGAAAAAGATTTTCCTTCTATTTATACTGATTAAAATACTATTATTTTGTTTTAATTATAAAAGGAAAAAACTTCATAAGCATCCTTCTTCTTCTTGTATGTCTATTAAAAATTATTTATAGGAGAGTTGTTGTATTAAAAAAAATTAATCATCAATCCAAGCCTTTAACATCTTAAACTACGTATCTAATAATTCAAGTTTTTATTCCACAAATTTTTTTCAGTCTATAATTCCGACCTTTTTTAATAGACTCCATGAGCGATAAAAAGTGAACCGCAATCACATGACTGTTCATAATAAGTTGTATATAACTTATAAGCCAACGGAAATGTTTATAGGCAGACTGAATACGTCAGCAGGGGGACACATTCAACATACCACAGGTGGTATGTTGAATAGCATTATATTAATAGTCTAATACATCAATCAACTCTTTCAATCTGCAGGATAATGTATAATAATATCAGTCATCTTACTTTGTCGTTGTAGACACTTGTATCCTAAGCATCCTGGCACGAGGAAGCACACAGTCACAAACAGAATTAGAAGGATAATTCCGATACCAATTCCCACCAGTATGATCCGACTCCACGGTCCAAATATCTCCTCGAGAATCATTCACTAATTAATTCACTGACGCATTTATGTTATAGAAAATGAAGAATCACCAGGATGATGATGATGTACTGTGTTTACATTGTCATTCTGAAGGACTGTACACGTGTCACGAACCGTCATCGCATGTTTTATGATGATAAAAATATGCACGAGTCAAGGAAAACACTTGCGATCTCTTTTTACTATTAATATAAATATTTCAAAACCACGGTTATCACAATCTACAGCTGTCTTTCTTCATTCGTTATCATTTCCTCCTCTGACCCTTCTTTCCACGAGCAAAACTGTATGGAATTTCAATACCTGAAATCAAGAAACAGGTTGAACAAAACGAAAATATTTATTTTTCAACACAAAAAATTGGAGTAGCAGGTATTTTAAATCTCTACTTACGTGAATGCTGTTATGTCACTTAATTAAATCATTTGGAATTGGTTCAATATTGTTTCTTGATGGCCAAGGAATTCCGGTCTAATAAACTTAACGAACAATTGGCTGTCAAAGGACAATGGTTAATCGGACAAGGCTTGTGATGAAAAAGAATGAAGTACTTCAACTACTGATGCGTTGTAATGCGCAAAACGATGCAGGTAAGTAAGAAAAATCCTTGAAGAGCCTGCGATGAGTGTCTTGGAGTAACGATGTATTCACGAGACATTCAAGCTCTGCGTACGACTATTCGTGTCGCCACAGGCAATCCCGCGAACGCGTTTTGTATTACGTGTGAATGTATATATTGACGATTGCACAGTTGTGCGGGCGAGCCCACACCGTTACACCTTCTTATCATTGATAATTCACTGCCAAGCGGACACCAAGTGTGCTAGGCTTTTGTTTGCTTGAGTATTCAACTATGCTACATGAAGTCATATATCATAACAACAGAAGACAAGAATATAAAATAAAACATAAATTTTAGAAAAGGAGGATATATAAAAATCAAACAACTATGGTTATCAATTACTACTCAATGATAAAAATCAGAATTAATTATTCAGAGTATGATTAATAGTAAGGATGAATTAATGGATAGATTGGTGATTTGAACATAAATAGTCAGATCTATACTTCCAAGCTTTCAAGGAGGTTTTGACTTGATTGTTTACCAATAATTTATTAATAAAAAATCACAGAAACATTGAAATTTTTTTTTAATTTACTAGGTGTTTTGTTAATTATTAGTTTTTTTTCATTGAATTGTTTTTATAAAATGTGGTTATATTAATTATCAAGGACTTATTTGTAATTTAGAAAAGTATTTATGATTCCCCTCCAATGAAAGAAAATTGTTTTTGGAAGTAAATTAAAAGAATAATAGTAGTTTTAATGAGACATCTTTAGAAAAAAAACTGATTGTCTTGTACGTGCATGCCATGTCAAAGACATTTATTGCTGCTGTTGAAAAGCCAAAATATCTATTAATGTGACATTTTTTTCTCTTTGGCCTGTATTGAAAAATTTACCATACCAACGTGACAATTTAAATATATCACCTATTTAAAAGTAAGAATAAAAATTAGGTATTGCTAAATTTTACATAATTATTAAATAAATTATTTTTAAAATAATTATGCATAGCAATACTTTTTTAAATCTTAGTAAAAAACAAATTCAAAACTGTCATGCATGAATGTACTCATGGCTTACTTATTTCTTTTCTAACAAATAATTTTCAATTATTATCATGCATAGTTGTGTCCTTTTTTTTGAAAAATTCTTGAAGCATAGCCAGCAGTTAACATCAGAAATGCTGTAGTTGAAGTAAGTATTCAACTCACTCTGTTCTAGTAGAATTCTTCCACCTGTTCAGGTAGTCGACACTGACCAACGCATCAATACAAACATCAAATCATCAATCTATCGCGTGCGGGAAACTGGAGAGAGTCTTATAGTGATTATACTATAGCCTACTCGGACAAACTGACCTCGATCCCCGATTCATAAGTCCTTTCACTTGAAAAACTTCTTCCCGCCACGCGTATTTAGACATTGGAGACAGAATACCTGGTGGCTAACTTTAGTCGATCGGTTGTCGTGAGCGAAGTAACCCAGATTTCCATTTCTTCCATCTTCATTTAATCGTTTACTCATTTACTCTTCACTTTTTCGTTGACGAAACAACATTTGGACATTTCATAACTCCAAGAATATGCTTGAAGAAAAAAAGTTTTAAGTTAAAAATCATCAGAGCCAAGATGAGAGCATGGTTTTGTTTTTTGAGCATTTTGCTCAGTAGTTACTGTGAGTATTGTGATTTCGGCCTTCACCTGATTGTTCTATCAAGCGTATGTTCATGATGTTATTACGCCATTCAAACTGTTTAGAGTCCTTCATATATATCATATTCAGCCTAAGAACTCTATTCATTATAATGTGCATTACAAATTTCGCAATGATTTTATGATGCTTCTAGATGTGACCGGGTTAATTATTCCTGAAGAATTAACATCTATTCTCTCACTTGTCTGGGCTAACATTCCACCTATAAGAAAAGGTAAGTGGACTCAGTTCTTTGCGTAATTTTACGTCAGAGAAAACGAACAAACTTTCACTACATCGTTGTCTTGCTGTTGATCAGTGGAACGCATCGTTTTTCCTATATAATTTTAGACACGACAATTTTATACTTCTGTAGTGTTTATACACGCAGCTATTGACACGCGACGACTTCCTTGGCTAACTTAGGTCATTCAACTATGCCCGCATATACTCTTTCATGTTAATTCAAAGAATAAATCTATATCTTTTTATGCAGGAACCGACTCGAGAGTTGGTGTTGGCTTTAGACTTGGTGAGCATGCAGATTTCCAAGTAATGATGGAACTTGGACCTCAAAAAGAAACAGATCCGATCGGAACTGAAGAATCAAAGAGACGGAGAGCTATAATGTTAGAGTCTGCTATGAGGGGTGACTATGGTCCTTGGGCTAAATCTGTTGCTCAATTTAATATTGCGAAGATGAAGCAAAGGCAAAAAATTAATGAAGAACAAGTTAACAAACAAATAAAGGCTGTGGACAATCAAGATAAGGTTCATATATTAGTTACAAATAAAAATGAAATAATAATTTTAAAACTAAGTAATATTTTAATTTACCTTTTTTAGAATAACAATGACAGCAATTGGTTGTTGAAGTGGAGTAAAGACATGCCAAAAACTAATAGTGATGAAGTGCCATTAGGAAATACGATGATTCAAAGAATAAGAATGAGTGCTTCTGATCCAAAGTAATTAAATAAGAAAGCTCAAAAAATCTTAATGTGAGATAATCGCTGATGGTCGATATTCAAAACATGTAGATATTATTTTTTACAGCTTAGAAGAGGGAAACTAAAATATTATAAAACAATAAAAGATTAAATAAGAATTGTAAAATATTATTAATAATAATAAAGATTGTTATTATTTTTTGTTCATTTTTGTTGTTATTTATTGCATTATATTACATGGATTATATCACGATGAATATTTAAATTTGGTATCATTTCTCCCTCGAATAATCACATTCATCATAATAATCTTAAGAATTAGATTTAGTTGAAATTGGACATTTGCGTCAAAAGTACAAGGATTGCCCTTTTTTAAAATTTTAATTTGTTTTAAAGATAAATTAAGAGATTTTTAGAATTAAATACATTAAATACTATATAATAATTACAATATATTACACATTATTTATCGACTTCACTTTTTTCCACTGTTCAAAAATTTTATTTTATCTCGTAAATTTTATTCACGATTTATAAAAATTACTTGAAATGGTCTCCCTATAAAATAAAATTTTTTTTCTATCACGTGACGTTTATTTCTTCATTCTCTTCATTGTCAGTAAATTCTTCAGCTCGTCGTGGGCTCGATAAAGGACTGGCATTATTGAGATCAATTCGTGTTCGATCATTATTAGTATCACTTAAATCTGGATTTGGATTGTTTTTGTTTGGAAGTGTTTGTTCACGAGAACCACCTGATGCCATCAGTTCCCTCTCTTTGTTATTCCTCCATTTCATCCGACGGTTTTGGAACCAGATCTTCACCTATAAATGATAGCAAGAATTGAATAAAAATAAAAACGACTGCAATGAAAATTTCATAGTAATGCGATAATGATTATAATAGAATGATAAGCATCTTATTGGTACGATTACAAGTATGAGATAACGATTATCTGAAACCAGAGAAAAATAAAGAAAGAAATCACAAATTCAATTGAATCTAGAAAGTACACCCTTAGGGCAATTGCTTTCACCCTCTGCACCTATCTAATCTCAACCCTCTAGTTTACTTGGAGACAGCGCCCTTATTTCCGGGATTAAAGAGCATGCATTATCAAACAACCAAACGTCAAATGCACGACGTGCTTTTTTCAGTGCCCTTTCCCTTCTTGTATACAATTTCATATGCGTTTAAAATTAAATATTTTTTTAGCTCATGTATTATTCGTTTACAATGGATGAATGGAATTTGGGTGGATTATTATTTTGTATTTATGACAGATTGGATACATCTGTACTAAATAAATCGTTTTTATTCATTTAAATTTTACAATATAAAGAATGAAGATGCTAAAATATAGTCAGGTAGAACCAAATAATGATATTACTGGTGAATAATTATAATGAAACATCAATTGATAATTTAGTAAAAAATAAAATTTAATTTCTTTAGTAATAGACTCTCTCTTTTTCTTATTAGACACATAACTGAGAGTTTTGAATCCTAGAAAATGATCAGAGTTGAGTTTATAAAATATCACAGAATATTTTGTTAATAATAAGAACAATTTATTTCATAATAAAAAATTATTTATGACAATTTATTTAAAAATTTTCACTCGTCAAATAATTTAATTTTTTTTTGTTTTAAATATGATGTCATTATAATGTAATCATGTCAAATAAGTTCATTCAATTTGTATAATTTTTCATTTACATCAATTATATCAAATATAACTTATATGAATTGACAATTTTGGTAGCTTTCAGCTTGATCACCAACCCCGGGGGTTAAGCAAATTGATTTTACTAAATTACTTAACGAATTTTCATTTCGAGGGGTGAGAGTGTAGAGTGCAGATGACACCTCGATGCGCGAGCAATACATTCGTACTCTCGGACGTCCACGTCGTTCGTACGTTATATTTGTATGCTTCCAGCTAAAACTACACAAATAACATAAAATTTTTTTTAAAATAAAAATGTTTAAAAAACTTTATATAGTTAAATAATTTGAATAACAGTGAAATAATTTTATCTAAAAGAAAAAGAAAGTTATGAAAATAAACGTAATAACGATCAAAACAAGAATTAAGGTCGACCGGACGGGAGCTGAGAGAATTATCTCGAGGGTAAATTAGGTGTCGCAAATCGGTGCGAAAGCTGACATTATTTCCGGCAGCACCTCATCCTTCCTTTTCTATACTAAACGTTTGGAAGTGCCGAAGGCTGTGATTGATTGTCCCGTCAGTGGCATGCCCAAGGCAACGAGGAGTAACAAAAGTAACGAAGAGTCAGCGTGTCGGAAGATTTTTATTCAGGGGGAGAGAAATGATACTGAGTTCAGTTAGAAACTTCAAATTCACTTCTCCAGACAATTAAATTCTTTCATAATAGGATCATTCTTTCCAAGAAAAAAATTAAATACTCATTTAAATAGAGTAATTTATGTTTCACAATTGCTTCTTGAAATATTAATTATTATGAACTAATGAAAAAATTATTTTTAAATGATTCTTTGTGAAATATAGAAGAGAAAGAGTATGAAATATTAAGATAAAAATAAAAGACGACCGAATAAAATCGATATTAGTTTTTTTTCGTGATATTAAAAAGTTGTTGAATATGATAATGACCTTTTCATATCAATTTCATGGTACAAAATAACTGTATAATGAATTTATTTTGAAGATAAAATTTGGATTAATTTTTTTATCATCTAGCCCAGTAAAAAAATCGTGTTTTTATGATATCCATTAATTATTGGACTTGCAAAATTTTGCAAATACGGTTAATCATATGCTGACCTTGATGCAATGTGTTATTATTAATTAGCTAACTTCTGATGATTGATTGAAGAACTCATTTAGCTACATAAAATTTTAAACTTTGAAATTAATCGAAAAAAACTAAATAAAACTTTATAATTATACATTTCTAAATTTTCTTTTCAACTAGGTTTCATTTTGGTATCACTAGTCACGAGAGTACGGATTCAATCTAAATTACGAGTATTTATCCAGTGATTATCCTATCATAATTGAATTAATTAGATGCCAAATATCATGATTCTATGAATAGCAATGCATGAATTGAAACAATGGATGAATATAAACTCAAGCGAAATACACTTTAGGATAGTTAATCATGAGAGGAGCTTTCGTGGATTAGGCATAATGATATCTGAAACGCGTTATGAAGTAAGCGAGTGGGTAATCGTTAAACGATTGGCTGTAACCCCAGCACCCTTGGCCCATCCAGACCCCACTGTTACCGTCGCCTACAGAACCTCGCGCTCGTTCATCGTTTAATCCCTCCCAACAACCTGGAGAAACCAGAAGCTAAATTCTCTTCCTCTTACACCCCCGCTTTTCCAGAGAGGAGAATGGGATAACGTGTTCTGTGACGCCGCTCTCGGGCCGTGGCCCGTGGCGGCAACGCGCCATCTGGCGCTGTTTAATAAAAGACGATCGATTATGACGTCGGCCTCAGAACTACCCTCGATGGGTTGAGGGAAATGGAGAAACTGAGGAGGAAAAAGGCATCCGACCCACAGAGTGTTGAGAATAAGAGGAATTACGAGAGGATCAAACATAAAAATTCCCTATCGTTGCTCTAACCCTTCACCAGCTTTGATGTATTCTGAAAAAGAGGGACTTGTGGGATTCCCATGTTAATATGCCAACTGGTAGATTCCATATTTATTGTGCTTATACCAAACGAGTGTGCCAACTTGAAGAGTTTACTTTCAATGTATGAGGGATTTTAACGTGACATTTCTTTGGCAAATGTTGAGTTTAAACGTGACATTTCCTTGACTCTAAGCAAATATCGATATAGAGATTGGTTTTTTTCAAGATATATTTTCAACAATGGCTCAAGCTGAAGAGTAATATATACTCATGCATGTCAAAATTTTGTAGTTGGTAAAAATTAATTTCTTATGATTATTGATTTAATTTTTTTGAGGTTGATTATTCTTAATATTGTATTTTTTTAAACAGAGAGAATAAATAGAAGCAATATTGTCAAGATGCATTAAAGTTTATCTACTTCAATGAAAATGTTTTATATATGCATTTAGATCGGAGTATTGTATATTCATGGTTTCTTAGCTACCACCTTTGAAAGCATGCGGCGTCTCAAAGTTAAATCCATAATGCATGAGAGAAGGCCCACGGCTATGCGCGAACGGTGCTTTGGAAGCTGCAAGATATTGCGGCGACGCTAAATTCATATTATGCTCGTCGACAAGGAATACTGCTTTGTTTTTATTTAATAATATTAGACTCCAACAAAACACTTTGCCTTTCAAGTAATTCGAGCTTTGGGTTTATAAAATTTATAGAACTTTTTATGTGTTTTATATGCTGTTTAAATAATCTTCATATTGACTGTATGTATCATTGAAAAGTAGTGAGAAAAAATAAGGAGATATTTGAGAGATGTGGAAAATGAAGAGTTCTTTGCTAAAGTGATCTTTTTGAAAGAAGATAGGGGAACTGTGAAAGGAAATATCAGGAAGACTAATGGCTGCAAATTGATTTGACCTATGGAATTCAGGAAACTCTATACTATTCCAACCCCAACAAAACACAAACCCTAATGGTCGATCTGTCTAACGTGTGTCAGCATCAGCCTCTCGTGGGAACATGCAAGCGGCTGCATTTAACTCGAAATTGACCGAATGAGCAGTACATTTAGCTTTATGTACCAACCGCAAGAGTATTCCTAGCTAATTGAGATTTTGACCCAGAATATAACATTAATTTCCTTTTGTTGATGTAATTATTGTTATCAAGTATTCATTAATCGTTTATTTTATATATATGTTCATGAACTGCTGATACTTATCATTAATGACAAAAAATAGCACTGTAAGCATTTATGTATTTAATAATTTTTTAATTTACTTCTTGAATTGAGGCTGCCAAGTGACGCTGACAAGTTGGCATCCGGGCTCTCGACAAAATCAGGAAGGAAGGAAGGAAGGAAAAAGCTGGCATAAAGTCTGTTCTGATTATTAAAAAGATAACGAACCACCCCATGGTTTTGTTCATTCTTCTTTCATTTTTCCCGTTCTTTTCCAACATTTTTACTTTATGACTGGTAACTATTTATGATTTTTAATCTGTAGCTTTCTCAAAAGAGCAGCTTTAACTAGTTGCAACAGATAGAATTTATGTTTCCTCATGAACATTTTTATAGAGAATAAATTTTGAGTTTTATGAAAAAGTATTTGTAAAAGTTGAATATGAGTATTCTTTTTTGCATTGACATTCATATAAATAGTGATAAATAAGATGGAAATGTTGATGCGGTAATTCGTAGGCCAAGTTTGGTTTGAACATTCGCCATAGACGCGATATGTGCGACAGCTTAGTATCTCGTAAAACAGTGATGAGAAAAGGACAAGGGGAAAAACAGAAGGAGTACGAAGAAATAGCGAGGATGAGGCAAAGTAAAGCTCGACCAATGGTAGTCGAGTCATGGCGCTCGAGGTGTAAATTATACATGAGGGAATTCTCTCTCTTTGTCTTCATTCTCTCCTGGATATCTTCTCTTACTAACCCATTATACCCCAACTGTAATCCCTGCTATATGATTTATTTGATCTCTTTCACTAGATAACACAACTCAACCCTTAGCTCTAGTGGTATTCTATATTTACATCTAAGTGTAAAAGTTGACAAGAAGATTTAAGAAAAGTATGAAATAAATACTGATGATACATCTAAAAAATTTTTAAGCAAACAAACCTGGGAGTCTTTGAGTCCTAGTCTTTCTGCTAGCTTTTTTCGGTCAGGTTTGCTGATGTACTTTTGAAGCTGGAATCGTTTTTCTAGACCTTGTCTCTGGGTGTCGGAGAAAACAGCTCTCCTCATCATACCTTTTCGAGGTCTTCCACGAGCACTTGTAGCCCATGGAAAACACATTGCACTCATTCCGGCGAGATCACCGATTCCTGGTTGCATTCCACTTGCAAATGATCCTCCAACTACTGTAGTTGTTCCTGATAAATGACCACTAGCTGGGTTGTTTGCTAAAAATAACAAACACAAAAGTTATGTAATAAATGAATGAAAAAATATTTCATTTCTTATTCTATTAAATTATAAAATTTGATTTGATATAAAAATATTTTTTGTTCGAAATGAACTTCAAAGTTGTTTCTTCAAAAATTTCAATTCATTCTTGACAAATTTTTTAATATGAAATAGCAGGAATGTTTAATCCAATTAATCATAATTTTCAAAAATTTTTATTGGATTATTGCAAAATTATTCTAAATAAATCCAACTGTATTTTCCTTTTGGATTTTATTATAAAAATAAATATATAGATTTAACTTTATGATAGAAATGAAAATAAAAGTTGACGTATGTTCAACTCATTTTTTCCAAATCTAATTAAAAAACCGCATAAAAAAAATTAACGATCTATCGTTATGGAGAAAGAAATATACACCTCTAACGGTGAATAATATTTCTACATGATCTAGTCTCCTTTACGAAATTAATAAGCTCATATTGCAGCACAACAGATGAAAATTGAGCAATGGAATTCCTGTTCATGTTCTCGCGGTTATATTGCCAAGTTGAGCATGAGAACATTATTTCGACCAATGATATTTGCACGCATGCACTTGTTGCATGCGTATACACATCGGCTCGTGCAGCCACATATCCAGTGAGCCAGCAGCTACGGCCAGTAGCTATGGCCTGTGCAGCACACGCCTATACATAATGTACGCACAACGCAAAACGGGTGCTTTCACTGCACTTGATATGCACTCCATGTCCCGGGCCGTGAGTCTACACCTCTATTCTACACGCCATTCAACAAGATTGCTGATAACCAAGTGGTATGTACATTATACACACATGCATCTGCGTATAAACAACCCTATTATCTACATAACATCACTTTTATCAACATCAAACATGATTATCTGATGAATATTCTTTGTTTTAGCAGGTACTTACTGGTTAAATAAGGTCCTCGACAAGCTAGTAGCTGAAGAGTATGATGTGCATGGGCTGTGAAGTGGTGCTGTGTTGGTCCTGATGGATGGCTGGGGTGTGGTGGGTGATGAGGATGATATGCCGTTGGTCGTGCAATAGGTTTAGCTATTCCAGCTGCATAAGCTGCTTGAATTGGTGGCGAACTTTGGAGACTGTGTGAAAATCCTGGTGTGCTCGCTGTTGGCAAACCACTTGCTTGTTGCAATGCTTGTAAATTATCTGAAAAAGTGAAATACAATTAATTAATACTGATGTTGAAAATTATTCACTTAAAATAAAATTAAAATCTTTAATTTTGGTTTATAAAAAAAAACGTCATTAAACTTTTAATTCCAATAAAACCGATAATATTGTATAATATTAATTACTGAGCCAATTTTACCGTCGAATGAATGCCACAAATGTTTCTGTAATGTCAAAAAAATGAAACTATATTAGGAATTTTTATGAAATGTTTAATGTTATTTGATTGACTTATATTAAGGTAAAATAAAATTTTTTTTATTCTGACGAAAGTTTTAATTAAATCAATTAAAACGTAGACATTTTCGATATAAATAAAAAATTATTATATCCAAGTTATAAAAAATATTTTTAAGTCTGGTTTTGTCAATGCTTTAATTTCAAGTAATGTCATGCTATCGAATGACATATTTCGAAATATTAGGAAAAAGTTTTAAAATCAACTCTTCTACTAATAAATGTTGTTTTTGATTAATTATACTTTAAAAGTACCTCAAAAACTGTCCATTGAACAAAACAGTAAAAACATTATTCTTTAAAACTGAAAACATAAATCAATCTAGTGTTTTTTTTTTCAATTAAAATTATTCTCTATTTGTATCATGTAGTACAGAATTTTTTTTAGATTTTATAATAGGAGAGAAATAAATTTAGTGCGAAGTGCAATAGATCACAGGACATAACAGCAGTAATCTCAAGATAAAATGACGAATAAAAGAGCATTTATTTGTGACACTTTGCTGTTCACGCCCATTTGCCTGTGCATAAAAGACTGAAGCATAAAAAAATCCAAGGAAAACATTGCCCGCGTTTGAAAATAATGAAATAATGGTGGTGAACAGGCGTGCCTAGAGTTTATCCCAAAGATCCAGGGCGGTAACAATGGCATCCCATTGTATTCGTGAACCCTATAAAATACTCATCGGGTTTTATCGTTGTTTTGCCAACCGACCAATGAGCAAACTTAGAACCTCGGGCTCAAGCCTTAACGGAAACATTGAATAGAAAATATAAAATACTTTTTTACTCATCACCCAAATGCTCTTCATGCAATATGTTGTTACAGTTGTTACCCATGTTAAGTTTAATTCTCTTCTATCAAGAGCTCGCTCGGTATTTCATTGTTTTCAGCATGCATGGGCCTTTTTTAACTCATAGTCTGACCATATCATACAGTTATTGCAAGGGATTTTGAGCTTTAAGACATCATCAAAATTGAAGACTACTTTAATACATGATGCTTATTATCGAACTAAGATTACGCGGATATTTTTTTAGAGGATCATCTTGGGTGGATTTATTTTTTAGACGAAAGAAGCTTGATCTCTCGAGAGGAAAGAAAATATAAATTAATCTTCTGGAAATACAGTTTGTAAGGGGAAACAATTTAATTGATTGCCAAGTTCAGTGTTATTTTTTTAGCATGAATGAGTGATTATAACATCTATATTTTTCCCAGTTGCAATCATGTTTTTTTTTAAAATATTCTTCAACTTAATCATAATATTTTCAAAGGAAAGATAGATGAAATTTTCTTTATTAAATAAAGAATAAATTTTTGAAAAATTTTTGTAAGTAGAAAAATTCATTTTTGATCTGACATTTGAAAAATGTAATAAAATGAAATTAATTCAAGTAATAATAAATATTATTAGTTAATAGTAATTGGACTCAATTATAATCACTTTTTGATATTTTTATGTAAATGGTCCAAAAAAAAAATGTATTCTCATAATATTTTGAATTATCTATTTATAATTAACCCTCCAAGATATCTTTCCGTTCATTAAAGACTATAATTCATGTTCAACTTTAAATAAAATTTTCCAAGAAAAGAAAAGTTCTTAAAACTGATCATAAAAGAGAAATTTTTCAACAATTTAGATATAAAATGTTTCAAGATATTTATTTTTCCCGGATCTTTTCTGCAGCAAAATAACCATTAGAGTTAGTTGCCAATCAGTTTTTTCGCACGCAATTATTTCGGAGCGGTTTTTCGACATGACGGCTTCAGAGTAAGCGAGAAGCCAGTAAAAAAAGAAATAAAATAACATGAGGATTGTTTGCTGAATGTATGAGCTGGAAGGGTAGTTATACATGTATCGCAATAGCATATTGAAATGGTGGTTGTATACTCGCTGACGAGAGGAAGTAGATGTTGAGGAGGTGGAGGCATCGGACGAATCGCGGGAGGGACATGTAACACATGCACGTGGCACGGTCAATGCATCCGCTAGCCGACAAATGCATGAGAAGTTAGCATCTATGTATACACATACACGCCCTCCAGAATTGCAGCAGTGCATAGAGCTCTCCTCCCATCATACTCCCCACTCATCCTCCCCCTTTCGTCAGTATATTGCTACCACTGTACGCAAGCAATTCCGTCAATGTTAAATGCAACATTTGCACGATCCGCGTGCACCAAACATTTCATCGCACGCGTTTATCGTCCAACTGTATAGAATCTATCGACTGATGTCAATCAACAAGCGAAGAGAAATGGCAAGGAGAGTAGGAGGGATTGAAAACAAGGAAAACAAAACAATGGATTTTCATTGGAGGGCAAAAAAAAAATGGAAATAAACTGTTGAAATAAAATTGGAAATAAAAATAACCGATATGGTAACATTGATGAATAAAATAAATTGTCTTGGTTAAATTGTTATTCAACAGAAATAATTGGCGGCAAGAGAGAAATATATGGTTGTCGAGTGGGGTTTTGATACGTCATTGGATTCTGACGCTTGTCTAATATTATAGGCACCAATCGTAAGAGTTTAATATTAGGGTGAAGCTAAGTGGCGGAACAGCTGACGCCACGGACTCCACCCCAGGATGGTAAAATCCTACAGGGATGAGTGCGAGGCGAGAGACTGAATGAGTAAGTGAGAGAGTTGTCTAACCCGCACGCACGCTGTGACTCGTCTTGAGGGTGTGCGGATGAGATTTAGGGAGCGTCGGCTGCAAGTCTGCCCTCGACACTGATTTGTAGCGAGCTTTGTTTCCAGCGTGAAAGCAGCCGCCGGCTCGAGCAAAGGGCTCTAAAGACTTTTATAATGTAATATTACCTACCACTAGTTTACCTAAAACATATTACTGTATTTTACCAACCCGTGTTTCTACGCGGCATGTAATTATCCGCTAGAATCGCCTTCACACCGAACTTGAGCTCCAGCCTCTCTTTCGCTTGGATACCTCGTGATTCTGTGCTTGAAGATGTAAAAGGATGCACTGGACTTGGTCGACTACACTGATCATCATTGTTGCAATTCTCTTCAGCACCTATCCTATCATCTGTTCTTGTTGTCATTCTGTTTGAATCATTCAAGTGATCGAAACCTATCCAGTCTCTGTCAACTTCCATATCTCTAGTCCTCTCATCTTCATGAAAACGATCTTCTTCAATTTTAATCCTCCTCAAGTTATCTCGAATCGGTGTCACTCTGTCTTCACCATCAGTCTCTGGTTCTGTTTCAGTTCCTAAATCAACATCTATTCTGACAGAATTATCTTCCTCCACATCATCAATATCTCTTCCCAATTTTTTATTCAGCCCAAGGTTACTTGTGGCTTCTTTCTCTCTCTGTCTGGCCATCAAACTTGCAGCCCAGTTCAAGGTCAGGCTAAATTCAGGACTAGGTGTACCTTTGCTCTGAAGAAGATTTTCCATAAGAAAATTAGAAGCTGTTCTTTGCTCCAGATTCTTTAACATCGCTGCTGCAGAAGAAGGTATCATAACTATGTATAATACTCACTTCACTCACTAATTTCTAAAGATTATTATGACTATTAATCCTCTATGTCAGACTATAACAACAGTTAAATGATAAATTTAGAAACAGTTATGGTAGTTAATCAGCAGGAGACTATTACATGTCTCCTGGAGCAAACACTTATCCACAATTTCATCACCTAACATACAATAATAATATAATAAATATAGTACACTTATGATGAGATAGTAAGTCGACAGAAAGCACAAACTGTGAACACCACTGATCGGTATATGAATCGGTATGACAGGAGTAGTGTGACGTGAATGTGCAGGCTGCAAATGAATAGGGTGGTCAGGACGTTTCTCTCTGTCACTCCAGTGATATCCCTACCCTAGATTCAGCTCGCGAGCCGGTAGAAATGAAGGGATGATGGAGAAGGGGGAAATGTTGGAAGCTTTATACCAAAGCTCGACTTCTTACTCTTTTCGTCTCTCTCTAGACCTTCCCCCTCTTGAGAAGTAGAGATAATGCAGACTATAAGCCGAGCAATTCGAGGTTTGGCTCACTCGGTAATGCCGTAATAAAATCATACTCCCATCAAACGATACTGCACACCCCTTAAAACGGAGAAACGGCGAGCGCGCGCACGCCAGGGTGGCTGTGAGAGCAAAGGGATGCACGTGGAGGGGCTACTCAACGATAGCTACGAGGGAAAAGAGAACGTAAACGAGTGAGATATTAAGTGAGAAAGAGATAACGAAAAAAGCCCAGAATTCGCATTCCTTTAGTCAACGATTGGATTTTATTTGACGATACCTCGCGCTCTACCGACCAATCCTCGAGCTACGGGGGTGAAGTCGACCACGCCCAACTCTACCACCCTCCTGCAACTTAGAGGGTAGGGTTTGTAGCACAGCTTCTACACCCTTATCAACTTTATTATCTTTGCCACCTATAGTCATCTCTATGTAATGCTTAGCCGTTTAGCGCGACGTCATTTTCTCCCTGAATGAAAAAGCTATCTATGTATATGCTTTCAAACACCCCATACTTATACCCCATTCCTGTACAATTTATATCTTCATACATTTTTTATTCGAAAAGATATTCATTTTGCGGGACTTTAGATCGTTTATATACACAATATTCCAACGCATTTACACATCACTAAGCAATTATATTAAAGTCAATGAGCTATTAACGCGTCATAGGATATTGTTTACTCGCACATGATTAAACTCCGCAACTCTATATATCCCATATTTGTGATAATTAGGATGATTCAAGTAATTAATGAGTTAATCATTTAATAAGTTATCCAAATGATTGTGAAAAATTTTCTATTCAGTCCTTTGCATTGTCATTGAAGGCCCACAAAATTGACAATCAGTGGTAGAGACGTCGTACGTCGCCTCCAGACAAATCGACTTCTCTTCTTCTTAATTCTTATTCTTCTGGATTTTTTTTTCCACGCTTTTTCTACTTTTTTAGTATATAGATATACTTATATCTCTTAAGTTTTTCTTTGACTCTTCGTAGGTGGTGGTCCACGAATAAGGCCGTGGCAAACACGGAACCAACGAGAACCAACAGCGTTATCGTAGAGGGAGAGGGACCACGCCCCCGCGTTGGAATCGCTTTGGTGAACAAGAAGAGAGTGAGAGGGTTGCTGGCCGGCTGGTGCTACGGCGTCGCTACTTATCACCCTCTCGCCCGATATGCGGATGTTGGGACTCGAGAAATTTAATGTGAGTGTGAGGGAGATAAATAGAAAGGAAAAAAGACAGTGAGTGTATGGTTGAAAGCGGCGTATAAAGGGAAAAAAACCGATGAAAGCAAGGAAAAATAATGAAATGAACATCGGGAGTCGAGCGAGTAGTCGAGAATTATTATAAGAGCCGGCAGCGGGTTATCGCTTATATAAATTGAAAGCGAGCGAATATATACTCAAGCGCCCTTTCTCTTTTCATCTCTCTGACTCTCTTCTTCTCTTTTACTCGTTTGCCTCTCGCTTCTGAAATTGGCCTTTGTCATCTGCAATCTTTATTATCAGTTCTACTCATCCGCACCAATTCTGATCTGCAAATCCTTCTTTAATGAAGAGATTTCTGGTGAAAATTATATGCAACTACCGGGATGACTTTATTGGTGAAAATGCATCTTCTCTTGAAATTGATAGTTTTTTTTTTAAGTGGATTAACTTTTTGCTATTATTTATTGGAGAAAAATTGAGTTTTAATTGGAAATATGCTTTCTTTGGCTCACAGCCAACTGAGAGTTTTTTTCATTTTTAAATCAAGAATTCTAATAATTTATCGTACAGTTTTTGTGATAGTACATTTTGTAAAAATATTGACAAATTTATTGGTTAAAAGCTAAACAGAAAATTCGATAAATAATTTTTTTTGCTAAATAAATTTCTTAATTATTTTGGATTTTTTCAAAAAAAATAATCTGTTAACTTTCAATCATATTTTAAATTATTCTCAATGAATTTTTATTATAAAATAATAAATTCATAATTTTTTTATCGCCCAATGAAGAGTTAATAATTATTTCAGTGCAGATGAGCAGATTTATCTTTAATGGAGAGGATTGAAATAAAAAATGTTCGATCGAGAATTGGAAATATTCATAAAAAATGATAGCAAAAAATTCGCGGAGATATAGATGCAATGATGTGGCAGAGGGTGAAGACGAGAGTAGTGAGATGGCCAATAATATTATTATATCAATAGGGAGCAGTTATGAACACGTGACGCTCGTCTTATATCGTTTCTCTTATATCATATGATACAGCTCAGTTACCATATATGTAACCGTGTCAAATAGGCTACACAACAGATCTGAATTTTTTCCGGCAAATCAATTGTTAGGATGCTTTGTGATAGTCGTCAAATCCATCTCATTGCCACGTGTTCCCATCTAATTTATTAAATCCTCTTTAGTTTCCTAGCTCAACTAGACTTTTGGAAATTCCATGCTTAATGTATTAAATAATTCATTAGAAGTGATGATCAATCTGAAAAATAAAATTTGTCTAATTAGTATTATTATAGGAATAAAATAGTAATTATGTTTAATTACTATAAAGTTAATCTCTAGGTTCTTTGTTTAGATTTCAATAGAAAAAAGTTGAAGCTTTAATGAATTTTTTTATCAATTAGAATTTAAAATGATCATAGAATCATAGAACTAAATAATTGATCTATTAACATAATAATAGATAATTAATTCTAGCTATTATCTGTTTTAGAGAGTTTCTGTTCATGATTACCTTACTATAAATTTATTATAAGTTGATATAAAAAATAACTAATAATTTATTAAATAATTAAACAGTATCAATATAACATATTTTTCCTCAGTTTGATTTTATTTCAATTAAATGTTATTTTTCTTTAATTGGAATGATGATTATTTATATTGTTGAAGAGTATACTTCATTACCTCATTACAATTTCATTTTTTGTATAAAAGTGCTTCTCATGTCAATAAAATGTTAAATAATAATTGAAAAATTATTCAAATAATAAAAATAAATTATAAAATAAAATCACTTTATAATTTATCATTTAATCGTGTCTATTATTTATTGTACGTCCAAAATAAATTGCAACCATCAAAATGACATGAAATAATTTTCAATTAAATTAAAAATAACGAAGTCTACAAATTTCCAATCGCAATGATCAAACACTATGATAATAAAAATGTCATAATAGCACGTCTACAAAATAGCAAAGGATTGAAAAATCACAGTAATTGAATCAACAATCTTTTCACCCTAGGAAATTGAAAAGCTTGTAAAAATAAGTTATATTTTTTGCTCGTTGATAGGTCCAATAACAAGGTTCAGTGTGTAGATTATATGTAATTAGTATCAGATACAGGAAAAAGTGAGAAAAATATAGAAAGAGACAAAGAGAGGTAGATAGAAGATATTAAAGGCTGTTATCGCAGCGTATTGCTCCTAATCGTTTGCCACGGAAGGGAGCCGCAAGTGCCGGGGCAAAGGGAGATGAGGACTGTATATATGAAGCGAGACAGAGGAACGAGAAAACGAGGGTGGAATATAGCGCGAAGCTTCTGCTGGTTTGCTCGTGCGGGGGAGAAAAAGGGCGAAGAAGAGAGAAAGGGATAGCGGAAAATAAAGGAGGGAGAGAAGAGAACGAACAGCGAGGAAAGCCGGCGTGCACTGGTGTTTTTGACAGGCCGATGAATTGAATAATCGCAAGTCGAGTCGAGCTTGGGGCGGGGGAGCCAAATCTCGGCGGCCGATATATGTGCGTGTGTAACCCTCACGTTGATCCAGTCGACGATAGATTTACTACTTCTTCGTGATACTACTCATGCTGTCACGAGTACTTACGTACTTAAGGGTGTATTCGGCTTCACATATTAAAAAAGGGTTTGTTTAGGATTGAAATAAAACGGTAAAATGGCAACTGAAAAATGGTCTGAATTATTTCTGCGAGCAAGAAGTGAAAGAAATATGCAATATGTTACTTTATCAATTTATTAAATACTTGGATATGATATTAAATACTAGAAAACCAATAAACAGATACATTTTTCATTTAACTTGTTAATTAAGATTATTAAATAAATCCAGTTTAATTTTCATTCTAATTTTTAATCATGAGAGAATGATGCATAAACAAATATTGTTGAAAAAAAATTAATTTTTAATTATTTTTTATAAAATGACATTTTAATTTATAGTTTGTATATTATTTATTTATTTTTGTTTTTGATAGAAGAAATATTGATTAAAAATATCCATAATATTTTTAAAATTAATATAAAATAAAAAATAAATTTTACTTTTATGTTTCTATAGCAGAAATCAATTTTACAAGGATAATGAAGAACATTTTATAATGCCTGTAACAGAGCTTGAGATAAATCGACCACCTTTTGATATTATCCTTGATAATACTACGTAATAAAGGGCTCGTTTTAACATCAAATACAACACAAAGGGATTTTAATACTAAAAATTAAACTATTAATTAAAATAATTTTTTTAATACCTCAAAGTTTTTAAATTAAAATTCATATTTCAGTAGAAGATACTGAACAAAAAATTCTACAAAAATAAGATTTTATTCCATTAAATTCAACTGAATCTCATCAAATAAATGATAATCATGAAAAATATATCTCAAGTACATTGTTGACAGATAATTATACCAGGAATGTCAACAGAATAAATTTCTTTAGATTTGAATTTAAAATGCTAATCTAAAAGAAAACTCATCAATACAGAGATCATGAAATAGGAGCTGGGATCAATTAATTTGCCTGAGCGCATGTTTGCTAACGAAATTACGCGCTCCAACAGTTGATAATCCTCGAGGGATATTTGGTCACGTGCCAAGAATCTCAATTCCCCTGAACTCGATGGCCCCGGGAATTCTCGAGCCAATATCAGTGAGATCTACCGAATGACATGAAATAGTAAAAGCATAAAAAGCTCTTGAAGGCATATTTGAAGGGGTGTATGTTCTATCGACTTGTATACGATTGCTCAGGGTATTTATATAGACTTGAACACATGTATATGCTATTGTATAAAACAGTATATACACGTATACATGATCTAGATATATCTGCACTCTAGAAGTACTTAAGTCAGATACACTACGAGCTTTGGATACCTAATACATGTTGCAACGTACGGCGAGATGGTTAGATCCGCGGTTGGCTTCTGGCTTCTCTGGGTTGGCTGCGCTTCAGGGATGAGAATGGGTGGTAACCCGAGAGTCGGAGAGCAAGCGATACGAACGTTGGCGGTGGTAGCAGCGGCTGGTGCGTTTGACGTTGATACCACGATAAGATGAAAGAGCCTCGAAGCTCTTATATCCAAGCTATAGACCTGCTTTGGTATTGTTGGATACGTCCGAGCACAACGTAATGCGATAATAACGATCTTGAATAAGGGTGGAGAACTTTCTGAGCCGCGTATCATCATTTCAATTGTGTTCTTTAACGTTAAATACTCCTACAACTTGCTTGAGAAATTATGAATAATTACTAATATCATATTTATAATGGTTCAACTATTATTTTATGACGGTATTACATAAAAATCATCATTTGTCATTCTACTTTTTGTTAGTCGAAAAAAAATAATATTAAAAAATATTTCTACACTGCAAATTCAAGCTGTAGATACTTTTAACACGCTAAACTTCTTCGATGTTAAATGCCGTAAAGAAACTATCTACTTTTCACACACTACGAAACGTGTAAAAAGTGTCTACAAATCATGCATAGTTTGGTTATGGGAATTTTACATTGAACACACTTAACGCGTGTTATTTTAACATGTTTGTGGAATCTTGGGATTTGCAGTGTAGAGAACATAGCTATAGGACTAATTGTTAAATGATTTGATTTTTTTAAATAAGAAATACAGCTTTTTTTTGTTTAGTACATTTGGTTTCGATTAATAAAAATATTTTAGGACTGGAGAATTCTTTTTATTGTTAATTGACAAGCAGTCTGAATGTTTTGATAAATGAATAAAACTTTAGTTATGCTTTTAGCCTATGCTAAATCATTGATGTGTGTTATTGATTACGATTTTCTACTTATCATAATTCACCACTTACAGAATACATGCACAAATCAATCTATAAGTTTATCTATTTTTCCAATGACTTAAATAAAAAATTATTTCAAACCTTGACAGCAAGACTCTTTAAGTTTTAAAGTGTGCTTTATAAGTTTATAGCATAAACACATTCCCGCGTGGATAACAAATGTTTCTTAGTAATTGTTGATTGAATTAATGATCCTTTGTACGGAATTTGACTTGCGATATTAATGAAGACATGTTAAGGAATTTATGCAAGCAGATATCAACAAGAGAATTGATTAAAACCACAGAGAATATAATTTGTTACAACGGATATACCTCAATCTATCTTGCATCCTGCCAGCTCTCAGTTTTATATGGCGCCGTGAATACCGAGATTGAGTGTGAGGGTGAGCAAAGTCAGCGTTTAGTATACAGAAACTCAGCGTATCTGTCTTTGAGTATGGCACGTCGCACGACAATCAGAAACACTCGTCTCACGTGTCACTACCATACGATTTGTATCGCCCATGTAGGTTGTATCCTGAAGGGAATCGTTCGTTTGTCGCGTGCCATGGAACAACCATTGGTTGCTAAGAATCCCATCGTTTGTCTTGTACTTTCAATGGATTACACATCATAAATCGTAAGAATAAATAGTGCATCTGAAAACAATCATAATAATTTGTCAATATTCATTAAAGATTTACAAATAAAAATTACTTATCATAAAATAATCAAGCTAAAATAGCAGAGTTCTTTGAATGTTTTACATTTATCGTCAAATAAATTAATTTCAACTATCAACTATTAATATCATTGGAATAAAATTAAAAAACTTACCTTATTGAAGCTAATGAATTTATTTAAAAGATGAATCTAATTTCCTTTTCAGATACAGCCATTCTATGTGTCCTAGGAGAATTAGTCGACCTATTAGGGGCATTGAAGTTGGCGATGGTAATTCAGACTCGACCAATATTTCAACTGGTTGTTTCAAGACGGCTTTTTGAACAGGAATTATGGTGATGAAATGAAATTATTCCAGAGTAGGGAGGAGTGTACGAGTTACATATGAATTGAATTGATATAAATTCATACTAAAGCACACATTATATTCAGCCATTTAAGACTTAATTGTTCAATCGAGTGAATCCGACGGAAGGATTATTCCATGGCAAATACAAAGGTCTGACTTTTCTCACTGGATAATTAATGTTGAGTACCCAAGTATAATTGCTCATTAATACTCGTTAGAGGAATGAGGGGAGTTCACATCTGGTGCTGAAGACGAGTTCAATTTGTGTGGCGTTCCATGGGAGAGAGTAGCTCCGCGAATTGATTTCAAGGGTTAAGAGCAAGAGACACATTCTATATGGCTGTGTGCCAATAACATAATCATCTTAAATGATCTCACTAAGCCATGAGCATGTACTTATACTAGTTACATTACGTATAACTAACAATGTATAAAGCTATATAATCTATACGTCACCACGATCTCTACACCAGTCCTTTCATTTGAGTCAGAGTATCGAGGTGTCAATAGCAGCTGCTGCACAACAAAAGCCCTCCATTCCTTGTTCCTCGCCCTTTCTACGTCCTTATCTCATTCCCAGTTTCGAGTTCTGCCCTTTTCTTTTTCTTTCTTCTCCATCAAGATGATCCTGCAATTCCAAACAAATTCTTAAATATAAATCATTGTAGATTGCTTCGAATGATGGAAAACAATAGAAAACATCTTTAACTCTTAATTGATGAGCGATTGTATTATATGTAATTTGAAATAAATTTTAGTCTAGAAAAGTATAGCAAACAAGTATAACTACAAAGTAAATCAAGATAATTGTAGTAAAAAATTTTTTAGAAGTAAAATAGATTGTTGTTATGTCATTTATGCTAAAAAGAAAATAGTATGAATTCTATAGAAGCGAAAAAATAATTTAAATTCGTTTCAATTTATCTTCAAACTATTATTGTTGTGTAATGGAGTGTAAAAATGAATTCATTTCTACCAAGAAAAAATTATTACCTATAAATACTTGAAGTATACTAGAGTCATTATAATAATTCTTACAAATATTATTGAGTATCACCATTTATCTCAACGAATGAACAAAATTTCTTATGATAAAAAAATTCTGTCATTATAGAAAAACTTGGATCAAGATTCTACATGGTGCTATGCCTTTTATTAATTCTTAATAGGTTAAATTAATAAAAAAAAGTCTAATAAATCTCTGATAAAAATAAAAAATTAAGCAATAAGTATCTCAGAGTGTTCACGCATGTTATAAAGAAGAAAATAAACGATGAAATGATAGTAGTATGAGGCCGGGCGGGCAAGCGAGCACCCTGCTGTTTTTAAGCGTCGCTGACTAATTGGTCATGTCGTGGCCAGGCGTTGAGACACACCTCTCGACCTCGCGGGGGTTGGTAAGAGAGAACGGGTGCTTGCAAACTCTCCTCTTTCGTAATAGCGGCTGTAGAAATAACGTGCTAGCAGTACGACACGCGCGATCCTACTTTTACCCTTAAGCTCTTCCTTCTCTTCGTCCTCTTCCATTTCTCTCATCTCTGCTTCGCTAAGCTCACACAGTAACTTTACTCAACACTGTTACATATAGCGTCTGGGATATAGGATCCATACTAAGAGAACTACCCACTTGTCACTCTCTCACTTAACCAACGCGTCCGAGTGCAACAGAATCAAGAGAGAGAAACTACAGAATTTCCCTCCTTTGCTTCGTTAAAGGCGTCGGTTAACACTAGGCTATAATAACGCAATACCACACAGATAGAAAGTGACAAAGTGAGAAAAGGACGGCCTTCAGGATATTCATAATTATTTGGTTTTTTTTTTTTTTGATAATTTAAAGTGTCAGTTTAATTTATTATATGTTCACATTTTAAAACAACTTTGTTAGCTGATTTGAATGCAATTTATTTAGAATTTTTTTTTTTAATGAAAAAATTGAACTCATTATGATAAATAAGTAATTTAATATTTTTCGTGATTTATTCGAGATAATGGTGAAATGTTAAAATAAAATTTGAGGTTTTTCATGAAAACAATTATTCGTAAATTGACTCCAAGTACTTTTAAGATGAAATAACAATTTTGAACGTTAACTGTATTGATACCTGTTTTTTTCCCTATTAAAATAAATCCTACGCGTGTCTCGCGTTTACTCGATCAATAAATCATTAATCGAACTGTTATAATGGGCGTGATTGACTCCATCTAACAATAAAAATGAGCGAAACGATAGGTAATTTTTTGGTAAAAAAGTGTATAAAAAAGAAATAAAATAGGGTATGAAAGTTAGACTTATTTTTGGCTCCCTAAATTTCAGCAACTCATGGGACTTTTCGATTTTCTGTAAACGGCTGTATTATTCCGCCCACTTGGCACGATTCTTTAGAAATAGTTTTCATCGACGCAATGTGCGTCATTGCCAGGTCGAATCGTTCAAGTCATCAGTCATTTCTCAATAGAATAACAGTAGTTTTTGTATTAAACTGGCAATTTTCGACATCAGTATATACAATTTGTACACAATAATGATGGAAAAATAGATGTCTTCCCATACTTGTGACGTTTTATTCAATTTAACGTCGACAAAATGACAAGGTAGTATTGAATTTACATGATATGCATATGTCATGTTAAATATAATCTCATTCAAACGATGTATAACAGTGGTATCACTAAATTTTTCACCCGAGGCGTCGTGTGCTGCAGCTTGGAGCCCGCAAAAGGCACACTCCAATATTTGACCAAGCTGTGCAAATATGAACTGAGCATGTTGTATCGATATACACACAGTGATGGGATGAGATGCATTACGAGATCTAATACGCTCCAGCACTACATATACATATACTAGAGTCCCATAGCGAGGCAGCCGGGCAGGCACCCTGTTGGCAAACATTTTAACGGGATTAAAAGACACTTACGGGAACTAATCTGACCAAACATTGTGGCCACGGGAAAAGTTTAATGTACACTCTTGAAGAGCTGTCATAGACTTGTTTCTTTACTGAGATTTATATAGCTTTGTCTATTTTTCAGCTTCACAATATTTTTTTACTCTTTTGTACTTTTCATATTTCATAATCCACTTTATTGGATTAAAATGATATTTTAAATGTTCTCTATTCAATCTGTCCGTCTGTTTAGTGAAAAATAAGCACCAGAAAATTGATGATTTTGTATATTTATTAATGTTAAAGGTGAAACGGTTTATAGAAACATTTATTGCAGATATAATTTTATGCTGAAAAAGAAAATGAATTTTTATTCATTATTATTAAAAAAGGCCACTTGTTTAATGATTGCTAAGTTAGATATCTATATCATAAATAGTTAGAAATATCAATAAGAATGAAAAGCTTTAATAATGAACTAATTTTACATGTACACCAAAAAATTATCTAAAAACGTATAGAACTTTTTTGCTGGTATAATATTTTCTGTCAAGAGAAAGCTATCTCGCTATCTAAACCTCAAGCACGAGATTTTCAAAGTTAAATTTACCTAGATCAGGCACTATTTTCACACACCTATATCCAGATAAATATATGTTACAAAGCATTTCATCAAGTGCGATTGCCTCAGCCTACTGAAAACCATTAATCACTAGCATGTAAGCAGGCGACTAATTGTCGGGTTTGAGAGCGAAAGTAGCTCGTATGTATCTGCTGGAGGGACGTGTACCCTTATATTGTCACACTTGAAAGCAAAAGGGAATCAAGTCAACCTGGCCGGACGTGACTAGTCGATTCAATCAATTCATATACGTAACGATTGCGCCTTTCGATCGTCAATCAGTCTTCACGGTAAATAATAAATGCCTATCATTTATTCTCCGATAATCTATTTTACTATTTTACAACAGCATTATTTCTACGATGAAAAAATATAGATATATTTCTCGAAGTCATCAATGATATTGGCTAACGATCCGCAGACGATTCCCGTAAAATTGGCGAATTATTCCATCGTAGGGATGACAATACGAGGACAATGGAGCCGTTTCTCTTCTAGTGCAATACGACATATAAAGGTGGCGGTGGCGGCCCAACCGTTTGCACGAAATTCAGAATCAACACATGGACCGTACTCTATAATCCATCATCACACGCTTACTTCCGTTTTCGAAGTGTCTCGTATAACGGTACGATCTGTCATCGAATTTCGTTGCGAGCGTTTAAATTGGACCTTTTCTTCATAGACATCACGAAAATCATATCTTACGTATTGTTATGCGGAACTCAAAAATCATTAATGTCGATGAATAGCTTTTCTATGTTGATTACATTTATATATTCATTTATAAATAGATTAAATGATTATTTGTTTTACTTGATTGATAGTAACAACAATAGAGAATTAAATATAACATTTGAAACAAAAAAAAAGCTATAAATGTTGAAAAAGCTTTTATATCAATTGCTTTGTGTCAAATGTAAAAAAAGCAACGAAATTTTAACGTGTACGATGTAAAAAAAGTGGATTCAATTAACTAGCAAACAAATGGAGACTTTGTACAGAGCATAAATTGAATGCCATTTTTATAAAAAAAAATGAAAAAAATATTCGATCAAACTTGATCGAATTTACAGAGAAAAGTTATACATCAAGGAAAAAGGAGTAGGCTGGTTTTAACTACGAAAAAATTTACCCATTACAAACTACTCTTCGTGAAAATATAATGACAAATATATTTTAGCCGTTGTGTGATAGGTTGGAGTAGTAACCCCTGAATTACGTCAATCCAGTTTTTTCTGTCTCTCTTGACTTAAACGATCTATACACCACCCCCCTACCCCCCGCCACAAAAGTTCTCGCTTAATATTATTAAATTAAAGGACAATAGTAAGCTGTGGCACGCGGCATTTAGCCGATTTTCATTTCATTTCACGGAGATTTTTCAATAATATGATAATAGAGCGCAAAGCCTCGAGGGATTATGATTCGGTCACGCAGACTGACTTTTGCATATAACCATTCCCTCATTTCAGCTTCATTTCCTCTTTTCCCTTCATTTCTTTTTATTCTCTCACCCGTTTAATCACTTCGATTTTTAATTTCATTTTAAACTTATTATTATAAAAAACTATCTAGTGATCCTTTAATATAATGTATTACCTTTATTGTTATGATTATTATGAATATTATTAATGTTACATAAGACTTAATGAGCACTCCCAAATACGAGCTCATATCTCATACTTAAAAAGAAGAGGTGTCACTTTCCGTCCGGGCGTTTCACGGCCTGTTAAAGAATAGAAGTGTTTCACGCTTCGCAAAGCATGCTAGCTTAGCACAATGACAATAGCCATAGGCGCAGAAAAGTGTACATGCAGACAAATATAACAGCCAGACAAACTAATATAATATAAAGAGCGTCAACCAGTTCTTTCTGTCTTTTTTTTCTTCTTACTCACCCCTTTTGCTCCACATTATTATTTTTCTCTGCATTTTATAATTTATTTCCTCAACGAGGCGTTACATTGTCGTCCTTCTGATTATTTTTATTGACTCTTTGTACCTGGAATAAATTTCAAATTACATTCAAATACAAGTTGTAGTAATAATGAATAAAATATAACAATATTCTTTAGAATATTGTAAGATATTTTCTTAATAAAAGTCTTAATAAAATAACTTATTAGTAAATTTATTTTTGTGTAGTAAAAACAATTGGAAAAAAACTTCGAAAAATTCAATTTCAATATTTCCTGTATTTTATTGCAAAAATATTTTGAAAAGTGATAGAATACAAATTCAAATTGATATTTGGATTTTTCGAGAAGATATTTTTAATCATTGTAAAATAGAAAATATTTATTCAATTCACTGATTGGAACTTTTTAAATTGGACTTCTGATGATAATAAACATTAATTCAACTATGAAACTGGAACGAATAATATGCATCAATAACTTGCAGTAGTTGAGAAGCTAAGTATATTTTATTCATGCTGTCACTACCCTAGTGTTTTATGTTTCATGATGCTTTATATTTTAAGATGATTATCCCATGCCAAACAGATATACTGTTGTTCTATTTCACGCTTCATTTTTCGAGCTTAATAATAAATTATTGGAATGATTTTTATTGAATAAAGGGGTTTTTAATTACATTTATATTGTCAGTAAATATTTGAAAATAAAGTGTATACTATGAAGTACCCATAGAGTATTTACTGAATAAAGAATAAAGCTTAATGATAGAGTTTATTGTGAAGATGCAACCCAACGGGCAGAAAAAACGATTAGTGTCATCAACGCCTCTTTGTAAAAAAAGTTGCTCGCGCTTCGATATTGCATGAAGCTATGAACGAAATCAAAAAAGAAGAGACGAAAGTAAGCGGGGTCATACATCGAAAATATCAATGTCTTGTCGGGTGTTAGGGATATATATTTTTCAAAATTTTAAACCCGTCATTCTATAATGCTCCAATAGTTAATGTGGGACCATTAGTCAAACGTCCGGGCTCGTGCACACGAAAGAGAAATTTCGATTTTAAATCGCTACATTTATCATGCAAGCAGGCGCATATGACACCATTCTGATTTTATTTTACCTCGGTCGCCTCTTGCTCCTTCTCACACATATTTCTGTATACCTCACTATACATAATCCTTTCTTTCTCTGTATATACCGCGGTTATACTCGCACTTCACATTTCAACCCCTTTCTCACACTATTATATCATACCTGTGTACATAGGTTTACGCTACATGTCACATATTTACAAAATACATATTGAAATCATTTATTTCTGTTTTTATACTGAAACTATTCACACATGAGAATTATTGTGCGCATTCATTTCTAGCAATTTATCAATCCTTTTTTTCTTTTAGATAAATCATTATTCATTGACCTTTTATCAAATATGATGAATTTACATTTTTTATTAATTTAATTTATCAGGCATTTTTTCTTATAAATTAAAAAAATTTTTATAGAAAATTTTTACCAAGTTGTTGAGGTATTTTATGGTATCATCCATGTTCATGTTTCTGAATGTTTCTATTCCATAAACTGCTGCAACTGCATCTATAAAAACATTCAGTTAGTATCACAATTCCAAAAATCAAATCAATAATTATTTTGTTCGATAAAATAAGTCAATTGTACATAATAAATTAATGAGTTAATAATAATTTAAGCATCAAATCATTATAATAACCCACTTGGTAACTTAATTACCAATTTATACGTCATTGCAGGTATCAAGAGCCATCAATCTTCATAATTAATATCATGCTTATTATAAACCTACGCATGAGTAAATTAGTTATACTAAATGTACGTACATATACAAATATTCTTGATATGAATTCTCTTGGCTCAATGCTCGTATTATGACAATAACTCTTGCGTTTAGAATAGAATGCAAACTGTATTATACAGATAGGTAGAAATGTTTATATATCGAATCATAAATTAGTAAAGCGACGAGAGTGGTCGAGCATAGCAGGCGTTTACCGAGCCGCGAGAAGCATGGAGGGATTGCCAAAACGTACACGTGTTTGTCTTGCGTGCTCAACCGGAAATACAAGTTATACGATGCAAATTAAATGTGTACGAACCGCTCTGTGGCAAGCTTCTGTTAAATATTCACATTTCTTTCTTTTTCATCTGGTCATTTACTTCTCGACTTTGGAGTTAGAACTCAGTTAATTGTCCAGTTTAGTACCGCTTATTACTACTTTCTATAAGACTTCTTGCTCATGAAAATGAGTAATAAAAAAGCTATCAAAATTGTAGTCCTTTTTTCAATTATTACTATGACAAAATTTTTTTCTTTTATTCGTATTTATAAATTAAAGTGATTAATATTAAATGATTCTTATTAAATTGTTCATTCTTGTATAACTGTGAATTATATAAGACCCTACTGTCAAGACCTACAAAAGCATATTTATCACTACAAGGTAATTTTTCACTATTTAAAAAATATCGAACGACATTGAACTTCCTAAATAGGGCTAATAGGATACAATATTGGCATAATTGTCAACGGAATGCTTCTGGCAAGAAGGATGGCCTACCTGTCGTGTTACAAATCACTAATCCATAAACATGCTATTAATATAGGTCGTCAATGAATCTCCCCTGTTACATCTGGGCGTGTTGTGACAGTATTCAGGGGTGTTTGGGGTCTGGATTTGTATTCTGACTTACCACGTGTTGTCTCTGTTGAATCCCTTGCCAATTTAGTTCTCTCATTCTTGAGTTACTAAGGCTTTTGATGGGAAACATATCGGGCAACATCGGATATGGATACTCTTAACATCATCGACTTTTATCTGTTGAAAAATACAATAACATCAGTCTTACATTTCCTAAATAAATTTTGAAATTTTTTCAGAGATTTATTAATAAAGTTCACCTTTCAATATGAAGATAAATTGTTTTTTGAAAGAATAAAAGTTAATTAATAAAAAATTAGTTTTTAAAGTACACGGATGTTTTTGATATATAAAATGTATTAATGTATTTGAATAAATTTGATGTTCAAGTAGTTTAGGGGAACTTTTAGTAGGAAACGATTTCTTATAGGTCGATAAATGACAGCAAATGTATATAACAATTTTATTTATGTACTTTTTGATGGATAAAAGTTAGCTACGTCATGTCAAAAGCTGTCCAGAAAGCTTTAAGAGAAAGAACGAATAAAAGAGACGGGGAGAATGGCAGAGGATTTATACGGAATTAGATTAAGCTTCTGTACTTGAAGGCTGTATAAATGACCCGCCGCTGTTGTGAGATTTCTATGTACGTACACTATACGCTCTGTGATTCTGTCGTAAAATTTATTTGTACGCTTGGTTGAATTATTCCATAAATTCTATTAAATAAATTCGATGAAAATTACATCGATATTGAGAAGCACTGGAATAATCAAAACTTGAGGCTTTCAAACTTCAATTTGTGTAATATCCTTACAATAACTAATTAATAGCCATATGTATACTACTTAATTTATTATGTATTTAACCATTTTTTATCCAATATTGTAGCAAATTACAATTCAAATAACTTTTTTAATGAACAAAAAAAATATCTATCTTCATTTTGATAAAATCAATTTAGTTTACAAAAGTTTCTGTCATATTGATTGAATGCTATGATTGATTAAAAGTTAATTAAAAACAGTACTGAATAAAAAATCAATTATAGCTGCGAACAATATTATACACAAATTTTGTTAATATTAATATTATATTAAATAATAAAATTATACTCACAGTTCAAAAAATGATTAATTCCGACGGATCACGTTGAAGTATCAACGGCTATCAACTAACATCTTGTGGCAACATTCATACCAAGACTTCTAGTTAGAACGAATTTTGATGTTCTAGCAAAAGATGAAGTTGGTTAAGTTGAACAAAGTTTGGCAAGTTAATTATTGTGATTCGGTTGCGGACCTTCCTCGACATCAGCCACTTTTACAATACACTCTGTGCATAACTAATATCTGAAATACATATCCAAACATTGATTTTCTGTCTAATGATGATTTTATCAATTATCATTTTATGTGTATTTGGCTATTTCCAATTCTCATGATTGATTGAAAAAATATTGTTTCTAGTTTTGTTTCATTTAATCCAAATTATTATTTTATATTTTCATCCAAATATCTTTGTCAAGAATTCTGATAAACTTTATTATAAAAAGATGAGTTGATTAACTAATTAAGTAAATAATTGATAGTTTGATTTAAAGTAAAGAACGAAAGTAATGAAATAAATAATAATGACAATCAAATATTAAAAGTAATGTTGATTGAACATATTTTAAACGAAAAACAAGGTAAATGAATGATATATGCATCAATGTAACTGGATTTAAAGTTAAATTAAATTGAAATTTGTAAAGTTTAACCTCGAGGGCAAAGTTTGCAGTTGGTGTTATGCTTTATTTTACCTTCATTATATAATTTCTCGTTGAATTTTTACCATGTATTCTCATCACTTGCCTGTCTGGCCTCAGTTAGTAATATAATTATAATAGGAATACTGCTAAATTGTAGGAAACAGTAAATACTTGAACAAATTCCATTTTAATTGTTGATCGTAGAATAGCAGAAAAGCAAAAAGCTTTAGTAAGAGTAAATTATAAAAATATAAATTAGAGACAAAAACACTGTTATGATTTTCATATTTTTGTAAATAACAATACTATTTATTGTAATTTATGACAATAAAGTTTTTCCGAATCATAATTATACTTATAACTTGATGAACTTCTTTTTTACTTTTTTTAGCTATTGGTTGTTGTCCATTAAAAATACTACATACATTTCAAGACTTGGTTCTTATTTTTTCTTTACAAAAATTAATGTTAAATATATTTTAATTTCATTCTTTATTTTTTTGCAAATCTAGTACAGGGAACACGACGAATTCATTTACTCATCATTTAGATGTTTTGTAAAGCAACTAAATACATTATATGTATATTGAATACTTCTTCATTTAATTTATATAAAATATATAATAAATATATTTTGAATAATTAAATTTTTCGTTATTACCTAAATTATTGTGATAATATTTTTTTTTTTTAAATAAATAACTGATGTTAAAGAAAAAATACAACAAAAATTTAATATACCTTCTTTCTGTCCATTCCTTCATCCATTGTATCTCAAAAAAAGAATGCACAATAAAAAAAGCTTCTCAAAACATCAGCTCGACTTTCTGTTATCGACTAATGATATGTAAACAAAGTTTTTTTATGATTGATTGGTTGACGGTAAAAAAAAATCAAAAAATTTCTGTATTATCAAATGTAAGATAATGATACCGACAAATTATTATGATGCCGTTATTTTAGTGCTATTATCAAACTTCCAGGTCGTTTGGCGCTCCTCCACTTACATTTATCCCCCAAGACATAGGTTCTCTCTCAGTTTTTTCTCTGATTTGGTGAAATTAGAGTGAGAACACGTATTCAGCGACAGAGGGTAGCTTCAGTTTAATCAAACGAGGTTAGGATACGAAATTGTGCATCTGCAGCAGTTGCAGAGTGTGTCGAAGGTGTTGAAATGGCAGCAATGAAGGGTCTGGGAAAAGACATCCCTTACCTGCAACAACAATTTGCCGCCTTACTTGGCAACACAAGTACCAGTGTCAAGTTCATATGCATTGTTGTGTTATTAACGTATTGCCTCTCTTTTATGGAGCAGGCAATTATTACACTAAGTGTCACTCCAGGTTATCTGTTATCACCATCTTTCTGGATTTGGACAGCATTTACATTTTGTTTTCTTGAAATTCACTTCTGGGAAGTGTATGTTGATATAATAACAGTGGGGTTGTGTGGTAAACTTATTGAACCACTATGGGGTGCTATGGAAATGATGACTTTTTTTGCAATTGTTAATATTGGTGTTGCAGTTTTTTCTGCATTATTTTATCTATTTCTTTACATGTGCACTGGTGATACAGATCTCTTGTTTCATGTTCATATTCATGGATTAACGGGCTATATTGCTGGTAACTATCATGTATCTATATTCAATAGTTTTTTGCACTAAGATGAAACTTTATTTATATAAGTTTTATTACTATTCACAGAGCAACAAAACATAGGGTTCTGTGGGGTATTTTAAAAGCTAAAAATAATAACATGTAAATTCTTGCAGGTGTCAGTGTTGCTGTTAAACAAATAATGCCAGATCATATTTTATTAAAAACCCCAATTGGAAAAATTACTAACAGAAATATTCCACTGATGGTGTGGATAGTCAGTTTATTGTTATGGGTTGTTGGACTGGTAGAAGGAACTCATCCTACGATGTTTTTAAACGGTCTACTTGTATCTTGGGTTTATTTAAGATTTTACCAAAGACACACAAATGGAACCAGGGGAGATATGGCTGATAATTTCACATTTGCTAGGTAATATTGAATTGATTTGCACCTAGTCATTTTCTCGTTATTTTGTTTTTAATCTTTTATTATCACACATTGGTTTATAAGTTGACATTAAAGTAGATCATTAGTTTTCATAGTCCATTAACACTCAATTAATTTAGATGAAAAATGATCAATGTAAAGGTTTGTGTGATTATTTTTAACTACGTTTATTTTTTTAAATTTATCGCGCTATTTTCATTGAATTATATATTTATAGATAATCAGTGCTTTTAATGAACTTTTTATCTTTATTCATCAAACCCATCTCATTTGCATTCATTCATTACAATAACTCCAGTCACGACTCTCATAATTAGTTCCAATATTCATCATACCCTTTATATGGCAATAATGATAATGAATAATTAATAAATCATAAAAAAATATTTTTTTGAAGCTTCTTCCCAAATGTTTTACAACCACCAATTGCAGTAGTGAGTAACACAATACATGGATTCTTCGTTCGTATTGGGCTTTGTAAAAAAGTGGTTCGGCGATTTGATATGTCAAATGCTCCACCTGGTCTAGTCATCAATTTACCCGGAATTGATCCTCAAGACAGTGAAAGGAGAAGGTTTGCATTTTTTATATTACTAGAACATTTAAAAAGATATTTTTATGCTTTTAAATTATTAAGTTTTTAAATTTCTTCTTATTCAATAAATCCTATTAATTAATTGAATTAATTTATTTATAGACAAATTGCATTGAAAGCCCTGACCGAACGCTTAAATAAAGATCATGCAAGACCATGGCAACAAGACAGAAGCAAAAAACATTCTCCTACTCCAGCGGCAGTGTCAATATCAATACCCGAGTCAGCAACACCTAAGCCACTAGTATCTCCTCTTATTCCTCAAATTAATGCAAATATTCATAATCAACCGTCAACAAGTACGTGATCGAAGGATGTATCATAGAATTACCATTAATAACTTAAAAATACGTTATGGTAATTCATTAATAATAAGAAAAGGGAAGTGATTTCATACGGAATCGAATTTATATCGAAAATGAAACGTTCGATGCAACAACTTGATATCAAGACTGTCTGCTTTCATATTAAATGATTTAAGTGCGTAATCTCCTTTTATTATGAGCATGAATGTTACTATAAAAGTTATCGTAATAGTGATTATGTGATTAAAGCAGTTTATTCTTAATGAGAAATAAAAATTTATCAATGAAATTTAAAAAACAATAAAAAAAAAACCATTCGAACTTTGACAAAATTTTTTTATTCATATATTTTCATTAAAATATTATCTATTATTAATTAAAAGCATTTTAAAGTATATATAATTTAGAAAATGCATTTTTTACGAAATTCGACCATTATTTTAATAATAAGCAAATTTATTGATGTATACTTGTTACAAATCATATTTTGAAAGCTTTCTCAATGTAAAAAAAATTACTCAATACTTTTGTTTTCTATGGATAGCTTTTTGACATATTTGTATTACTTAGAAGTTATCTTATGGAAGCATATAATATTTTATTTAGAAAATTACGAACAATTGTATGCATTATTCTATATTTTGATAAATGCTAAATACTTAAAATATTTAATTATTAAAAAAAAAATAATAAAAAACTGAAAAATAAAGAAAAATTATCATCAATGAAATATGATTGTGTATGGATATTAAGAATGAAATGTAAATAGTAATTTACATAAGTGATTTTATCATGTAAGATAAGAATAAATGTCTAAATATGTAGGGATTTATCTCATATATGTATAAAATCTTAAATGAATGACTCTTTGTCTTCCGACATCTGACATATTTTCACTCATGTGAGATAATGATCGTAGTTTATAGTCTATGAAAAAGTTAATAAATTGGAAAGTTACAGTAGACTGATGGGAGAATAATAAATGATTTAAAAAAAGAGCGATGGGGAACAATAATTTAAGTATATTTAAAAAAAGAAACTATTCTATTATCAATTACAGAAGTGGAGAGAAAGATAAATATTTTTATGTTATAAAATAAAGAAATCTATATATAAATAAAAATTAAGATGTTAAATAAATTTTTGATTTCGATGCCTAAGAATTAAAAATTTCAATAAGAATAAAAACTCGATTTCAAAAATTTATTTTCATATACAATACGAGTTAATGAATCTATGTAATCGATTAATTGTATATACGTTATTAGTTGTCACTTCCATCATTTATTTGCACGTTGTGGTGAACTCGAAAAGTTAAATAAAGAGACTTGGTAACATGTTTAAAAAAGATATTTATTGTTATACAATAATAAAAAGTCACATTTAATATTTTAGTCCATCAATTTATCAATCAAACTGGTCGATTAAATCCTAGCGTAAATGATTGTCCATTCAGTGAACACAATTTTGAAAATGCTCTATTAATTATATTCAATAAAAATGTTAAATAAAAATATTTGAAATAAAAAAGTAATAGAAATTAAAGTATATTATTATTTATTATTATCATATTCTATCAACTCAATTTACTTTCACTTCTCGAAATTTTTATTATTTTTACATCAAAATATATACAATAAAATTACAAATTTTTTGTGTTTATTATCTTTTATGGTTTATAAATAAGTATGTTTAGCAATAATCCAATATCCGTATATGTATCATAAAAAAACTATTGGCAATTAACAGGGCATTACTATTCATCGTTAATTTATAGGAGTGGTGTAGGAAATCGATTAAATTTAATAGAGAAATAAAAGTTATTGGTATCAAGAGGAATTTTTAATTAGATTCTTATCAAATAATTAATGTTTGTGTGATTTTATTACCTGTTATCACAAATAATTTATATAAAAATGAATATATATTTTCTAATTTTGTTTACAACTTAATTATCAAATAATAATAATTGTATTGATTGGAAGAATTCATCTATAAAACTGTTGGTGTGACCATTGTGACTGCGGTGCAGGAACTTGTTGTTGAGGATATTGCGTGTCCTGAATGTAGCCATTCGGTGATGGACGTATGGACGGTGGACCTGAGGCTACGTATTGTTGTTGTTGAGGTGCTGTTGCGGGATAGGACACTTGAGTAGAATGCTGAGGAGTGGCATAATAATTTTGAGTTTGAGATACTGGGGGTGGAACATTATAACCTCCATAATTGACTTGTGTTGGAGGTGGAGGATAATAATGGTGACTTTGCTGAGGATGTATTTCATGAGAAGCCATTGTGGTATCTTGAATAGGTACGGTGATAAGGTTTGTCCTCATCTGAGGGTTAGTTGGAGGAGGAGGAGCTGCGCTTTGAGAATAATTTTGTATAGATATTAGTTGTTGAGATCTATGCTGCTGACGGTGTTCCACAGGTGACTGGTTCACCATCGAGTTGACTCGAGGATCATTTCCTATGATGGGTTGTACTAAGTGAGAAGACATTTGCTTCATACGAACACCTGACATTGATGTGGAAGAGGTTTTACTAATTTGAGGATCAATTTCTGTCTTAGCGTGGATATATTGAGGAGGATCTACTTGCATTCCTTGCACCGGTTGAGGGGGGCCAGAGATATGTCGATGATTAATGTGTGCCTGAAAAGTAAAGTTATAGTTACAGAATGTAATTATTAATTAAATGAAAATGTATAAGATTATTAATATCATTTAGTTACTTGTAAATCTCGTTGGCTTAGATATGTTCTTCGACATCCTGCATTGCCATACCTAGTACCACCATGGGTACACATAAAAACAGTACCAAGACCAGTTTGTTCAACCCTTGATACTTTTTCCATACATCGAGGACAGACTTTGTCTTCTCGTTTTCCACAAGATAAACAAAATACATGTTTACATGGTATCTAGAATAAAATTATTATAAATATATTGAAAAATGATTTTTTTCTAAATCAGACGATATCATAGTAAAAGTAATTTAGTTAATTACCATTCGACCGTAAATAAGAATAGGTTTAAGACATTTATCACAACAGTGAATCATTGGGTTGAGAACTTTTTCTCCTATAAGATTGACCCGATGATCCCACCTTAGTCGTAGCATAGGTTCTGGTGGCCCACGATTTATAGTAGTAAATGTGGGAGCTTCTAATTGTGATATATCAGCCTCTAAATCGAATTGATGTTCTGTAGTCGGTTGTTGTTGCTGAAGTTCCTCAGTTACGGGTTGCTCAGTACTTGTCTCTGTTGGCTCTTTTGAAATTTCTTCTGGAGGTTGGGGAGTATCTTCCTCATCACTTTCGATAATCTTAAACAAAATAACAATCATTGATAATATATCTTAATAAGTAATATAATTTATCAATTAAAATTTCAAAAACATTATTTATCTTTCAATCAAACTTAAAGATAATACCTTCACAGCCTTCTTTGTACGACCTCTGACTCGTCCACGAGCTCTACCTCGAGCTCTTCCACGTGTTCTACCTCTCATTCTTTTTCCACTTTCTTCATCCATAGTATTCTTAAATAATTTGTGTATAAAGTACGCTTTTCACTTGGTGAAAAACGTATTGTTACAATTAAACTTCGTTGAACTATTGATACTTTGAGGTTACATCATTAAACTTAAGTAGTAATGTAGAATGTAGAAATAAAGTTATTCAGATGAAGCGTGTATGTTTTAATCAACCTAACATTGATTAGTATATAAATCTATTGCCTTAAGTTATTATTTACAATTGTATTTACACAAATATTCAGCATTTACTCAAAATGCATTGTCAACAATCATAATTATTGAACACACTCACTACATACCATCCACCAAGCTTTTAGTAATCTATACTTTGTTTCGCGGAGAAATAGTTTCATTTTTTCTGCAATTTAAATGTGGAATGTTTTGTCTTAAATTATAAATAATACTTATTTTTATTATATAATAAATAGTGCAAAAAATTAAAATTTTTATTAAATTAGTAAAAATCTTTTTAAAAGTTAAAATAAGCAATTTAAAAAAAATTAATTAACAATTGGGTAATTTGAAAATTTGAATTTCCCGCAAATTTTTGGAGGCGCACTATGTTTGTTTTAAGATGTAAGAGACATCTACCTATTTAATGATTTCTGTAACTAATAATAATAATGAAAATAATAATAATAATTTGGCGTTAAAAAGCCGCTGTCAGTTTCATACTCAACATACAGTAACTCTGTTTGTTTAACGTTAATAATTGAACTAAAAAATTGATCCTATTAGTAATCGTTACTGAGTTAGCAACTATTTAAATTTTCTAGAAGTAGAAAAACGGTTTAAAAATGTCTTGCTGCGATGGTGAAGATGAAGAAGAACAACAACCAGAACCTACCAGAGTTCGAGGATGCACAGATATTTTTTGGTTGTGTCTTTTCATAGGATTCTGGTTTTTATTGGTAAAAAAATATCATTTCACATTGATATGAATAATCAGTATTAATACCTCACTATGTTATTGATTTTCTTTTTCTGATAACACAGATTATGATTGCTGCCTTCGCTTTAGTTTATGGTAGTCCTATGAGACTCATTTATGGCTATGACAGCTTTGGAAATACTTGTGGGATGAAAACTAATCATCCTGAGATTCATGAAGTGGATTTATATGGTTTAGACAATACTGATAAACCGTAAGAATTATTTTATATTTTTAACAAGACCCTAGAATTCGTTAATCATTTAAAGTGGATTTCTTTTGTCTTTGTACAGATTTTTATTTTTCTTCGATCTCAAAGATATTAAACGAACGTTGAAAATATGTGTGAAGAAATGTCCTGATCGCACTATGAATACAATAAGTGAGTTATGTAAGTTTTATAAAGACACTGGCTCGCAATTATGCTATGAAGATCCAAAGCTTGGATTCAGTGCGTGCAGTGAAAATAAGAAAAATACTACTGGGCACTGTCCTCAGCTTCCTGTTTATGACAGTATACCGATTTTGAATCGATGTGTGCCACGAGCCGTTAAAGATGTTACGTCTGGTTTAATTTATAATTTGTATGGAATTCTTAACTCATGGGACGTTCTTGAACAAATCCTTGGAGACTTATATAACACTTGGAAGGAAATATTGGCATTATCATTTCTTGCCTTTGGTATATTATTATATACGTTATTCATTTAATATTTTCTAAACAATTAAAGTACATTTTAATTATTATATCCCTTTATTTTACAGTGTTATCATTGTTCATGATTGCAATTTTCCATTTACTCGCAAGTCTGGTCACATGGATTGTCATGATTCTTGTCAGTGTTGCATGTATTAGTACGTATTACTAATATTAATTTAATTAATTTTATTTATCGTCATTTAGAGAGTTATATTGAGAGCATAATAATTCTAATTCATTTATAAATTACAGCTGGCAGTGGTTTATTGTGGTGGACATATATAGACATTAAAAAAACCCTAGATGCCACCGATTCTAGTGAACTTTTAGAAAAATCTGTGAGAAATGAAAGAGCTTTTTTTGTATTTGCAATAATTGCTACAATTATTACCATAATTTTACTCTTCTTGGTGTGCTTCTTGCGACGAAGAATAAGTTTTATGACTGAACTCTTTAGAGAAAGTGCTAAATGCCTGGCTCAGTTACCAGGATTATTTTTCCAACCATTATTAACCTTCATTGCCTTATTATTCTTTTACTCTTTTTGGGTCATCGTTATTTTAAGTCTTGTCACAACAAGTAAGTATTAATAAGTTTCATTTATAATTAATGAAATGAAAATATTTTATGCTAATAAAAATAACAAATTGCAGATCATCCAAACAACAATTCAATGTTTATGTTTAATTCCACTGGAAATATTCATTTTCCTAATTCTACTGCAGTAACTTCAGTAAATCAAGCAAAAAAGAACTTAACCAATAGTGAACTTCCTCGTAAGTATTCCCAATCTGAGTTTTTAATTAATTTAAAATTTGTGACAGACTTAATATACTTTCAGGATTTTTAGTAGAGTATATTGATCCAGTTTTAATCAAATATATGTGGTGGGTTTACGTAATTGCGTTAATCTGGGTCTCAGAATTCATCACTGCTTGTCAATGTCTCGTTATTGCTGGTTCTGTAGCTCATTGGTACTTCAGGTAGTTATTCATTAATATTTGTTATGATATTTAGTAGTGAAATTTATTCAAGGTATCATTATTAGTGTCTTTGATTATTTACAGAGGCAAAGATGCGAGTGTTTCACCAGTATGTTCATCAATGGGAAAGTTGGTTGCTTATCATTTAGGTTCGGTAGCATGTGGCTCGTTCTTGATTACGCTATTCAAACTGCCTCGTCTAATTCTAACTTATTTACATCAAAAGTAAGTATTCCATTAAAAATTAAATTCAATTATATAAAAATATGGATCAAATTATACTTCTTTCATAAATTTTATTTAAGATTCGAAAGGACTAAAGAAACATCACCATGTTCTCAATGTGGTTTGAAAAGCTGCATTTGTTGCTTCTGGTGCCTTGAAAGATTTATTCGATTCATGAATCATAATGCTTATACAGTTGTTGCTATTGAAGGCACCAACTTTTGCCGCGCTGCTAGAATTGTAAGTTTTAGTGTTGACTGTTGATGACTAACTATCAAAGATAATAATCATTGAATAATTGATTTATTGTAGGCGTTTACAACGATTGTCAGCAATGCTGTACAATTAGCAGTTATTAATGGAATAGGAGACTTCATTCTATTTTTAGGAAAAGTCTTTGTCACTGCAGCTACAGGAAGTATTGCTTTATTGTTTATGAAGCAAGATCCTCGACTACATTTTTACGCAGCTCCAATCTTTGTGATATGCGTATTCGCTTTCTTTATCGCTCATTGTGTAATATCTCTTTATGAGACAGTGATCGACACATTATTTTTATGTATTTGTGAAGATAAAAATCTCAATGGTGAAAATGGTAAATGGAAACAATCAGGTCTCGCTCATATAGGATCGAATAATTCGAACAGTAATGGGCAACATGAATTGTCTCCCATGAATCAATCTGGTTAGTTTTATACATTAAAAATACAAAATATTTTTAAAATATTCACAGTTATCGATCAAAAGTGTCTTCAAGTTTTAAAAGGCCTAACAAATTTTATTGTATTTTATATACCAAGTTCTAGCGATTATTTTTATGAACTTGGCCAAATAATTAATATTAATGAATTTAATGCATGAATTATATATTTGTAAATTTTTCGGAATCATGCAAACTAATATTCATGAAAAAAATCACTTAGGTTAATTTAATAGCGTGCAATAATTCATGCCTATATTTTAATCAATTTTACATTATGTATACTCTACTTATACTTATTAATTATGTTAATATTAATATTAATTTTTGTATTTAAACAACGCACAATTTTAAGTACAACGCCTACTATTGTATTTAATTAATTGAATGATCATGTTAATTTTTCATTCCATTTAATCATCTAAGGTACAAAATAGTGTGCAATTTTTAAAATCGTGAATACGAAAAAGCTTAAATCTGTGCCTTGCAGTATTTTATATATTGGGTTGATACAAATAGTTTTGCATTTTATGTAAAATATCTGTGCCTGAACTTGTGACACAAGAAAATTTTTCTAACCACATTCGTGGTTGAAAGTTTTTTTTTAGCAGAGATATTTGTATCAATCTGATTTTCAATTTTTCGAAAAAGTATTTTTTACCAAGCCATGTAAATTAAAGACTATGATTAATTTACTTTTTTGTATATGATAGCAGTTAAATTACGGTTATAAGTGAAAACAGGCCTTATATAATTCAATCAAATTATAAACAAGTACATTGTTTCTTTAATAAAAATTTGATATTTTAAATTTTAAATCTCCCAGTGTTTGTAATATTTTAATTGAAAAGAGAAAAAATTGCTCACTTCAACAGAAGATGGCGTTACTATTGTCAATACAAACGTGTGAGTGGGGGAACCGAGTGTTGTGTATTGTGGTATGTTAGCACGTGTTTATTGAAACGATTATTATACTGAAAAACTACTGAAAATGCCAAAAAAAGATTTAAAAAGAAAAAAAGAGAATGAAACAGCAAATGGGACTATGGAAGATCAAGAAAAACAAGTAATCTTACCTGCTAAAAGGACATCAAGCGAGCCTCCAGCTAAGAAGGTAACCTAAAAAATGACAATCAATAGATAAATATTATAGAATATTTATTTTCTTAACTTTTACAATAATCAAAACAAACAAATTTCCATACTCCGTAGTTATTAATTATTTTTCTTTATAACCAGGTAAAATGGATCAACCGCCAACGAGTTTTAGTATTCGCTTCAAGAGGAATCAATCATCGAGATCGTCATCTCATGGAAGATTTAAAAAAATTAATGCCTCACCATCGATCTGAAGCTAAAATGGAACGACAAAAGAATCTCCAAATAGTTAATGAAATTTGTGAATCAAAAAATTGTAACAAAGCAATTCTTTTTGAAGGAAGACGCAAAAGAGATCTCTATATGTGGTTTGCTAATGTGCCTTCAGGTCCCTCTGCAAAATTTCTTGTCGAAAATAGTAAGTATTATAATATTTCTATATCAATCGATGAATGTAATTAACAATTAATTGTTTGTTTTTAGTTCATACCATGGGTGAACTGAAATTAACTGGAAATTGTTTGAGAGGTTCACGACCTTTACTTTCTTTTGACGAAAACTTTTCCACAAATCCACATTATAGTCTTCTGAAAGAATTATTCACCCAAATTTTTGGAGTTCCAAATCATCATCCTAAAAGTCAACCTTTTTTTGATCACATTTATACATTTAATGTGTTAGACAATAGAATCTGGTTCAGGAATTACCAAATCTTAACAGAAGATGGTGGATTAGCTGAGATTGGGCCACGATTTGTTCTTAATCCTGTCAATATTTTTGCTGGTAGCTTTAGCGGTCAAATTATTTGGAAAAATCCATTCTATATGTCTCCTGCAAAATATAGACAATCAATACGTAAAAAAGCTAGTGGAAAATATCTAAATCGAATCACACAGAAATTAGGATAAAACGTCCAGTGAATGACCATTGATTGGTTCATTAAAATATTTGAATTAATTGTTATCTTTTCTTTTGACTGAAAAAATAAATATTTGTATACATAAAGAGAACACATATTTTATTATATAAATAACATTTCACTTTTTTCATATTGTATATTCGCCTCATCACAGTGTTAATTAATAAAATTAAGTATCATAATTACTTCGGATTTATAAAAAAATTCTTGAGCCAAATGAGATAAATGAATTACTTTAAACATAAATTTTTTTGATTATTAGTGTTTTACTAAAGAAAAAAGATGGAAGAATCTATCTTCTGTCGGCCGTTAGTCATTATTAATGAGTAATTGATAATTTTAATGAGTGATTAATCATTTTTGTTGCTAACAATGACTATCCACTATTTAGTTTTCTGCAAATAAATAACTTTTCATTTTGTTATACAAATTTTGAAAACTATTGCATTTGTATTGATTCACAATCTCATGATCCTGGAGACATTGAATGTAATTAATACATATTAAAATTATATTGATAATTCAAAAATACATACCAGACTCTTCATGCAATAACATGACTAACAACTTTTTTCTGTTTCAAGTTTTTTAAAATTAATCATTAGAATTAGAGAATATAATTTTATTGTAGAAGTATCAATAACGTTTTAACTAATTTATGTCAAGTAAAATTTTAATAACATACGTCAAGTGTTATCATCTTATTTTTGTAACAAAAATAAAGTTTCATGTAACACCGTAATAATTTTTATGAAATTAATTTCTTATGACTGTATGTTTTTCTCATAATATACAATTGTATCAATATATAAAGATATTATATCATTATAAATCCTATCTGTATATGTTCTGAATACTGATTTTATTGATTAAATTCATAAATTATTATGAAAGTTTTACTTTTTTTAAAAAAATTTTATAAACTCATAGAAAAGGTCATATCATTAGACAAATTTTGAACAGATGTTTTTTTTGTATTAAAACTATCATTATTAAAATAATATCGGTCGTGTGGTTCTTTTAAAAGTAAATTCAATGTTAGTACAACTGAGTAAGTACTTTGTATAACATATTATAAATAGTAATGAATTCAATGTATTATTTTAGTTGTGTTCAATACGTATTAGAAAACTGGTGAGTTTAGAAATGTTTTTTTAATCAAACTACTTATTTTAACGTAATTGACTTATACTTGATCTATGCTAAATAAAAATTATTTTTTAGAACAATGAAACAAATGACGTTGCTAATTTTACTAATTTCAAGTCTACTTTATTCTGAAGTAGCGTCAATAGACTCATTTCTTCAAATGGAAGATTTAGAAATGTATACAGTTAAGTTCATGAAGATATATGATACTGGAAATCCAAATCCTAGACTCAATACGTCAGTATTAATAGAGAATTTGTTTGCTGAAATAAATAATTTGACAAATGATTTAGCAAAAAACAATATAGATCTTAAGTTTAGCTCGCAAAGTATCAGTTTTTCTCCATACTGGGAAATACCTAAACAAATCTATGATGATCTGGATGAGATTCTCATAGCAACTCGTAATATAAATGAATTCTTTAAATCATATTACACAGATTTTCTGGATGGTTTTTATACAAACAGTACAATTAAAACTTTTATTACTCAAGCTATTTACCCAGGTTCAGATGGTCTTTACAAAATGACTGCTCTAATTAAAGATAATATTTTTTCTCATCCTCTGCACAAAGATAAGAATAATTTTTTCGACAGAATCAGCGATAAATTAAACGTAAGTAAATATCAATAATCAATGTGCCTGTACATAGAATTATAGAAAAATGTTTTAATGATAAAAAAAATTTTTTTAACAGAGAAATTTTGATCAACTTTGTAAAAGTCATTCTACACGACAACAATTTCTGATTTCATTTTATTCTTTTATTATGAAAACTCAGTTTAGAGCATTTCTTATGTTATCTTCAGCTTACAAGTTGAATTCTATTTTATCAAATGATACATCACATTACTTATTGGCTGTAAAACAATTAAAAATTTATTTTTTATCAAAATGTAGCTCTTATTTAGAAAAAATGCAACCATCTATTGCAAAAACTTCTACTGAATACTTTAATTGCCAGCCAACTTATGAACATGACTATGACATACAATATGTTCAAGCTATTGACTTATCACCAGTAATAGTAGACTACCGATGGAACAAGTTGAGTATCATAAATAATTGATAATTCTTACTTAATAATTTGATGGATACATTCTTTTTGCTATACAGAGTTGTGACAAAAGTTCAATTACAATTGAAAAACGGAATTTTAAGCTTAATTCTTTACGATGGAACGCTTTTAGAGAATAGAAAAATATCGACTGAAGATTGGGATTCTAGAAAACATTCTTCAGAAAATCGAAATTCAGACGGATATATTATACTGAAAAATGGTACATTTTCCAATATTAAGAATATTGATGAATTTTTTTGGAAAAATATTAGCTTTTTACACACAAAAGTTCCTCATAATCATGTTATTATTGGTGAGTATTTCAATTGTCTTTTATTTTCGAAACAACTAAAAATATTGTTTATTCAAAGAAATTGAATGTACATATTGATCTAAATTTTTCTAGGAGCAAATCTTGAAACACTGATATTTGATCCACAACAGCCATTATCTAAAAAATTACTTTATTTTCGCCTTCACTGTGCAAAAGTAAATACAACAACAGGCAAAATTGACGCTTCCAATATTACATACACCAAAGTATGGACAAAAGATGATCCAGAGCTACAACAATATCCGGAATTCAAAGAAAGTTACTCATTCAGAAACAGTAGTCGAGCGATTTATGATAGAATACTAGTAAATACTAACAATTCAAGTTCAACAATCAGATGGCGAAGAAGACCATCATTAATTACTTACATCGATTCAAATATTATCAACGTAGATCCACTGTTGCCTATAACTGGTATTAGCTTTTGGAATAATAAGTATCAAACAGATTTCAATGCTTTGTCATTGAAAGTTTCTACGATGGATATTTCTTCTTATATAAATTTGCGTGGAAAAATGTATGTATCAAAAACTTACATTAAAAATTTTTAAAAATATATTTTTACGCATATTTAATAGATTCAGATTTTATTGTTGAATTGTTGTTATTATTTGTTGAAGAAATAAATAATTTATAATTTTTATTTTGTCGATTGGTTGTTTCTACTACCTTTTTTGTATCTCCAACATTTTTGTTTTCTATCAAAGAATATTTTTCGTCGATTACTGTCTGATTTGATACATTTTAACTATTGTCGATAATAAAGCTTTGGCGAGTATGCATTTCTGCAATCGGTAACATTACAGATGGTATTTTACCATAAAAATTCAATTGGGAATTTTCTGTTTTACCCTCTAAGTATTACTTGAATTGCGGCAATTTTTAAACGTCAATCAATGTTTTATTATTCTCTAAAGTTTACTAGAAACATTTCTTAATTTATTATATAAACGACGTGTTTGGGTTTTGATTAATATCTATTATAATTCATATTATTTTTTTTATTACAAAACATCTCGAAATAAATTTAATATCGATCGTCTTCTTCTTTTATATGGTGTCGATTGAATAACTGTAATATTTTTTTTTATAATTAAATTTTGTTTTTAGATTATTATTTGATTGAGATAACTTTTAAAGACCAAGGACCATTCCTTTGATATTCTTCCATTTCTAAAACAAAATAAAAATTATCTAAACGTTTTATTTATTACATTATCCAATTCTTTATCGATTTCAATCTATACTTATTACTTTAATAAAACTTCTAATCGAAGGGAATTTAATTTTCAATGCGCAAGACGGTACAGTTTTAAGTATTCAGCAAGAAGAAAGTTGACGTTTCAAGTGAAATTGAAACAATTTTAATCCAAAGAAGGCTCAGGGGAATAGAAAATGGGAAAGTTCATGAGGGTTCCTGTTTCGTAACCAGGAGAGACCGGAACACGGAAAATTGGTGTGATATTGGTGTCTCTGTTTCGTTGGCTTAGTTTTACAGTTTCTCTTTACGACCACTCACGGATGTCATGCGTTCTATTTTACATTCGTGCTTTACGTGCTCCTGAAATCTTTCGTAGACCTTTTACTATTATTCTTTCATTCCTTTAAATGGAAAATGTCCCCTTGTCAATCGTGAGATTCTCTCTTTTTTTTTTTTGAATGACTTGTTTTCTATAGAATCATGTTATTATATACTTCCTCTATAAACGAGAGTTGCAACACACAATCTTGAGATTTACTTTAGACATTTTTTATATATCCAATCGTCATAATATAACTCGTTCTCATGCAGGCTTGACAGAACACCAACGACGATACAAGAGATTGAATCCAGTATCTCAATTTATTCCTATACACAGACAAAAAATTGTTGACGAGTTCGAAGCACTCGGATGACAGGACACTCGAAGAATATATGAATTGTATTGACTATCCAATCGATAAAATTTCCATAGATATCCGCTATAGACCAGTGTATTTTACGAATATGATTTATTACACTGGACGAGACACGATTTTTATTGATCAGTATGACACGATGTTGTGATGACGGGTGTCTGAATCACTGTGTAGATATGGTGCGATTTGAAAAAAAAGACAATAAAATAATTATGATGTTTTAATGTGCCTAATAAAGTGGCAACTTAGTCAAAATGAAATCTATTCTTTTTATTTATTTTTTTATTTTAAATTATGATTGATTTTATGAAAGAATTTTTTTTTGTAAAAAAACCGACCTTTATTTCATCAAAAAATAACTCATTAAATATTTTATTCAATACCACAATTCTAAATTTAATCTTTGAAAGATGAGTTGTATTTGAAATGAACAGTAATAAATGAAATAAATTAGTTATTGATCATTTTTTTATCAGTGAATTATCTATTGTAAAACAAAATACCTCTATTTGATTAATTTTAGACACTTTCAAATTGCTTATAAAATTAATATCATCGAATCTAACATTACCAGTCTTAGTTTCATATTTGAATCTAATTTACATTAATGAATATTATGTCAACGAATGAAACAAAAAATACTTTAGAAATTATTATTATAATTTTGTAGAATGTTTTTATTAAAAACATGCTACTCATTTATGTTCTTTCACTGATCAGCTTTTATAAAAAAATTTTCCATCAATATTGGGATCATTATATAAAAGTTTAAAATTATTTACATGTATTTAAATTTTTTCTTATTGAATATTAAATTAAATTTATTATAGTCACTAATTCCAACAAAATAATTCACACCTGAAATATTTCACCAAATTACATGTAATTTAGAGTATTTTTGAGCAGTTGAAAAAAAAATAAATAGTGAGTGTAAAATAAGTCAGGGCTTATTACATGCTTTTGAAGATGTCCGAAAGACCATTGACCACGGTTATATATTATACATAGCCTTTTATTAAGTGTGTACATATTCAAAAACAGCTCGAAGGCATGCAGGAAGAGATTAGCTTATTGTGGTCGCTAGGTTTTGCGAAAATAGTAATTTCCGTTGAAAGGTCAGCCACGGTATGGAGTAAAAGGTCTTGTGTAGGCTACAAGTCATGAGTATTTTGGCTATTTTCTAAGAAGATGCCGTGTAAATCACATTTTTATTACGGATAATTTTACGAGGCCAAGGCGCGGCTTCGAATCGCTGATGGCGGCTACCTTAAACTTGTAATCGCTTGCTGTGTAAAGCTACTTCCACTACTTATTCAGTTTAAGATTTTTACTTTCTTTCTCTCTCTCTCCTCTGTGGTTTGTCTTGTTCATATTCTTAGTATATAGACTACGATGTATCCAGTTATATAGTCTTCGGTCGTTAGTATATTAGCGAAACATCGGCAAACATCGAAAAGGAAATGCTCAAGGTAAATTGAACCAAGTGATTCAAAAACGAAGAGGTCAGACAAGCGACACAGAGTGAAATCATGTTAGGTCAAGTTTATGATGCAAATTCTTCCGGAATCTTGATGTACTTTGTAATTATATTTAATTAGAGAATCCCCATCGTCATTTTTCTTTTTATTGGCTTTTATAATTAACTAATTACATCAAAAATTAACTAAACAAACATAATGAGATTTTCATACATATATTTGAGTAGAAGTATGATTCAAATAAAAATCAAAGAGTATAAATTCGAGATAGATAAAATGTGCAACTTTTTTTGATGGGATATATATCATATAAATATTTATAATTTTTTGGAGTAACTAGGGTGGGTTTTGAAAGCATGGTTTTAAAGTAGATCTAAATTTTTATTTTGTGAATAATTTTACATATCGACCTTTTTTAAAATATGCTATTAAAGTAATTCATATAATATCCTAAAATGTGAAGAATCTTGAATTGGAGATATTTCCTGATTTTATGAAGCAAAAAGAAATTTCTGAAATTTTTAGTTTTATTTTGGTTGAGAATTTTTATAATGATTGTTAATCGGAAATATGATAAATAGATTGAGTAAAATAAAAAGGTTATAAAGTATGGACAGAAAGATAAACAATAATATCAATAAAAAGTAGCGCAGAAGAAATAAATAGGAAGGATGATTTTATGAAGTTGTAAAAATATTTAAAATACGTGATTTATAGTAGATCTTTGAAACTAGGATAGTTTGAGTGATGCTCGCATGTGAGAATCAGTATGAGATCATCATACTGTATGGAAAAAATATTCACGAGGTCGTCGACCACTCCCGCACACGAAATTTCAAGGGTCTAAAAGAAACCGACGACTTTGAAGCTCTCATCCGCGAGTCAATTAAGTTTCACTGCCTCAAGTTCGTAGAAGAATCATTATAAAAACGCAAAGAGTCTGTTGGCGTGTTGATTTTCGTTCATCCAATGGCACGTCTTCTAAACCTATCCTTTCACGAACAAGATACTATGCACGAGCAAGTGTCGATGTTCTGACTTTTACGATCGCAATGTCCAACTTGTCATTATGAAAAGTCAGTGGAATCTTTTTAGATTAAAAATCATAAAAATCGAAATGCTTAGTTTGGAATGAAAACACAGGAAATAAAGTAAAATTACGTAGAAGTTAATGAAGAAGAGGAGAAGATGAAGAGGATGAGGGAACCAACATCTAGTTGATACTTTGTAACACCTGCGGTTCTTTTTACCAAGAACGTAACTCGCGAAGCGTAAATGCAATATTTTTTTATTCTTTTCATCCATTATTGATAAAGAATTTTTCCTTTCTTTTTATTCTCGATGAATAATTGAATATTCAAGATAATTAAAACTTCAAAATTAACTACTTCTTTTTAGTTGTGAAATTTATGTTTTTTTTTTTCAAACAATAAGTAAAATCGTTTTGCATAACTAAAAAGAGATAATTGTTATAAAAAATACATAATATTATAATAATAAGTTTATGATTTAATTAAATAGTTTTATTATTTTTTCTGAAAGATGAATATTATTGAAGAAACTTTTTTAAATTAATTCAAGTACTAAAAAACTTTTATTAAAAAAAATTCGTTTTATTTCAGAATAAAAACTCGGGTGACACACGACTTTAATTAAATATTTATTTTCACTAGAAATTTTTCCGTTTTTTCAAAATTATTTTTCCTGAGAGAATATCAACAATATCTTTAATTAAAAAGTTTGCGTTCATAAGGAAATAAAAATTGTGTCCACAAAAATAATATGGTTGATTTCAATAATTTATAATTAGAAAACAAGTTCTTTTTCCAGATACAAATTTTAGTGTATATAAAAAAACAATTATTATATAATTTTTTCGGTGAATAATCAGTAGATATTTATTTACAAGAATTTGTCAACTGAATCAGTTTATCAGCACTAAAGAAATCTTGTTCTTGGTATAGATATTGCAATACATATATTACTTGTAAGTAGGATTTAATAAGCTGATTTATGAATAATAATAATCTGCATATA